CAATTTTAATGGTGGCGGTCAGCTCGGGCCATCCCATGCAAAGCAATGCTCACTTGAATGTCGAGCAAGTGCCATTTGTAAAAATACCAAAATGCACGGTTTTAAAAACCGTCTACCGTGTAAATCGTGTAAATTGCTTGAAAGTCGTGTAAAAATCGTGGCAAATCGTGTATTTATCGTATAAAAGTGGGACAAAATCGTGTGATAACGATTGAGTGAGTGTACATGATCTTTGCACGGTTCGAAACGGTGTATTTTGGATGATTTTTTACTGCCAATAAACTTGATCAGATCATTGCATTTCATGAGACAGTAAGGAGTGGCGACATGTGACCATGAATAATCGATTCCGAGCACGTTAGCTGCCTGGTTTTCACGCCCATCATCGCCTACCAGGTGCACGAGCTGTGTTGTGTCATTTTGTGACAAATTTAATCCATGGATTTTGATGATGATGATTTAATTTGATTGATCCACCCAGTGGAACGGCGGTCGTTATGTGTGGTCGTTCTGTGGCCACGAGAACACTGCACCAATCCAGACCCGATATGGATGTGCGCATAATTGAAGCGATTCGCTGAATGTTTCGACTTTTCCATGGATTGCGAGCGCTGTGGTGCATCTGGAATTTTGTACTGGTGCAACGATTTACGCAGCATTGTCGGCACATCCTTACAGATGTGATACTGCAGCTCGGTCCAGCAATTGTTACTTCCAAAGGCTAATGCTGATCAGCAGCGATGCAGCTGCCAAAATGGCCCGCATGTCGAAGTACGAGCCGTAATGTGCAGCATTTCGGCTTTGCATGAAGGACATTGCATCGACACAAAATGCAGCATTGCTCGGTAACTGAATCTCCCAATTTGCTTCCGTTGCTGCCTACAAACAGGCATCCATTCAACGCAATTTCAATCTCAGTCAAAGCTGTGACACACGAGTCAGTACACAGAAGATCCACGCAAATCAATTCGCCCACAGATCATTCCGCGTTCCTGAAATCCTGCATTTCTAAACAGATTTTATGTTTGTTGGTGTTGGTAAGCAAAATATTGTGTGTCTTATGGAGAACTGATAAGCTTGATTTCTTGTTCAACCATGTCCCGTAGTGGTGCTTCTTCAGCCATTTCACAGTAGTGTGCGAGCTGCTGGGAATCGTATTTCAGCATGTTGCACATGTTGCGCACCGTGTTTCAAAGTCAGGCTTCATCACGCAGCTCTGTGTCTGCACTTTATTTACTCTATTTGGTAGACTCGATGTTAACTGGAAGCTAAGACCATCTACGCTAAGAGATTCCGTTATCAGCACTAAGTCAAAACAAGGCAATAAGAGGCAGCCGCCTTGCAGCCATCAGAAGACGCACATCAAAATGTGAAACAGACTTCTGATATCCACAGCGCATACAAGCAGCCGTCATTCTTCGCGTGGAAGTCGTACATCAGGTTCCAAGGAAAGAAATGAGAACAGAAGTACTCCATACTCAATGTTGTGACCGCAGCATTCTCAAACAAAGCTAGGCACCCACTAGCTCTACGCATGGGCACGGCCCTCTGTGTATCAGTAACTATGGCTTAACAAGTCGGATGTGCTTTCTATGGCGTGGCCGATTTGTTGAGGTGAACGTTCACATGAGCCATGAAGCAATTGTCGAGAGATTGTAGAAATATGATTGCAGACGTGTGGGTGATGCGATGACATGTGTACCGAACACCCAGCCGCCACGCCAGTCAAGCAAGCTGGAGGCGACTGCACATTGCGCTCACCCCACTGGCGTTATGGAGATGTCGCAGGACAGCAATGTTGGTGTTGATGGGGGGAAGAGAGGGAGGGGCGGAGGCGCCATTGCCTGTTGCCACTCCAAAGCTGCTGATGCCGCCATGGTGGCAGCATCGCCGCTCCTCGCCGCCGCTCATGAAGGGGCAACAGCAGCAGGAGGTAGCCTAGCGCCATTGGTGTCTGAAATATGCTCGGAGGCCGGCCCGAATTGCCCCCTGTGTGGCATAATCAGCGGAGGCGATGGCCAAACATGCAAACACGGTTTGGCTGGGACAGCAGGTCCTTAGAGAACACAAATGTATGTATTCATGCAGATCATCGCAGGTCTATGAGGTGATTATGTGTTTTTGGCAACTTAAACACTCGTGTTCAACACGCCCGGTCATCGCCTACATGGTGAGAAGCTGAGCGACGGCTCCACGCCAGCAATGAAAAATATGTCCACCACATGCATCTAGAGGGAGAATCTGTGGAAGTTCCACAACAGGCGCGAGGAAGTTACAGAAGCTGGTGCTATCAGCTTCGCGGTTTTCTGGTTGCCCAGCGACGCGAACTGCACAAGCGCTTTCAAAATGCCAGCTGCGGCATAAGCCACGAGCACTGGGGGCAGGGGCAACACCGTCCAAGGAGACAATGGATGAGAGGTGGTACTGGGGGCATGACTAGTGGCACTGTGGCTCTAGGGAATTGGGTGCAAGAAATAAGGAGAGATTGGGTGTGATCAACAGTGTGCAAAGTCAACTTGAATGAATCCAAGGCACTCTCTGCGACTGATTTTATGCACATGTATGCATCATGCTACACATTGCAGAGCTGCCCACCTTGGGAACTATAGAACAGAGGGCGGTCATGCACATGTTCACCCTGATGGTCGTGATCAGTGTAATATGTAAGTATGCGTCGTCAGCTTATGGCAGGATCTAATGCCAGCTCAAAGGTAAGCTCCTGCCAAAGAAGAAAAGATCCTTGTCATGATCCATACCGCGCTTTAAGGGAAGACACTATGTCGATTGCATCACGCTTAGCATCAAATTATGCTAAGGGGTGGAGGGTTGGGGTGGGGTTTTCAGACGTACAACACTAAGAGAGTATATAACTGCCACAAAATCGACATAAGGAGGGAAGGTGCCCACACACGCCACTGATAAGTTGCAAACAGCCTGTGACTTGTTCCTGAACCTCTTGCAAGTGTTCGACCTGCAAAGGAAGCCTTAGAACGGATCAATTTGCAGCCGTTGAGGCTGCCCACCTCGCCTATAATGGCATTTAAAATCTGCAGAAACCGCCCCAAACAAATCCCATTTTTCAGCCCACCGAAACCAGCAAAACTTCGACTGTTTTTTGTCCTCGAAACCACCTAGAAGTTGCGCACCACAGTTAGTCAATGTTGCTGAGTCATCCTTGCATCGACATAGGGATTGACGCCGAAGAAAGGTGGGTGAGGTGCGTGGGCGAATGTCAAATTGACGCTAGGAGCAACAAAATCAACATAGCGCCTTCCCTAAATCAGGTGCATGCGGGAGGCGGGAACGTGGCACCCAAACACTCTTGGGTGGGTCTTGGTTGATGGCCTGTTTTCCAATGACACAATTGCCTCTGTGGAGGCAGTGGGCGACGGCATCATTGATTGGACGGACGTGAACATATGGCCAAGGAGTGAACTTGTTCCGATTCGCCGTACCTCGACGCTGTTTTCAAACAGGTGGACAAATTCAGATGTTTCGTCATGTCCGTTTCTGTATTCGCACGATTGATTTCGAACAACTGACCACATTGCTGCATTGACATTGTCTGTTCGTTTACATTTGCTATGACAAACAAGCTAAGCTCCTTGCACACAGCAGGCGATCACGCCTCGCAATTGCCACGCAGAGTGGCAGGAGCAGCCTTGGCCATCTTGTTGGTGCAACACACGATTCGCATCGTCTCTAAGATCCACAGTTGTGAACCTCACCACTGTCGTCGTGCTCTACCAGGCAATTCTTCCAGAACCGTCCTTCTCCACACAACCACGTCTGAGTTTCTTCACTCAGTGGCACTGCATCTATTCCGCTCACTCCGGCTACTTCATTTCCTGGTATTGAGGTGGCGCTGCACCGGTGGAAGCTGCAGGGCAGAGAGGCAAGCAGCACTGCACGCTGCCACACATAATTCCATTCCTGATGCATGCACGTGATTCTGGCGCACTGCCACTCTGCAACCACCAAAATTTACAGCGTATATTTTCTATGGTACAACTGACGACAACCACAAAGAGGTGCATATGTAGATCGCCAATCACAAGGCCACGTGCTGTGTCTTGATTCCACACTTGGTCAGTGCACTCGACTGGACTGAAGCACACCTCAATCCCAAATTGCTCCCCGAAAGCCACATTCCTGCCTCGCAGACGCCATGTTTCGGGAGAAGCCCCAAGCAATGAAAACAGAAATAAACAAATGCTAACGTTCCATCTGTACACCCGCCAATACCTTCCAAACAAGAAAAGCACGGCCTGGGAGGTCGCCACCAAGGTAACAACGGTACATTCTGATTAAGGGCAACCAAGTTCCATGCCTGAGACCTGGAACACTGCAATCCTCAAGCCCAAGCCCCAATCAAGTGAGGCCAGGTTCTGATACTGGCATGAGACACATGTGCTGCGTCCAAGCATGATCCACAGTAGCAAGCACAGCCATCACGTTGAGGGCATGCACTTCAGAGTGAAGTGTTCCAATATGAACAGATCTTGGTAGCCACAGCTTGTGTGGGTGTCACTCCTCAGCTCCCAGTCCAATCCCCCCATGCACCACCCACCAAACCCCATCCCCACCCCCTCTCACATCCCTCGTGAAAGCCTAATGAAAAGAATTCAATACCATTCCCCAACACCCCAAAGAAAGGCACACTCCTTGAAACACAAAGCAATATTCGCACCCCCATAAGTTGTGTTCTCCTCTCCGCAACACACCACCCACGTTCCAACGAATAGAACTCGTGCATTTTATGCGCGTTCCCTCCTTCCCCAACCCCCCACCCACCCACAAACAAATGCCCCCTAAAATACAACAGCAAATTGATTTCCGGCCTCACGGAACTGACTCACAACAGCAACTTCATCCAGCACCCCTGTCTGGCGGTAAACCTTTGTCCCAAACTTGGGCCCAGCTTGCGATGCAGCCATGCCTCTCATAATACGGAGGGCAGTAATTCTGCTGCCCCTTACCAATGGCACACAAACAACTTGCTAAGACGCCTGTTGGCCAAGCTCCCCAAGATCTGGCATGTCAATATCTAGCCTGTCCAGATGACCGACATCGAAGGTGTCCTGCAGGAAATCAGCGAGCATGAGACCGCCCTCCGGGATAGTCTGGCGTGACTGACCACCACACCCTTGGTGTACCCCGCCCTGTGGATCTGACACACCAGCCATGAAGGGGATATCCATTGTGGCAGATGTGGCCGCGCCCGAAAGGGGTACAGTAATCTTGGCATCCTGTTCAGGGTTGCCAGGCATAGCACTACACTGCAGACCAGCAGAGCGGTTTGGGTCTGGCTCGTCCTCGTCCTCGTCGACGCCTATGTCATCGTCAGCATCATCGCCAGTTGTTGTCCACTCGTAGTCCTGCAGGATATGACACAGTCAACAGGATACCATCAACCACCAGTTCTTCTGTTCATCCGTTCGTGCATTTCGAATCCAGAGACTCCTGCAGACTCTTTGGCCTTGATGCACCAATTGCTCACTTCTGTGACTGGCATCCCCAATGTTTGTGCTTGTCAGAGGATGGTGGGGTGCATGCAGAGAGTTGTATCTTGACAGTGCTTGCAGATTCAGCAACAGCACATTCATCAGTGAGGGCAGCATTTGTAGGCACATTCATGCAACCACTGCAGTGTTGTCCACAAGCATAATCCTGGTCATGGCCACAACAATATTTTGCTGCCACAGGAACACGTCACACTGAACTCAGTTGAAACTCCACAAGGCATGATGAAAAGAAGAGCAATTGACGCCCACAGCAAACCTGCTCTCCAAGCACAGTTGACAGAAAGCCATGGGAAGAACTGGAGCCCGCCAAAACGTTGAGCTCTGCTGGTGCGGAACTGACACCGTCAGCAAGCCTCCTGCGCACATCTTGTATGTCCAAACTCTGGGTAGTGGCGCCACCAGCCTCACCCAATGTGTTCAATTCGGCTGGTGCACAATCAAGCACAACATATCAGCATGCTGTCCACAGGGCCGCAGTGCAATCCAGGTCGAACATGCGCCAACCAGAGCAGCCCTTTTCCAGGTGGACTGTTCCAATGACAGGAGTTTTCAGTTGCCAAGACACATGTAGTGCCCCACTGTCACACAGAACTAAACCTCAACCACTGCTGCAGCTTGGCCAAAGGGGCACCTGGAAGGTCACCTGTACTGAAGCCACTACCGTGGGGCATATACAGTGACTGAAACAAACGTCTGCCCATGCTTCTGTTTCGACCGTCGATGAGGCAAGTTTGTAGCTTCACAACAGAACATGGCAAAGCCCTGACAAACCGTCTCTGCCCATGCTTGATGGAAAATTCACTGGCATGCAGAAGAGTAGTGAGCATTTCCCGGAACTTGAGTATTCACTCTCCTTCCCCTTGTGGCACAGCAGCAGTGCTTCTACTGCTGCAGGGCTGTTCAGCTGGGTGAGCTTGTACTGAAGCACCTTTGACAACATCGCCTGAAATTTGTAAACTTTTGTCCTATAGTGATACAAGTTATCAAAGCAGGATCGACTGATTTCCCGACACAGGCACAGTTTACCTCCACCCCACCCCCCCTTTTCCCCTTTCCCCCTCCGTTGCCAGGGCAAGGGGACTTTTCTTCTTTGTTCCAAACTACGATGTAATGAAAGTGCCACAGACCTAATTGAATCCAATCGTTTTGTTGGCAATTGGACAATGTTAAGCCCTACTGCGGGCAGTGACTTTTGCACATTGACCACATTGGTGCACATGCATGGGCTGGTGTGGGACAACCCTTTTGTTGAAAGTAACAGAGCACTCCCCATTTGGTCATACAACAACAACGGACACAAGCACCAAACAGCCATCAAAAAGCTTGGAGTAGTGGTATCAGCAGCGATCGCATGCACCACATCGTTGTTTCACAGGTGCAATTATTGTACTCAGCCAGTTTTCAACAAACGGCATCTATAGGAATGCAAGTCATGTGACTGTTGCTTCGTGATGCACAGGACAACAGCCAAACTCACTGGAACTCAAATCCTTTGGCAGGTCGCTGGTCTTGAGCTGGCCCCTGAAGGCTGACTCCAGCACATCATCTGGGGGCGGACCCTTGTACCCCATGTCGCCCATCGTCTTGTTTAGCTTAGCCAGCTGCCGGCAAGGCCACCGTGTGATACCGTTCCTCCTACACGCCCTCTTCAGCGTTGTGGGGCAGATGCCTAGCTGTGCCGCAGCTTCCTTCAGACCCACATTCATGTGGCGCTTCAGATCATCGAACGTCAGGTGCCGGCCTGTGCCCATGCTTGTCTTGGCTCTGCGGATATCACTCTTGACCCGCCGATCCCCTGGTTGCATCTCCTGCAGCAAGGACTGGAAGTTTTGCATGTGCAACATCGCGCTCGCCATGTCCTGATTACCCAAGCACAGATGTGTCAATGCAAAGGTGATTCTGACAAGAGTGGCACACGGAAGTTACTGGCCAGGCTCATCAAAAGCAGCACAAAACACTGCCCATCAAACTACAAGGTGATGTTGGGCACCATTGGGTACAAGGCCTTTGTACCATCATGCAGAACAGACACGGCCTCACTAGCAAGCAGCAGAAGGTGACATGTGGCACCTCAAACCCCCAAACCCCACCCCACCCCACCCCACCCACTCCAAAGAGCAAAATCTCTGCAAGACACTTCTCTGTAGCAAAGATAATAATGCACAACTCTCAATGCGCAATGCAAGTGGCATTCACCACAAGCTGCATAGATAGTTCCCCTATTCCCCTCGAGTGCCTAGGCCTGTTTTGCCTGCTGTTCTGCAGTTAGGACCCCAAGTACCCACCTGGGTGCTGTTCACAGGGTTGAACGTTGCAGGGTTCAAGGGCCCAGCAATTCGGGGGGCTGCAGGCAGCTCCGCTTGGTTGAGGCCAAACTGCGGCATGACTGGCATGGAGCCCTGCATGGTGGGAACAGTCATATATGGCATCCCTGGGTGCTGCGCACCATTGGGATAGCACACCCCGGCCCCAGCCACCGTCGGTGTGAAGTAGGTGGGGAATGGATAGTTGACGCTGCATGGCACACCGCCGACAACCTGAGGCATGCTGGCAGAGGCATCTGCTTGAGACCTGCAAAGTGAAATGGAAAGTTCAAGCTGCTGTTCACAAAAGTGCAATTCACCAGCACATAAGAAGATAGGCAAAGGACACACAACAGGTGCCAACTGGCCGATGCTCACATGCTGTATGTGGGAGCCCTGGGACTACGTGCACAAGTGCTTAAATCACCGAGCAGGTCGGTAGGTGTTCCAACAACAATTTTGGAAGGTTGAGCACCTCTCTCATGGGGGCACAGTGGGAGTTCGCCCAAGAAGTGGACGCAGCTGCGCAAAGGACAAAGCACAGGAGCCATGCCATGTCAAGCCCGCTCATCTCCAGGACCACGTGGTGCTGCCATATATTACCCTCACAGCGCAAAGCAAGCATTGGACGCATGAGACACCCTGCATGTTAATGCTCTGGGCCAGGAAAATCCTCCTTAGACGCCAAAGTGCCCCAAATCGCATAACATGTGCCTGGATGCAATACTTTACCATCTAAAAATGCAGTCACTGCACCAGGTAAGATATCAGCGTGACATCAAGGAAACATCAAATGCCATGTGTGTGATGGTGGCACGCACCGGCTTGTGTCCAGCTGTGCAGTGAGGTTTGGAGCGGAGCTGCTCAAGCCCAGGGTTGTGTGCATGGGCTGTTCTTTCTTCTCAGCTCGGACATCCTTTGGAGCATCTGCCATTCCACGGGTAGAGCACACACTTTCATGACTGGGACCAAACACAAGCATACCTCCAGTCGCCAAAACAGGGTTCAAAGGCACTTTCTTACCAATTTCAGATGACTTTAGAAAATTCTAGATGAACTCAAACAGCACTTTGGCCCACAACAGTAGCATTCCAACTGGCTTCCCCTGAAGCTGTCCTAACCTTTCTCAGGTTTCGAAGTTCCTGCATGGTCTGCATCTGGAGAGGGATCTCTCTTAATTTTGGGTAAGTTCCGTTTCAACTTGTTTGGTGATGCATCTGCCTCTGTTTCCCCTGTGCCAGATGCTTCTTCACCATCCACAGGGAGCTCTTCCACCTGCGCCCTCCGCGCAACCTCCACCAAGGAGTTGTCCACGTCCAAGGGCCACTGGCGAAGCCCAAGCTCGAGGCTGCGGCTGTCCATATCTGAAGAGTAGAAATCAACCCGCTGGCAAAGAACAGCACACAACGAGCTTGTGACTTTGTTGTACCAAGCAGCGGCAGCAGCAGCTCGATGTGTCAAGCAGCACTTGTGAAATAAATCATGTGGCAAGGTTGAAGGTGGACAAGAAGCCACCCTAACTGTGAACGTTGGGCCAAAATCCTCCACACCAACCTGATGTGTACACTTGCTGTATACACTTGATATTTCTGCATTCTCACAACTTGTGTCACTGTAAAGAGGCTATTCTTCTGCATTTCGCCACACCAGACATTGCCTTCCCAACAAGGCCAACGCCCACCCATGCCCACAACTGGACAAGTGTGGCCTGCATGCGATGCAGGCACCAATCAACAGACTGTATTGGCATTGTTGATATGCATATCTGTTGATTGGCAATGCTTTCTGTCAACAGAGTCTTCTCTTCCACATTTCTCCAGAGCTGTGCCATTAAATATAGCTGCCATTCTGCAATGACATGAGGATCTTCGCATAAATTTTGAAACGCCAAATATGGTGCAGTGTGGACTGCAGGCATACTGTGTACCTGGATACGCCTACAGCTTCTGTACAGCAGAAGGACAAGCCCTGTTGCCCAGTTCCCAGCATGTTTCTCATTGCATGGTGACGATCACCCCAATTAGAAAATTTCACCAGCAGAGCATCGTGTTGGGAGCAATACATGTAATCTAGAATGAGAGCACGGGTAGTGTGTTTCGAACAGTGGTATCCTCTTGCCACAGCTTAGTCCACAAGACAAAACAAAAGCGAAGATGCCACTGAACACACAAACTAGACTGAAAACAAGGTACCATGCTGCTGAGGCCTGTTCCATTTGGAATTTCCTCACTGCCTTGTGTGGGTAGTTTCACGTGGATGGGGACAATAAGTGGGCCAGTAACAAAATCAATGCTTCGTCCACATGCACCAACGATGGCTGTACATTTGGCAGCTTTGCTCTCCCCCCATTTTTTATGGGCATTTGTGTTGATCCATAAACACACTGTGGGGAAAAAACAGCATGCTAGTGGCAAGGCCTGCAGGTGTGCGATGCGGCAAGGGCTGCACTTACAGACAGAGCCTCAGAGAGGCGCTCCACCAAGTCGCTGAAAGACACATTCTTGGCAGTCTTTATGACCTCCAGGACGCCAACGGGCCTCTCCCTGGTGGGAGTTTCGAAGAAGGGCATCACCACCGTGGAATGCACCATGCACCGCTGTGCCTCGTTCACCCTGAGGTAGATCTGTTTGTGGTACTTCTGCAGGTCGTTGCACATCTCCGGCTGGCCAGCCAAAGGGATCGATGTGTCAGATGTGTGTGATGGTTGCAAATCTCACACAATGATTATGGGGATTCGAGTGGGCAATTGTGCCCGAAGTCAGGGATGGGATTGGGCCTCAGTCCTTTCGAAGAAAAGACAAAATGGTTTCTAACGTTGCAAGCGAAAATCCAAGCAAGAATCTGCTCAGCAGCAACAGTGCCCACAGTTCAGTGCGATGGAGCCAGGCCAGGGCCAATTGCCATTGGGTTCCCCCGCCTCATGGCCCTTGCCCCCTAAATTGCGAGGCTGCCTTTCCCTCCGCCGCTCCCAAACAAGCCTCCGAGGGACCCGTGCAGGTACGGCGTACAGATCCGCCGGCCGCCGGGCCCTGAGCCCACGGCATCAGGCACCCCGACCTCGCAATGGGCTTCCCGACTTGGCGGGCATCAGCCTTGAGGCCCAGGGAGGTCCGCATCTGGTCGATCAGACATCCCTGGGCCGGTCCAAATCCCATCAGGCCAATTGCCAGGCTTCAACAATTAGCGGAAACCGTTGACGGCACAATCGGCGTTGGGCGATCGGACGCTCACCTCCAGCGTGGTGTACACCCGCCCGGGGGCGCCCAGCAGCTTGGGCTGCATGACGTCCGTGCTGAAGTGGTAGCGGCACGATATGCAGCGAAACAGCGCCAGCAGGTCGCCCGTGCCCGTCACCGCGTATGGCAGGCCCTGCGCCACCACCCATGGCCACCATGGCCTCAGTCCTGGGCCCTCACTGGGCCCAAGGGGAACCGTCGACCCCATCTGGAAGCCGCAGGCATTCAGGGGGCGAGCGGGGCACCGCCTGGCGGGGAAGCACTGGTGCACGGTGAGGCTGTGCGGGAGCGCGTGGGCGCCGGAACAGCAGCGAAGGAGAGCCCCACGAAAAGGAGGCCCGTGGTTCTGCGTGGCCGTGGACAAGGGCTGGGGGGGAAGGGGGGGGGGGGTTCTGAGGGCAGGAAGGCAGGACTGGGCTACCGGCGACCGCCGGGGAGGGCGTCGGGTTGCGCGCGAGGGTTGTAGCTCCTGTGCACGCGGGCGCTGCCCCTGAATGGGCCGGGGGCCACGGGCGTCGGGGACGCGCACACCGGCGCGCCTCGATCGCGGTCCGTTTCCCTGGAAAGCTCCGCCCAACCACGCTCGCCCAGGGCAGCAATACCGCCCACCCCCCCAAGGCGGAGCGCCGCATCCGCCCCTCTTCTCCAGCAATTGCCCTAGGGCCACAAGTCGCCCACGCAAATTTACCCCACAACTGCCAGGCACCGCCCCAGTCCCCGCACCTGCGTCTGCAGCTGGGCGGTTCCGTTCTCCCTGTCCGGCATCCATATCTGCGCCGCGACGCCACACCTCAAAATCAGCACTGAGACCCCACCCGCCCGAACGGGGTCATGAAATCTTCCCCGCGAGCAAAGGCCGCCGCCCTCCCCCGCCCCCCCACCTGGATGAGCGACCCGGACTGCGAGTCCGCCAGTAGGTTGTTCAGATCGACCACCACGCGCGCCATGCGCTCTCGGAACTGGCCCGCGACGGACATGACTGCGGCCGCTCCAGCCTGGCTGCGCGGATCGGGCTTGGGAGAACAGATCGAGAGCCAGGGCCCTGGCAGGGAGAGCAAACGCGGGCGGGCGGAGCAGGGACGTTGCGGCTGCCGCCTGGGGACCGTGGGGGGATGGCCGGGAGTGTGGCCGCCTGCGGGGTCGGAGAGGGCAGGGGAGGGCTCTCCACAGCTTGGCCCCGGCCCAATGCGCCCCGTGTGTAGTGGCGGCAGTCTGCCTGGCGGACGAGAGCGAACGGGCGGCTGTCGGGGGGGCCGTTGGCGTGGCAGCCGCCGCTGTACTGGGGGCTGTACTGGGCGATCAGCGGCTCAAGGCGTCTGGTGATTCAGGGCCGATCGGGATGCCGGGCTGACGTCATGCACTGTGCTGTAGTGCTTTTGTTCAAACGCTGCGCAGGCAAAGCCCATTGATCGGGCAATCTTGCGCCGTGGAGTCACGGCGGCTGACGGGAGTGGATTTTCAATTTCACGGTTTCAACTCCCTCCTGTGTTTCCCCTTGGACGTTTCCTGGGAGCATCTTTATCTTTATCGGTCGGTGCTATTGCACCGGTGGCGCTATCCAGGAACGATTCTCATTGGCTGCCGTGCTACCTTACTAAGGCACTTGCCGAATAGCACCAGTGCTATTGCTCCCCTGCGCGCATCCGCAATGGTGGGTGCTATTCCTGCGCCGAATAGCGTCACGGGAGCACTACAATGTTCTGCGCAAATAGCACCGGGTGCTATTCCGGGGTGCTATTTGGTCTCGAGCGGTGCTATAAGGGCCCAGCAGGCTTGGTTTTTACGCCGCAAAAACTAATCGTATTTACGGTTTTATGTTTAAAAATAGTTTTTGCGTTTTTACACGTAAAATGCGTAAAATACGTAAATACAACGTAAAAACTGCCCGGTGCATATAAGGGCAGTGCATACAGCCATACAGAGTCCGGAGAGTGGCAGCCAGACGCCTGGAAGGGGCAGAAGACGAGTTTTTGTTAAACGCCATCATCGCCCTTGCTTAGGGCACGGTGGACATTGTGATTTCTGGAGATGGCGGAGGACTGATCATTGTACGCAACTTTCATCGTGTAACCTGGGTGTCCCAGGGAGCCGGGAAAACGTAAGAATAGTCGTAAAAATAGGCCCTTTTGCAAATTTACGTTTTTCCACGTACAAGCTTGGTTTTTACAGTGTAAAAACTTATCGTATTTACGTTTCTACCCGTAAAAATAGTTTTTACGTTTTTACGGGTAAAAATGCATAAAAGTACGTAAATACAATGTAAGAACTGCCCGGTTTACATAAGGACAGTACATACAGACTTACGGAGTCCGGAGAGTGGCAGCCAGACGCCCTGGAAGGGGCGGAAGACGAGGCTTTTTTAAACACCATCATCGCCCTTGCCAAGGGCGAGGTGGACATTGTGTTGCGGGTGCTGGAGATGGCGGAGGACTGATCATTGTACACAACTATCAGCGTGTAGCCTGTGTGTACCAGGGAGACGTAAAAAAGTAAAAATAGCCATAAAAATAGGATATTTTGCAAATTTGCGTTTTACACATAAAAACGTCAAAGTAAAAACATAAACGTGAACGTAAAAACCAAGCCTGTACACGAAAAAGCGTAAAAATAAAAATGTAAACGCAAAAAGCAAGCCTGGGGCCCAGAATAGCACCACTCGGCGGCGAATAGCATCGGCGGTGCTATTGGGTTGCTACTGCTCCCCAACCGTTAATGATGGGTCTTTTGACGTGCGCATGCGGTGCTATTCGAATAGCCGAATAACACAGCCAGGATAATAGCACCCACTGACAAAAATGTCCTGACTAGTCAGAAGTACTTCTGCGTCTGATGCACGGATCTGATTGGGTGTCCTCAGCTGAAGCGGAACGCGCAAGAAGCAGGGAACAATTCAGAGGCACAGCAATTCGCCTTCTGCACATGGCGTTGGGCGTTGCGCACATATCACAGAAGATTGGGACATCATTGTCACATCCATTGGCCCAACCCCAGCCCTGCTGAATAAAGATGTCAACAAATATACACGGCTCAGTGAACACGATATGATCCACTTTTAGCGCGGTTGGCCCCAACAGTGCATGATTTTCGACATTCAATCTTGCCAAAACACGGCATTGTGTGGAATGGCCATTCCCTTTGCTCCAGTACACGCCTTTTGGTGTCACCATGGATGACGTCCTACATTGTGTTGCATGATCCCGCAATACAAGGTGCACCTGAAACATTGGGTGTTTCATACGCTGTCAGCCTTTGTGGGAGACAATAGTCGGCGTCCGTTCCGTTGATTTGCCTATTAGGGCATGGAACGGTGCACAAATCGTTCTTTTAGATAGCAGGCTTGTAATTTACGCTGTAAAACTGATGTTATTTGCGTTTTTACTCGTACAAAGAATTTTTACGTTTTTGCGGGTAACCAGGCGTAAAACTATGTAAATACTATCCAAGTACAAGTGCACCCGGTGCACATAAATACAGTACATACAGAAATAAGGGAAGACATTAATTTGAATTTGGTGTGCTTAGCGTCAAATTGACGTTAAGGGGGGGAGAGTTCCAGCCATTGACGCGAAGAGATTCATGTAATTGCACTAAAATCAAAACGCCATTCATCAGTGGCAGATAGCTCATGACTTGCTGCAAATCTTCCCTCAAAATTGTCCATATTCGAGGGAAACCATAGAATGAATCGATTTTTGGGCTTTGGGGCTGCTCCCATCGCCTACTATGGCTTTTGGCATCACATTTTCAAAATCAATGAAATCGCCACAATTTCTGTTGTTTTTTTTTCAAGCTAGTTCGAGATTTATGCCATTGTTAAGTAATGTGGTTGAGTCATACTGGCATCGAAATAAGGATTGACGCCAGGAGGGGAGGGGGCATGTGAGCTTAACGTCACATTGACGCTAAGACTATCAAATTCAAAATAGTGTCTTCCCTAAGGAGTCCGGGGAGTGGCAGCCAGACGCGCTGGAATGGGCAGAAAACGAACTGTGTTCCACGCTGTCGTTGCCCTTGCGGAAGGCGACGTGGATGCTGTGTTGCAGGTGCTCGTGGAGGCGGAGGACTGATCAATTGTGCGCGGCTTGATCATGTAACCCGTGGGTTCTAATGAGCCGCAAAAATGGGTAAGTACAGCTGTAAAAGTAGACCATTCTCTGCGTTTGCGTTTTTACGTGTAAAATCATAAAACGTAAAAAGAAAAGCAAGCGCAAACGTAAAAGCCAAGCCCGAATACATGCTCTGTATACTTAAAGACAGTACATACAGACTCCAGAAGTCTGGGGAGCGGCGCCAAGATGCGCTGGAATGGACAGAAAACGGCGTTTTGTTTGACTACATTGTTACTTTTGCCAAGGGCCAGGTCACCTGACCCAGGTGGACAGTGTCGGAATGCTCAATGGGGTGGAGGACTGATCGTTATTTGCGACTTCAGCATGCACCTGGAGGTCTCAACGCACCGTAGAAATATGTAATTGTAGACGCAAATATCGCCATTTCTGTGTTTGTGCAAAAAACGCAAATGTAAAAATGTTGCTGTAAACGTGAACGACAACCCTGGAAGTTTGCACGCACCTCGACCATGTGCTGGGGAGGTGCACGCCAGCTGATGGCCGCAAGCCCCAGGTGCCTGCCATTGGGGCTTATCCCAGGTCCTGCGGTGGTGATGTCGGCCAACCGCAGGCACCAATTGCAATTCACCGTGTGATCGATCGCCCCGCCTCTGTACAGGGAAAGGATAGACGCCGCACATCGTCCCGCCTCCGCCCAAAATCAGCACCCACCGGCGCCAAATATGGAGATGCAACTCCCCTGGGCGTGCAATTTGACCAAAACTAGAGGGCGACTGGAACAGGCGATGGTTTGTTTATTGCCATCCCTGATAACCGCTGCACAGGGCTTGTTACCATCACGAGCGATGGTGACCATCGCATGTGATGGTGACAATGGAAGGAATTACCTTCTGCACGTATGGACTACTGTGAGATTTGTATATGGTGCGTCTTGTTTAATTCGAAACTGTCCATCAGAGCACAAAACGCAGGGCGTGCCCCCCTCCCCGGTCATTGATGAGAGGCGAACCTTTGCCGCCCGACAGAAAGCAGAAGCGCAAAGTGGATATAAGGCCCCAAGCAATGGACCGTATGTGCACGAATATTGTTTTCTCTGAAAGAAGTGCATTCAGAATGTAAGAATTTCTTGTGACTTGGCGTGACACTACCGCCATAACAAGAGCAATAAAATGCGGGAGAAATTGAACTAATGAATCGAGCTAAGGAGTCCTATTGGAGTCGAGGCTCAAGTTTGAGGACTTCCTATATTCCCTTAGCTAAGGGAACGACCCCGAAATTGTGCCCATTTAGGCGATGGGGTTCAACTTTGTGGGCGCGCTGCTGGACGTCTGCTCAGCATGAGAGAGTCATAATATTTCCATTGCATTAGTGTGATGTATAGTCTTCATAGTAACGACCAGTATCGGCCTTTACGGTGCAAATGTTGAGTATTACGCGTATTTACGCACAAAAGTAGTATTTACTTTTATACGCATAAATACATGTAAAATACGTAAATTTTGACGCGATGTACGTGCGGACGGACAGTATATGCAGGCTCAAGGAGTTAGAGGAGTGGAAGATAGATGCGCTAGAATGAGCAGAGAACGATCTTTTTCTGACCAAGTCTTCGCCCTTGCCGGGCGCGAGGTGGTCGTTCTGTTGCGGTTGCTCGAGGCGGAGGACTTATCATTGTTTCCGACTTCATCATGTGAACTGGGTGCCTCGGCGAGAAGTAAAAATATGTAAATACAGCCCCAAGATACCCTTTTGTAAATTTACGTTTTTACGCATAAAAACGTCAATGCAAAAACAAAAACGCAAACGTAAAAACCAAGCCTAGTAACGAGGATATGCACGGCGCCATGCAACCGCCGGCGGCAACCTTTACCTACAATGCTCCTCTCCTCCCATAGGATTGTCGATCACCATGAAAAACAGGCTAGATAACAAGGTCACGACACGGTCGGCTCAAAGTCCAACCGCGTCGTTTGGGCAATGTGGTCCCAAAACCACATGGTTATTACACACATTGCCGTGTACTAACCGTGTACTTCACAGTCCCCGAGGGTACACGGTTGAAACTGTGTCAACATGCACAGTAATGTGTGTATTGACCGTGCGATTTTGGGACCACATTGCCGAAACGACGCGGTTGGACTTTGAGCAGACCGTGTCATGACCTTGTCATCTGGCCTGCTTTCTTACTATTGGATGGCCATCGACATACCCTGGCATTGGAAACCTCCATACTGAGGGAACTGACCATCATGGGTCACCGGATGTTGATTGGGCGGCATACCAACTGGCAACTTGGCGCTGTTATGGCAAGATTGCTGTCCCGTAATCCTAGCAGGGCCAGCTTCTGCATACTTGAGGACGCTTTATGTTAAAGTGACAGTTTTAGAATGGTGGAGACATCAAATGGATGCCTCGGTTTGCTGGCCTCCAAATTTTTCAGATGTTCTTTCAGCTTCCGATGATGAACATGGTGCCCTTTGCACTCAAAGCGCTCAAACGAAAAACACCTGTGCAAGATTCTGTCATGGGTTGCCATGGGTTTGCAACATCGGAATTCAGCTGGGACGCCTCATGACACAGCATGCAGTGTCATGCGGCGTCCAGTCAAAGCATGAACTGCTGATCGAGTCTCAAGTGGGATGTCAATACAGATTGGCATCTCGGCGGCACCATAACCATTGCCAAACACAGAATTGAAGTCGCCGTATAGCACCACATATATTGCTTCGTGATGATTGCCATTCTCTTCAGCAAATCGATGATTGTTGCACATGTCCCCTTGGCCACCAACGCCAGAAGTCGGCATCGGCGGCTCACCATCCGTGTGCTTCTGCCCGGCAGCACAACAACATCAACTTGTTGAGCCATTTGGACGCGCTGCAGCCCGTGACACGTCTAGAGAGCCTTGACGTCGAGCACAATGCAGCCGTCGGCCTGGCACTATTTCGTCCATATGCAGCGTACCTCCTCCCCCACTTGCTGGCACTGAACGGCGTGCCTGTGACGGGCGAAGAACATGACAAGGGATGAAGAATATTCGCCCCGGCCGCCGAGTCAGGACGGCAGCGGGATCGCGCTTTCCACGCATGTTCAGTGCCAGAGCATGCCGAAGAGTGCAAAACGGCTGTTCAAAGATATGTTAGCAAAGAAGTGGTTGCAGCAATGGCTGCCCAGGAACGACTGGAACGGTTGTATTCTATTTGGGAATGGGCTGTACGGGGGGACATTGGCGTAGGATTGCAGCAGGCCGGTGACGCAATGCACGGCATGTGCAACTGGAAGACCAGCTGCGCTCCGCAAGAAGGCGAGGGGGGCTGAACTAACGAATAGGACACGATCTCCGATTTCGTAGACGAGGCAACCGATGGCATTGAGCCCCTGAACAGTGAGCGTAAGCAACATGGCGGGGAGACTCCCGCTGCTCGACATCACTCAGAGATGAGCTGCTGTAGGCTGACAAACAGAGATCCCATCGTTAAATCCGGTGTGTCTTGAGATCGGGGCACTCGTCACAATTTCTTCCATTGGCGCTGCCTGAGACTGGAGCCCAGTCAAATCTTCCTGCACTTCCTTCCCGAGCCACAGGTGAGGGTCCTGCGCCCGTGTCGAAAGCCGTCGGACCGCCCCACGCCTTCGGCTGAAGGTGAACGGAACGGTCGTCATAAGCAGTCTTCCACGACTGGGGACGTCAAAAGTCAGACATGCACCCGCCTAAGATGAACAAAAAGAGGTGGCAGCGCAAGGGCAACTGATCTAGAGGTATTGCTGGATGGAGCACTGGGAAAGCTCAGGCTTCAGCAGGCACTCCTCTGGAGTTAGGAACCCATTGTCCGCAAGGGCGAGCTGAACCTGCAACAATGCCAACGAAAACAGCCCGTCAAGCAGAACGCTGGATACAAACTTCCACCAAATCAGAAGTTTCGCATGGTGGCAGCTGGATTTGCGTTTATGGCACTGCTCTGACCTGGTGCAACCCCCAAAGACACTACTGGGTTAATAACACTTGTGCAATGTATAAGGCAGTGATCTTCAGCTGGTGCCGCAAGAGGACTGCAGTGGGTGTACACAGCATGGCTCTCCAATCCTGGATTGGACCAACACAACATCTGAGATTATGTAACGGAACATCTTCTTCGCCCGCATCAGGGAAACAGACCACAGAGTATACGCTTCTAGTCGAAGAAATTAGATCGCAAGCCGATGTTTCTGCAAAACAGCTTCCACAAATAGTTTGAACTATGCAGAGAACATTCCACAGGATCTATTCGATGAGGGATATATGAATGTCCAACACTGGTATTAACCATTGTGGAAACCCAAACATTAACAAGAATGTTTTTACACATTGAATTCCTCAGGTTACACTTGATGTGAGCACAATACTAATCGACTCATCGACAATCTCAAGGTTTTGGACGAAAGCTGACAGACTGGTTGCACTTACATCTCCTTCAAAATTGAGAGGATCAAACACCGAACGGTACCGCCTGATGGGTTGCCCATGTCTGTTGATCAGGAACTTGGTGTAGTTCCACTCAATTTCTCCCTTCTTCCCGAAGGAGGAGGGGCCACCTGGAAGAGATGTGGGCTGCACAGCCTTCATGTACCTGTAAAGCGGGTGGGGGCTGTCACCATTCACTTCTATCTTGTCCTGCATATCAGAAAAACTGAACCACATTAGCAAATTGAAAACGAGCGTTTTGCTTCAGAATGGGTACAAAAACAAGTACACTTCAGCAACAACCAGTTATCGCTGTGAATGGTGTTGAACACTTCCCACTGGCTGCAAGGGACTAACCGGTCCTTTTCTGATAAATGGGCCTTTTCTGATAAAGCGGCTGCCTGCTGAAACTGAAAGAACTCAAGCTGACAAATGACTCCATGTTCCTCTTGGAAGTGGGAGCTGCCAATAGCATCTGCTGGAGTGCCAACCTTAAATGATTCATCGCCAAGGAGCATCGTTCTCCCCCCTGTTCTAAAAGTTATCCACACAATGCGAATTCGCAATCTGCACCAACATCCTATTGGGACAGCTGCATTTCTTGCAACCTGGAACCCTGCCTACAAGCGATGGGTAGCGAACCGTTGGGAGGCATTCGTGGAGAGCTTTTCTGATCGCACTTTGTGTTGTGTGTTCATTCTTGGGCCTCAAGAACCCAGCTGATGCCAAAAACAAGTGAATGGCAGCAATAAAAAGATTCTGTCACAAAGTTTGTGAGCCACAACCACTCACAAAGACGTCGAATTCGAAGCCAAACTTGCGGATTGCATATTCTCTCTCCTCTTCTGATGTTCCTGGTGCCTGACCGCCAAATTGGTTGCATGGGAAAGCAATGAGATTGAACCCCTGGCCACCGTACTTCTCGTACAGGGCCCTCAGGCCAGGGTAGTTCACATTCTGGAGGGGTCATTCGCTGGCCACGTTGACAACAACGAGGACCTGCCCACGGTACTTAGACAGAGCAACAGACTTCCCCTGGAATGTGGCTTCGAAATCATATATGGATTCCTGTTGCGATGCAAGGCCTGATGCAAGAACAACACAGCAAGTCAAAGATTATCATTGGTGTGGAAGAGTCCAAACATTCCAGCCACAGAAAGTGGTGCTGCAGGTGTCTCTGCAGATAGATTCAGCACTCTAGAATATACCGGAAACGGAGTGCAAAAAGAGAGGTGAGAAGGCAGTGCGGCAGCATCAATTTGTGAATCACTGACGCAGACAGCGATGATGGAATGCGGTCAACATGATCTTGCCAATGCCCTGTCTAAAATCGCTTTCTGGGCTAGACATTCTCATGTATACCGATCGCACCCCCGTGCCAACTGAATGGCATCGCCTTCTTTGAACTGACATTCTATGCAGGGGACGGCATATCTCATATGACCTCTGACATTATAGCCCCCGATATCGCCGTCACTGCGGCTGGGCCTGAACGCACGTCAGTGTGTTTTTGATACAACTACACACGCAACATTGTCCCCCAACGCTGTCTATTGCCACCATTGATTGTTCGGAATTCTAGGCAGCGGTGATGTGAGCACCTCGGCCCAAAGAAACAGATGCTGCCATAGATTAGCTCCTCCTCGATGACACTAAGCGGAGCAGGGATCTTGACCTCACTCTCGCCACGCACCTACCACGAACAGCAGTAGCTTGGGGGATAGGGCGGTGCGAGGAGCTGAATCTTCAACGAATTTCTCTGTTTGCCGCCACTCTGCAAGCCCACCGTTCCGCGAGCCATGCCCGAGAACGACACGACCGCAAAGCCAGCTGTACCCGCAGCTGGCCCCCCAGATGGCCACATTTTCAGCGTTCGTGGGCCATCTAAACGCCGCAAACAACGTACCTACGCCACATGGCAGGCAGGCGCCCCCCAAAACGAACGAGCTCAGTGCCGCCCTCCTGGAAATGCCGTTCCGCGCATCCCAGGCCTCCGCCGGATCCGCCCCGGCATCCGCGTGGCTGTCCGCTCTCGCAAGAACGGATGAACGCGAAGAGCTGCGATGGATCGGCCGCGCCCTTGTCGAGCTCCAAGGCGAGCGGGCTCCGCCGCCCGCGAGGGTCAGCGCCTCCATCCTTGCCCTGTGGCTGGGGCCGACGCTGGAGGCCAGCGCCCTTGGAGTCCTGGTGTTTTGGACATCGATGTGCGGACTCAGCCTGAGTCAGCTCCGAATGTGTTGGGTTGGGGTTTGCCTGTGTCACGCGTCACAGTAAGTATTGACTGGGACATAATGGTACGTACTAGAATCGTGGCAAATTTCCTCCAGAGCATGTTACCACGAGTTGTTAGGCACGTCTTATGTGTCACGAACCGTTGCCACTTGGTTGACAATGTGTTTTGCTGCCCAGCGTTGCCTGTGGTGGTTACGAATGGGGAACGCCGCACTGACGATTCGAAAGGCGCGAAGAAAGAGAGTTGATCAATACAAAGGGCTGTCCCTCATCTTGGGAGCCACTAACTGTTTTCAGCATGAGTTTTGTCTCGTCGCAAGTCATTTTAAGTAATACAGCTGTGAGCCACCGGCAACTTTTCAAGAGGTTTCTTAAGAAAAGTGACAAGAGGGGAAATCTGAGATACGGCTATGGGGATTGAGGAGACGGGCCGCCTGCATGAGAGGCGAAAGCATTTGGGTTGAACAGCATCATGTATGCCTACGCGTTGCCACCATTCAACTCTCCGAGTTTCCCAGTATCTGGACACAGTCTCTAAGAGGGTCTTCCCAATCTCTGCCAAGAAGCCAAGCCAAAATGGTGAGCAGAACATGGGAAAACAATTGGATCTACACCACTTCATCTCCGAAGGAGATCGGACAAAAGGCCTTCAAGGGTGGGCAGGATGAGGAGTTATGAGCAACTGAGCAACTGAGCTACGAGTATTTGGGTAGCAAACACATACTGCGAATTTACGCAGAATCGACGCCCCCTGTCGAGTTGGAAGCCCATTGTTTTGTTCTGAAAAGAAAAGTTAATCGCTGGCGACTTCCACCCTGGGATCTTTTGGGTCTGTGGCTGTGGAGCAACAACACTTGGAGAACATTCTGCAAGAACAAGGAATTGTTCAGTGGGTGCTGTAATACAGCAGTGGTTGGCACGATGGGAGCGCTGACTGGGCGTTGGGCTTTGGCAGGCACCTGCATGAAGCTGTGACAAGTCTAAGGTTCATCCAGCCCAGTGAAGTGTGCCCACCAGACACAAGGAATTTTGCTCCTTGGCTGCACAACTTGTCAAGGATCACAATGCACGTGAGGGAGTCGAATACATGCCCATCCTTCCAGTTGCTGTCCAACATGGGGTGCCAAAGGTGGGAGCCAAGTATGCACCACATCCATCCCTTGCCACCACTTTTGAGCCCAAACCGCACTGCTGCCCGTCATGGCTTGAGTGTTCAGAGCTGCATGAATTCAGCAGATTCATGACCCCTCAGCTTCTCTCACACAAGATCAAGGAATTTTCACCCAGGAAAGGGGGGGGGTCCTATTGTGTGGTATCCCCTTCGTTTCCATGAATGGAGAAGCTTCACTATCAACCCCCGGAGACACACACACCCTGTCCCTCTTTGGATGTGTCAAGTGTTCCACGAGCATGGCCAGGAGCCCCTTGAAGCCCCTAACGCTCTCCTTACGTGTGTTTCTTCCCCAGCCACGCCACCTGCTGCTAACTCCTCCCCAGGTCTCCTCAGCCGCTCGTCACCCCCCTATCGACCACCAGTCCACACCCTCCGACAGCGGCACACCTGCCGAATCCCTTGCACTCGTCTCTGGGACTCGTCCCCCCCCCCTTTCTCCAACCATCCCAGCAACTGCAGAGAGATGTATACCAGACACACCAGATATACCCAGATCCGTCTCGCGGGGCTCCGAGCGCACCTCATCATCACCCAGTTGCCACTTGGCCTCCTTTCACACTGCCTGCCAGCCCTTCGGCTTCGCTGGCCCCGGGCGGAGGCCCCGGCGACGGGTCGTGGGACCGCAGATCGCCGGGCTGGGCACCCTAGCGGGATCGGGACCCCTCCTGGCTGGTGTCCGCCGCGACGAGGTGGTAGAAAATGACCAGCACCATGACCGTCACCCCCAGCAGGTTGGCGAACCGCCCCAGGTCCCTGTCGTCGATCATGGCGCTGGGGGAGCGACGCCGAGGAGAGGGGGTGGGGGTGGGGGCAGCTGGGAGGGGAACAAAGCCGGGCCCAACACGCTGCCGTTACACTCGAAAGGCATTGGGTACGGGCGCAACGCCCGACGGCGTAACACCGTGAGTGCGTGACACCTGGAAGCCTACCTGCGCAGGCACCCAGTACAGCAATGTACTGCCTTTTCCTTGCGATTCTGTTCTTTGGCGGGAGACCCACGCTGCCAGAAACACCTCACCTGGCGTTCCGCAGCCGCGTTTGCCCGGCGGTGGCCTCCGCTCTGCGCCCGTCGGCCCGCGCTCCGCCATGGCGTTCGATCACGCGGACCTGGTGCTGTCCCTGTGCACGGGGCTCGGCACCCACCAGGAGCTACCGGACGACCTCATCATCTACAAAAAGGGGCCGGACTGCGTAGGTGGGTTGTGCACTGCACCTCAGTCTTCGGGGAGCGCTCGCGGCCAAATTGGTTTGTATAATGCTGCCTGTGGAAGACCGTGCTCCTGGCGCCCTCGGAGAAGTTGTGTGCGCCCCGTGGCCGCGCGGATCACGGCCGTGGGATGATTCGATGGGGCTGCGGCGGGGTTTGGGGTTGGGCGCATGGAGGTCGGGAAGATTGGCCCAGTTGTGTTGCGTTGGGCTTCGGCCGCGCTCGTAGACCTCTACGCCTCCGTGTGCTGTCCGGAGGGGCATTATTTCGCGCGTCTTGCTCAAAAGGAATTCCCCATCCTGTGGCGTGCGCTGGCAAAACAGCCTGCGATGGCCCAGCCATTCGGGCATCCGCGTGGCTCCATCGCAATCTGCGATTCGCGACGTCTGCACCGTCCGAGGGCACATTTTATGATCTTCGTCTTGTGCTGTATGCTGCTTCCGTTGTCTTACGATTCACGTTTCATGACCAGTATGTTGTTTTCGATGCTGCTGGAATGGGTACAATCATTCAATGCGCCACTGGTGCTGTGCAGACTGCCTAAAAGACTTGCAGCGCTTCCTCCGGCGTGACGACCCCGACAGTCGTGATGTGTTCTTCTTCCTTGGACAGATGGACTTGCCTAGGAACGATCTGGTCCCTCTGATCACGACGTACCCAAACGATTCGGACATCGTCTACAATGCATGTGCGTATTCGGTAAATAGGGTCCAATTTGGCGTCTCCAAGTCCGTGTGTCTTTAGTTTGCTACCAAATTCCTTGCTCTTCCCGTCGCTCTGATTTGTGTGGTAGTCCTGTGTCACTTGCCAACTTGCAAGTCTGTGCCTTCTGTATAGTCTTGCGCTCAGAAATCGCCTGCCTCATCTTTTCTTGTGAAAAGCCAAGCAAGAGAACATGGCAATACTTCGTGCTGTGAAGGGGGTGTCCATCCTACCGCATTCTTAAGTTACTGTCAAAAGGGCAATATTGGGCTTCTGATCGAACAGTTGTGTGCATATTCCCATGTTACGGCCACTGCGCAAAGCTACAAAGCACAGCACGCAGTACTCCCTTGGGATATGTTGCTAGGAATGGCTGCTTCTGCAGCATTGGCAGAGCATTTGCAGACCTCCCGATGGACAGCATCAGAGAACCTCTCTGTCACAATGTGCAGACTGTATTTTGAGAATGCGCTGATGCTTCTGCCAGTGAAGGTGCTCACATTCCTCACGATGCCTGTGGAGGCTGGGACATTCAACACAAGCCTGCAGGTAGACCTCTGCAAGAGCCTGTAAAGACACTTTGCCTGATTAGATTCTGCTAAATTCTGCTAAATTCTCCAACAAGTCTGCAAAAGAGGGGTATTTAGTGACCTTTTCATCTTGTCTATGCTGCCCCACAACACGTTTCCTAGAATCAGCACTACACTTTTGGATATCTTCTCTATCTTTTAGAACTCAAAAGCAAACAACAACAAAGCATGTGCATATCATTGTAAGCGTCCTATAGGAACCGGTTTGGTGGGGTATCAGATTAGTGCAAGTGTGTTTTATAACAGTGCTGGTTACAGACTAGCAACCATAGCATTTAATATTGTGCTTTTTGGTGTTGTTGGTAATAGTGTTAGAATATACTTGTTGAAAGTAAGACTTGCCCAATGCATTGAAATTTATTCTTGGTGTACTGTTGTTGGATATGTTGGATATAAACATTACCCTTCAAGTCATCTTGTAGGTGCATTGACCTCAGCCAGCTCTTGACAGTGCAATACAGGACATCCTGATAGAACTTTCCATCAAAGCCTTTTAGCATCTTCTCCTTGCACTAATTCTGTCCTTGGAATCTTGTTGGGCCCCTGGCACTTCCTACACAGTCGGCTCACCGAGTTAAGTTTCAGCCACATGTGCAGCTGCCCGATTCACTGTTCACAGTCATGGTGTTGCTTGACAGGCAGACTACATAGAAAAGGCCCGAGCCGCTGTCGTTGAGGGCCACGTGCTGCAACAGATGGCAGGCTTCCTTGCCAGCCACCTACCCGATTCAGTGTGCATGGGCAGGGAAAGCATCCTCAGGCTGCAGCTCTTCCTTTTGCTGGTTCGAAACTTGCTCATCATGCCAGAGGGATCTGGTTTCAACAGAACACAAACGTCCATCTGGACACAGGTGAGGCACTGCAATACGGCTCCCCAACGATGTGTGTCCCTTTTGATGTGTCTATTTGTGTGCACACTGCAGTTTTGGAATGCATTTCTAAAGTACGGCCATACCCGGTCTTATATCCCCATTCCTTGCTTGCCATGATGTGAAGGATGACATTTGGCCTGGCCAAGAGGCAATGATGGTGGTGGCACCTAATGCCCTGCATCTCTTTGTGGATGGCTGGGCATCATCCTGCCCTTTCAAGACAAGTGCAAACGCCATATGGATTGCCCGATGTGTAGGAAAAACTGATCGACCATCTGTTTGAGGCCAATGTGGTGGAGCTGTTGCTGGCTGTTTCTCAACATGCTGGACAGCCACACATTCGCGATGAGGCGCCACTGCTGCTGTCCATTTTCTATCACCTCTACAACAACGTCGACCCTGAGAAGATGCTTGCAGCCAAATGGACCAAGAGCGTTAGCCACATTCCCCAACCTCCGAAGCAAGCGGTCCATGCCTCCATGGTATGATTTGTTGGAGTCCTGACAACTTCGAACTAGAAGAGTGGCCCGTGGCGATGTTATTGAATAAGTATTTCTGAATTTTGAATACTCTGCAAAAGAGTTCAATGCTCAAACCTGTGTCCATCTGGTGCAAACCCATCTGATTCCTTGAGCCATTTCATCAACTGTGCATGCAAAACGCCAGTCTGATGTGCTTTTGCGACGTGATGCACATCATCAGAACACCGCCCTGGAGTTCATTCCATGTCATTTGGGATAGATAGCAACACTGACATAACCTCATCCACAAGTGCTTTTCCCCAACACAGTAACTGTCTCCACTGGTGCAGTCAGACTTGTTCACATTATCTTCACAGTGTGGAACGGGCATCAAAAATCATTTACAGGAGGATCTGTCTTCTGTCTATTCCAATGCAAACTTTGCTGTAGATTGAGCTGTAGCATTTCACTGTTGTCCAGATGCAGCCAAATGAGACACATTGGATGCACACTATCAGGTCCTGTGGTGCTGCTTACGTTCGACCATATTTATTAGCACTGACTACATTTGTCACATCCCACAGGCGCGGCAGCGATCTGTTGACAGGAAGCGGCGGCAGCCAGTGGCATCCAGGAGACTACGATATGGTGGTCATTTTGTGCAGAGGCACAATGACCACACCCATGACATAATCACCAAGGCATGCCAACCCGTTGAGATTCAAATGGCTGCACCACAGCACAAGGTAGGGTAGCAGAGCCATCTTCTATGGCCTTGTCCCATTCTTTATGACCACCGATGCATCAGAGGAGATGAGACATGCCATGTTCAGATTGTCAAAAAGTTCACTGCAAGGGGCAGTGCAAGAAAGAACTTGCATAACCCCCCTACACCAGGTGAAAACTGCTGTGCATGAAAATGCATGCAGGTCTTCCGAGAACCAGAGAAAGCCACCACGTCAAATCGCATCCTTGCCTGCCTCAGGCAGTCTGCCGATGCCTTCCTGCTTGAGGCTTATGGCCTCCTGATGCCAGTGGTTCAGAAGGCGCTGGCGCCTGGCCTTGGAATTTCTGTCCTTCAGAGGGACGACTTCCTGCACTACCTCAAAGTGGCCCGTTTTTTCATCCAGTACGTCTGCTTGAAATTGGTAAGAACTGGTTGCATGCTGACCCTGCTACGCTTTGAGACGCCCACAACATGTTTCACAGCGAGAGAAGGGTTTTGAATCAGAGTATGAGTTTAAATATTGGACGTGAAGTAAAAGCAGTGGTATTTTGTGCCAAGGGGTCTCACAAACCCAACCCACAATATACATTATGTAAAAGCACAGCACAAGTATCCATTGTTTACCTATACAGCTTCCTTTCCAACAAAGCTGCCCCACAGCCACTTTCCTCGCTCGCCTTAATCATGCATGTTGTCCGCTGTCTGCAGCTGGCACATAAAGTAAATTACGCAAGAAAGAAAGAAGCTAGCTTTGCATGTTCCGCACTACTGCTTAGACTGCCTGGACTTGGATGCAGACCCCTGCTGTGCAGAAAGTTATGCCGATGAGGTTGAGCTGCTGGACTATTTGCCTGCTGCAGGAACGTTCATCCAGTGCCCACACCTCCATCAACAAGGATCCCACTTCTCAATCCACAACATCCCCATTCTCATGCATTTCTGCCACAGTGGGATGGGAGCTATTCCACATGGTTCGAGTTATGTGGTTGTCCCAGACGGACATACCAGGGAAATCAGAGGACAAAGATTGGGAGCTTCAGGTGGAAAACGCATCTTGTTCTCCACTTATGTTTGCTGGTTTTGCTGGCTAAGCTGATCCAAAACTTCACTTTCCCCGCGGTTCACAAGGACCTCACAGTGCTTGTGGAAGGAACATCCTACACCCCATGTCAACAGAGTGCACAAGTTTGCAGGTTCCCAGTATGCAAACATGCCATAGACCTGAAATTTTGCTCACCCAGCTGCAGCATCCTCATCCACAGTCCTTGAGGAAATGTACCAGAAGAGTTCCCGACAGGCAAGTGGCAGAGGTTCTTTGCAACTGGCAATGTGATAGTGCAGTTGCATTTCATGCTGCTGCAAATAATTGCCAGACTGGGTGTGGGGCAAGGAAGGGAGCATCCTGTCCAGGTTTTGAGCTCTGAAGAGCGGGAAGGTTGCAGCTGTCTGTAGCATGTGGTCTTGGATTCCATTAACAAGCAAATTCGCAATAGCTGGCCAGCTGCCAACCGGTCGCTGTGGCTTTAAAAATCTCATTATTATGGCAAAATGTGGGACGAGCTCCCCTTCCATGTGTTGGATGATGGCAGAATAACGACGATGTGCTTTACTGCATGTGTGCTGCTGCAGCGAGCCTCTCTGGGACTCCTGAAAGAGCTGCTGTTCGCACTGCACCTGGCCCACAAGCAGGGAACGGATGCCGACAAGAAGGCAGCCAACCGGCTGCAGCGAAGGTGAGGTTGTCCGAAACCGCATTGATGCAATTGCTGGAATGTGACAAGTCACTGTCCTTGCCTGCATTGGGCACTGTTAGAGTCAAATGACCTTCCATCGGGCGGCACTGCCCATGCATTTGTTGCCATGTTTGCACTTGTTAGGAGGCTTGTTGTTATTGACAAGAAGTCTGGATTATGTGCTTCACTTTGGGAAAGGGCAAAATTTTGCGGTGCCTGGAAGTTACAAATTCAAGAGATGGATGCACCCACAATGACAGGAATCCCTGTACCAGTATAGCAGTTGAGGGCATACCATCAAATGGGGACATAAAATGCAATTTATGGAATGGAGTATCCCAAGCAGACAATAGGCTACTGGGCTACAAAGAATACCTGCAATCAAATGGTAACACGGTGAACAAAACATGAGAAAGATGATTCAACAAGGACATGTATCATAGTGTGGCACAAGCGCTGTGGACAGGTTTTGGGAAAGGATTGAAATTTGCAATTTTTGGTAGTTGCAAATTTGAGGAACTGTGTGCATCTACAATGCCTGGAATGCCTACAGCAGTATAACACTTGAGGAACATTTGCCACACTAGTCCATCAGTTAATCAAGACACTTCGGTTCACCGGTACAACAAGAAACACCTTACCTATTGTTTTGCAGACTCCTTCACGATGACATGAGGGAATCGGGGCTGTTGCCAGTTCTTGGGCGGCTCATCCGGGGCTTTTCTAAGAAGTACCAGGGGAGGCAGGACGCCACAGACATGGTGGAAGCCCTGCACGTCGTCTTGGAAACATATGAGAAGCTGTCTTCTGAGGAGGGTGGAAAGTTCTACGTTGCTAAAAAGGCAAGAGCGAAGCGAAAACAGACTGCAACAGATGGCACAGAAATGGGAAGTGACCCAACCAACAACAATGGGGGTTTTGGGGAGGATTGCGGCAAGGACTCTGCAGATCGAGTGTCAGGTAATCTTCTGCTTCTTGTGGACAGGCAGGTGTATGGCAACACTCATTGTTGTGTGCTCTTTCTGTTGCATATGGGAAATTCTACATCACATCGTCTGGGCAATAGATTCGCGCTACGGCGCTAGTACTACTGATGCTATGGTAGGTTGCATCTGCTACTATAAGGTTCTGCAGCAAAGCACCACAGTATCATATTAAAATATTGTAGATTCTATCTTATGGAAACGCATCTTAGGTTGCCCAGGGGTTGATGCCATCTGTGCTGCTCAGCATGCTTACTTCTTTGTTGATTTAATCGCTGTTAGTACTGGTTGGTTGCATTTGCCCAGCACTTGGCCTGTCTGGCGATGTCCAAAAAGGCTCTTTGGCATTTGCACCCATGCACTCATCAGTGGGTTGTTCTGCTGTTTCGTGCCAAAGTGTTATCGTGCTCCGTGTGTGCTGAGCTTAGATGGGGGCCTTTAGTTTGCACGTTGCTTTCTGCTAAAATTTGATACCCGACAACCAGAGTGATACCTTGTTGTGTTGCAATTCCTTTTCGATCACGTGAGACGTTGCCTTGTGAGTCTACAATCTGGTGCACCATTGCCTGGGTTGCTCCTCCCTGGCAGTTTTGGATATGTTTGCGCCACAAAGGACAAAATGTGTCCGTCCTGGAGTTTTGGGCATTTTGTGGATATCGTCGTTGTCTGGTAACTACGCACTATTGTATCGATTATGCAATATGTAATACTGTGCATTTTCGGTTGGCCATAAATGGCGAAACATTGCTGTTGGACATTGGAGGCGGTACTGGATGAGCCCACACAGTAGAATTGGAAACGATTGTCCACCCATTGGTCGGAATTCGGCACCCTGTGTAGGGCACGCTCAAAACAGACGGCAGCATTCGATGAATGGTGCTCGAATGTGCTTGTGAAATCCCATGTAAACAGTGTCAGTGGAGGAATCCAAGTCAATAGTGAAGGTGGAAATATTCTTGTCTAAAACCAAGGGGCGATTGGCAGGTGCTGGCACAGATGGCTGCGAAGAGAATGGTGGTACGCAACCGTCTAAAGATGGGGAACAGCTGCCAAAAGAACCTCACTGTGAAGGCCAGGAAAGGACGCCACTTGAGGAGTTGCTGGGGAAAGAATCATCGGAGGTGATGTCTTGTTGGTGTCTGTTCTGCTTGTTGCAATCACCTCATGGGTCTGTGATTGCAAGCACAGGAACATGGGGCCTTCATTGAATTCAACAACAAGCAGACAAGCAAAACGTGAGAATGGCGTGAAATTGATGTGAGAAGACATGCCGATTCCCCATCATGGTTTGTTCGGCTGCCAACTTTTCCTGGTGCGATTGTTGAAGGATGAGGAGAGTGAAGGAAACAACACTGAGCAACTCCCCTCAACAAAAGAAGTGTACCATGACTTCTCAAGGCGCTTGCACCAAGAGGTGGCACATCCGGATGTTGTGAGCTTTTACATTGGGCTGCTGAATGGTGGGAGTCCTGGCATGCAGTTTGTAGTCATTGTTGTTGCCAACTGCATTGCAGTGAGTACCAATCGTACGGTTTAGATATCCGGTCATGTCTCCAAATTGGATTGTCATTCCTGAATGAGACAAATACCCATATGTGGTCGCAAGTAATGGCCTGCCCAGCGCGTTTGTCTTTATCTACGTTTTGAATGTTCTAGTATTTATGCATCAGCTCTTTGAGCACTGGCCAAACAAGTTAATGTGCTTGGCTTGTGAGCATGTATGTTACCACAGTTACCACAGTTGCCCTTCCAGCAAGCAGTCCTCAACAAAATCTTGATATCCACGCCAAGTTTTTACACTCCTGCCATTCCAGACCAAAAGCAGAAATTTTGGCTTGCACATCTGCTAAATGCCAGGTTTCCTGCCCTATCTGTTTCTTTCATCATTTGCATAGCCTACCTTGATGACTGGCACATGTCGGGGCAACTTTTTGTCTTGAAGCAATTTATTTGAAATGATATGTGGCCATTCGCTACCGTCGATTTGTTCTGTGGAGACCCCAATATTGCTTGAAGCACCATTAGCAGATCCAAGTATTGTTTGTGCTTTTTATGAAGGAAACAAGCTCACAGAGGATGCCACACCTGAGCAAGATTCTGCATGACTTTGTTTTATTTTGTTGCTGATGATGCAGAAGGCCTTCAAATGCAACAGGAAAAGCATGAAACAGATATCAAAGCAAATGGGCGTTTGTGCTTCTTTCCCATCCAGGAACAGTCTGTTGGTGACAACTCGTATAGCCCCCTTGCCGCGCAGCACCAATCTGCAAGCGTTCTAAGTTGCTCAATCTCGTGAGCATGCTACCAACACCACTGTCTCACTTGTTGTGCTGTGTGCACCCTTTGCTGGAAGTTGGCAATGTGCACTCACAGCATTGCATGGAAGTATTTGGAATTCAATTGTTCAGTTCCAAGCTGCTGATTCGGCTTGTTGTGTCAACAGATTATTCCACAAACAGCCCCTTCCTGAACCATTGCCTGGTGTCGTTTTTGAAGAGACTTGCACACCCTGAACAGCTGGGACTGGAGCCAATGCTTTATCAGGTGCTTTTCCTGACCTGTATTTCCACAACGATTCATGCACTTGCTTTCAGCAGAGGCGAATCTCACGTTCTTTCAAAGCCATGAGCACTATAGAGAAGAGTGCATGGCACTACTCTTGTGCAGCGAAATGCTAGCTCATGGCCTTTGTTAATTTGCCTTAGTGGCCTGGGAGCCATCTAGGGAGTCTTTGCAGCAGCTGTCCGAATGCAGTCAAGGAATCGCAAGATTACACCAAAGGAAGTGGAAGTACCATAGGCAGGCACTGCTGCCTCAAGTTGTTGTATGGCACTGTGTGGGGGCTTCGTTGTTGTCAATGGAGTGGCCAATTACTTGCATTCTTGTTGCCCATGTTTCATCACATATGAGTTCCATGTTCTGGAAGAAAAAGAATGTGGACACCTTGTGCAGTGGGAGCTTTTGCGGTGACGAGCATGTGACCCTTGCATCGTCTTTCATCGCCCACAGCTCAGTGTGTTGCAAGTCTTCCACCGAATCATCCTGGATCGAGAGATCAGGGGCCGACACAGGTTTGAGGAGATGGTGAAGCTCTGCACTGAAGTGGTGGGAAACATGTTTCAGCGCATGGCACCAGCAGCAGAGTCTGTGGCAGGTACTGATTCTGGGGCGGACGGAGCAGGACCCAGCCAAACCATACATGTGGATGACCAGGGAAGTCAGCACAGTGCGCGGAATCAACCAAGCCAGGAGGCAGTATCGTTAACAGAATTCAATGGTGGTGAATTGGAGATGCAGAAAAAGGTGGGGATGCTGTTTTGACACTTGTCTGCAATTACTGCATCTATCATTTATGGTGCCCTTCGACCAACTGACGTTATCGGCGATGCTGCCATGGAAATGAAGGTGCCCATCACTGACGTGAATTCTGGGCAAGCACGGGCCTGCAGGTTTTCCTCAATAGAGCAATGGACATGCCACAGAATGGCCCGTGCCTTGTTGTCTTCATACCAATTTCGGAAAGATTTGTTTGCCATCCTTCTTACAACGCCCACGTTGTTACCGTGCTGTTTGTGTTGTATTTCACGTGGAATTTGCTGCCTGCAGGAAACGTGAAAATATTTTTCTTTATGGTATCAAGTGTGACAGCCATTCACACAGCACAGTGGAATTTGATTATGACATCATTCCTCCATGCGCACCTGACATGGTGCCTTCTTCCTGCTGCTGTGTTGACGGATAGCACGACTGGCTTGGAAAGCTCATGAAGAGCTGTGGCACACACAGTGCAGTTGATTTCAACCCCTTCATCGCCTTGCATGTGCCCAGGCTACTGCTTCGAAGTGGATGTGTTATCAAATGATTGACACAGGGCATGTGGGCTGGTTTATAGATACAGAATGCCGTATCCTCGATGCTGTTTCTAGAAATCCTCTTCTGGAAAGGCACTGCAGCCGTCAATGACATAAAAGAAGAGTATCATTGGAAGGTGAGGCCACGCCAGGGGCAGTTCATGGGAATCATTGACAGATCAAACCCTGTTGGTAAAATTTGTGGTGAAAAAATCTGTCTGAACTAAGCAATAAACTCACAACATTTCCCAATTGAAAAATTGAATGTCTCTGTGGAGTAGAGGCAAAGCTGGATCATGATATATGCACCAAACACCATGCTGCAATCGCCCATCGCACTGATTTGCTGACTTGGTGCTTTCAGGTCAGCCTTGTTTGTCATTTTGTTTCATGAAGATAGCAACAAGCTTCATTCAGCAAGAGATTTGTGGATTGCTGCTGGTCAGAGGTAGCTGTCCTTGAATGACTCTGTGGATGTGGTTTCTGTCATGTTTGTTCAAATGCCCATCATCTGCACTGTGCCAGGCAGTGCGGATGAGAAGAAGCGACTTTGGCACGGGCAATCCTGGCACTGACAGGGCGAGGAACAGTGTGGCAAACAACAATGCCAGGAGCGGCTTTGCCAATCAAGCACTCCGAGATGCAAGCGAGTCAGAGCCTGAATTGGACTGCACCGCTGCAGTTGGTGCAAGTGGTGTGTAGTGTCTGCATGGCACCTGCTGTTGTGTTTGTGCCTTAATTTATTCCTTATTCTTGCATTTCTTGCTCCGTGCTATGGGTATGTCAATTGTAACATCCAAGCAGAGGGGAATTGGAGATTGGGGACTTCGACATTGGGAGCTGGCAATCTTGGAGTTTTTGTGCCGACATACACAATTACATATTGCTGCAGAGACCTTTCCTATTCACTCTTTGGCACACCTGGCGACACTTGTTGCACTGAGAAACCACAACAGGCACAGCAATCTTTGATTGAGCCTGTGGTCCTGTTGGCTTCAAAACGTCCCTCACGCAACTTTCCCAATACTGTTCTTCAATCTTTCCACTGCAGAAATTTCATCTTGCCAGCCTATCAACAATGTCTGCATTTTCTGCAGTATGCAAGCCCAGTGCTTCCCATGCTGCATAATGTCATGCGCTGTACACCAAGGAACAAGTGTGCATCTCGTTACTTGAACTTTGCTCTGCTGAAAAAGCTGGCAGGAAATGCGAACTCACCCGCATCAAATATTGGCTGTTGGCCATCCCTCCAGCGCTTTTCAGATGTGCAGAAGAAACAAAATGGTCGCCGATTTTCCCTGACGTTAATGCTGTTTTCTGGTGGTGCAGCGCCTGGTAAGGGAAGAGTCCACAAGTCTCGGAAGCCTCGCAAGGGTAACTTGTCTGAATACCAGATGCTGAGGCTGGAGGAACTGTTCGAGCAGAACTCGGGAAGAAAAGACTGCTACGACAGGATAACGGCAGCCCTGGACGGAGAGCTGTCCAGAGGCAAGGTGGTGTACAACCTCAAGAAGAAGCTTGGGCTGAAGCGGGGCATGCTGACGCCACTGCAGGTGCGTTATCTATAGTGTCCTTACTGTGTTGACCGGCTTTGTTTTTTGTGTATTGTCCAATCCGTTTTCCTGCTCCTATTTCAAGGGTAGAAGGACTGTGGGTTGACGGCTGCTGCCCTTGTTGGCCAGGAGTCCAAGCTCAGCGCGATGTATGAGGAGCTGAAAGGGCAGCAGGGCGTCACTTCCAAGATCAGCGAGCAGCTACCAGGCGGCTTCTCTGTGAACCAGGTCCGGAGCATGCTCAAGAAAAGAGGCCTGTTGATCATGCCGGCGAAAAGGGCTCGCAAAGAGGTGGGCGCATGTCATTGTTGCTGCCAGTCGTACTACACTGACTACTCGTACTACCCATTGTTTTGTCTCTACATTGGAGCTGTAATCCAGGTGTGCATGTTAAGTTCGTTGAACCGGGCCACCCTCAACCACCTGAATCACACCAAAACCGGAAGAAACGATTAAAATGTTCCGCTCCAAAAGCGGTGCTCTCAACATTCCCTCCAAACATCGTCCAATGGCGTTCTGTACGCGCCATCCATTTCGTGTCCTCGAGACACGCCCAACGTGGCATGACAAAAAGCGCACACCGCAACACGCCAGCTGCCATGGAGCTCACGCCCCTCATCAAAAAGGCCGCAGCAGGAACTGCATTCCGCTGGATATTTCCCGCAGGTGGACGAATCGTCCCCGGAGGCGTCTCAATCGGGCGCCGCCTCTTCATCATCCGAGCCAGAGGACGTTTGCGACAGAGGCGGCGTCCGTGTGACTTGCAGACCGAGCACCTCCGGCGGCAGTCCCTCCTTCCTGGGGTCCCAGGGGGGCGATGACGACTCTGCGGTGAGCAAAGCCCTTCCAGGGTCGTCAGGCGATGGGACCTCTCTCGCCGAAGGTGGCGAAGGGGGGCCTGCTGCCTTGGGCGTGAAAGAAAATCTTAGGCAACATCCCGGGCACCGCGTGAAGAAAAGACGCCTGACGAAGAAGCCGCGCAGCGCAGTGCCGTCGGAAAGGGATCGGGGCGAGGGGCTTGGCACCGCCAGCGGCGGTCGTCTGGAGTCTCCGCATGCCGACATCGTCTTGAAGCCGGCGACGGGACTCAACCGAGCGGTGAGCGAAAGCAGCGACTCCAAGAGCGGGTGGGATGAGGCGGTGGCTCGGAAACAACCTCCAGCCAGTCGCGTGAAGATTTTCAAGCGGCGGCTGGTGAGCTTGGGAATGGCCCGCGCGTTGGCCGAGGACGAGATTGAAGAGTCCGATGGGGAAGCGGATGTGGGCAGGAAGAAGACGAAGCCTCGGAAACATCCTCCGGGAAGTCGCATGAAGATTTTCAAGCGACGGTTTGGGAGCGGGGAAAAGGTCCGTGCGTCGGCTGAAGGCGAGGTTGAAGAGTCCGACGGGGAAGTGGATTTGGGCGAGGCGCCGCCGTCCAAACGGCGGAAGGGGGTGCTGCTGTCGGATTCAGACGGAGAGAGTGGGGGAACGCTGAGAATTGGCGCGGCTGGCTGCCAGAGTGAGGTGACGCTCGACGACGAGTCGGACAGCGACATTCCCACAAATGTGGGCGCAGCACGGGGCGCTGACGACGCGCGGGCGGGCTGCGTGGCGTCACGGGAGGCGGTGGAAGCGCGGAAGGGGGATGTGCTTGAGGCTTTGGACTCTCGGGATTTGAATGTGGGCCTTTCCGAGGGTGGCAGAGAGGCTGCGAGGGGCCTCCAGCGTCAGGGAGAGGAGGGGTCGGTTGGGTTGGGAACGCCAACTGGGATCGATGGCGTTGAGCCCGCCCAGGCGGGCGAACCGCCGCCCAAGGCTTGCTCCCCAACGCAGTCGGGCTGAGGGAAGGATCACCCGGGACAGTGCCGTGGCGCAGCGAGCGCAACACACGGCCACTTGGAAACTCCGGCTCATCGCCATGTGCCCTTGGGACGTCTCCAGGATGGACTACGTGCCCATTCCTGAGCTGGCCTGGCTACCTGTGTTCTGTACGCCATGTCAATATGCAGCTAGTGCTGCTTCCGAATGATTATTCTGCCGGTCACTTTGCTGTGAAGCGATGCCGATTCGTGTCACGGCAGCTGGGCTCAGGAAGCTCGCCCCAGCACGCTGTTCAGCAATGTTCGGGCACAGCTTTTGCATCAACCCATGCAAAAGACTGCCTGGACTCTCCAGCACAGCCACTTGGCCACTGGGTGCCTCCGTTCACGGACAATACTGCACGCCACAAAATTGCATGCACACACAACATTGGTGAAACAGCTGCTGCTCCATTTCAAGAATATGTTCGCGTGAGGCGCCCATGTTACGATAATGGAGCATGAAGATGTCTTTGCCGAGTGTAGGCAGCGATTCGATGCTCAAGAAACCAGCACAACATGTATCGTGTACTACCACGATCGATCGGCGCGCACGCCTTCAGGTATTCTTGTATGTCCGCTGAGCGCTATTGTGGCGCGATCGCTGGGCCGCGCCGCTCTACGCAGCTGTGCGCTCCTTTTGGTGCGTTCTAACATGCCATGCGGTCGTGATTCACAGCATCATGCGCCTCTACGGCACGGAATCGTATGTAGCTGTGCGTCGGCATTATCACAGGTCGCGCTGCAGTTTTTCCAACGCGACCTAGCGATGATGCGCTTTTCAGCCCACCGCACGGCCTGTTGTGGCCAGCTGCACAGCTGCTGCTTTGTTTTCCACCAGAGCGAGCGGCAAGAAACCACTAGACGCAGGGGGATGCGTGCAGACTGGAGAGTTGGGCTCGGAGGCCCTTACAAAGCAACCATACAAGCACAGCCGCTGGCGGACACTCAGAATGTCTTGCCACCCAACAAGTTTCCCCACGATTCGGCCGATCACCCCCCACGGCACCCAACGCCAACCAGCACAGCACCACCAAACCCCACACACGAACGAATGGTATAATGGTAAAGAATGGCGACCCCACGGCCACCCGCGGTTCTTTCATAGGACAGAAAGGTCCCTTGAAATCCCAAAAGGCCACATGTGGCCCCTTCAAAAGGGGCAGCACCCTTCCGATCTCACATACGGCGCAAGCACACACAAATTGCTGAATGCACACTCAGATTGTGTGCACAAAGCAGGACGCCAAAGTACAAGAATCCCGTCAGCTCAATGGCTGAACCCTCCCCATGCTTTGCTGCACTTCAGTACCTCGTGATCAAGAATAAAACCAAAGAAATGTCCATTTTCTCAGCGTATCCGTGAACTTCAAATGAAGTCTTGACTTCCTGATTTCTACTTGTTTTCTTAACGCACAATCCAGCCCATCACAGAAAAGGGGCAAATGATCAATGTCTCCATGTCATGTTCATACAAAATTCCTACAAAGTTCCGCAGCCCCTGACACAAATCATAACCATTTGTACTGCAGTCCATGGGGTATGCTGATGTTGTTTAGTCCGAAGGGGCCACACCCATCAAATCATGTAATGTTCAGTGACATACCGTCCTCTAAATAGTAAATTCCTCTTTCCCCGTTTCAGCTCACCTATCATACCAATTAACGTCACTTGCCATCACAGAAATCCTCCAAATTATCCACTTGCCGCCACCATGCAGGCCATGTACGTCACATTCATTTGTCAAATGATGGTCACGAAGTAGTGCATGTATTGACACCATACTTTACAGCACTTTCCAGCGCCCTCGCTCAACACTTGCCCCAATATTAAGAAAAGAGTACATTAATGTACTCTATTCTTCCTCCTGCCCACACAGAAGTCACACAGTACTACACAAAAGTGGATAACGTGGGGACTTACTCTGCAGTATTGCGGCTGCGCAAATGTATAGAAAAGAATGGGCCTAACTGTTTCTAACAATGCCCATTCTTCTCAGGGCATGGAGGCCTGTTTGACGAAGCCTTGTCACATTACTGCCACACTTCCCCACGGCTTTTCAAGCAGCATTTTCGAGTTTTTCTTGTTCAAGGCTTTAGCGTGGACAAGGTCCCAAGACACTCCTGTCTAAAATAGCACAGAAGTCCACTGTCTGCATGCGTGCCCGGCATGCCGCCCTAAGAATGGGCCAACGTTCCCAATTCCTTTTCTTTCTACCCTTTAGAACCACCCCTTTTTTCTCCTAGTTTTTCATCAGTACAGTATTCCTTCAGTCTGACATAGTGACAACATGTCAGACAGACTTACGAAGCCACATCAAGCCAACTATATCCCTTTCCGATGGTGTCCTGAGGCCATGACCCACACAGGGCTTCATGGCAATGAGGGGAAAATATTTTTCACACGCTGTACTGGTCGATTGGGTGCCAGCCCCCCTCAGACCGCTGACATGACTCCCTGACCCATGAGTACAACGCGTCGATCAGGCTCTTTGCAGCACTGTAGCTTCCATGCATGCATGTGCATTCCTGTGGAGGTGTCAGGATGTAACCATGCATGTCATGAGGATTCAATATACGTACGTACACACTTCTGTGATTGGCAGACAGCGGTGTCCGTTTCATTCGCATGAACCATGTGCCGCAAGTGCATTTCAGGACATATTTTGTCTGAATGTCTTGCGGTCACATGAACTCCCTTTTTCGTGCAAACCAACAGATCATGTGCCCTCCCTCGTCAGTTTGGGGGGGTCTCAATGGTCCCCAAGGACCAGAACACCAGTGACACTTCAAGTGAGCTCGGCGCTCCCACACAGCCTGCATGCTTACGGTGCAAGACCTTCCAAAATGGTCTCTGGCCTGGTGAGTCTGGGGATATGATCAGTGACATGAATTTTTGAGTGCACAGAGCGACTTCCTCCAGTCAGCTCCTGCCTCCCTCACCTTCCCCAGTGAAACTCACTCCCAGGGCATTGCAGCCCTAACGCTTTCAGGAGTGTTCTCACTTTTTGATTCTTTTTTTTTCCATCAGCAATGGTGGCTTACTCGGGCCATCCTATGCAGTGTGTATCACGCATACGGTCGGCACCCGTCGTGAGCCTATTACGTAAGTGAGTCCCGCAGTGAAATTGTGCTCATTATGTGGCTTCATCGAACAAATCTGTCTGTCAAGTATCAAAAATGGTGTGCACCACACTCGATGCGTCCATGGCGAATGCGCCCCAGGTCAGTCTTGGTCTCAAATTCCACAACCCAACGCACAGAGGCGTTTCCACAGCGGTCATCCTATTTTGCGCGTTTCACACCACTTTCGGACCTTGTCCAGTCCAGAGCAGCTAGTCTCCAGGTTGACGCCATCCCTGGCTGTCTTGCATTCTTGGATTCTTGGATTCTTGGTGCGCTCTCTAATGGCCCACAAGCCCCCTGGTTCTGCAAAATTGCTGCAGAGTTCCCCAAAGTGCCCTGCTAAAGGTGCCCGTTCGCCTGTTCGGCAGGCGCGGCCATCGGAGATCGACGGGGCTCGACGTGGATCCCCCCGCTGCGACCATGTCGTGCCCCCGGAGGGTCGTACGGATGACATTCCTGAGAAGCCCCCGCCCCGGGCCTTTGAGGCCGTGTTGGACTGCCAAGAGGGCATCGCCGAGCCCGCCCGTCGCTGGCGCACGCCTCCTCCCCGCCCGCCGCAATGGTACGCCCCGCCGCCGCATGCGCGCCGGGCCCCGCGCCCGCCTCCCTCCCGGCGGCGCCGCTCTGAGCCTCGGAAGCCAACGGGCGCCGGCCCCCCGATCGGCCCCAAGCCCAGCACGGGTGGGGCGCGTGTCGGCCGGGGCGATGCTCGCGCGCCTGGCTAGTTGACATCCAAATCCGCCGCCTGCGGACGCCGCGGAAGGGGTCATGGGCGCTCTTTTTGGGGCCAATTCAGTCGTTCACCTCCCCCGCTGTGTGAGATGCGTTCAGTGGCTCCGCCGCTGTGATTGCATTGCTGTGGGTTGGGCGAGGCATGCCCGGGCGAGCGCTTCCGGAGAGGTGCATGCTGGACCCCGCCACCGTGGCTTTTTGATCTGTGTGACCGCCTTTGTGGCAGGGAAACACGCCCGGGCAGCAGAAGCGCGACGACCGCCTCCCGCCGCCCGGCGGCCCGGAGGACCAGTTCACCAGCTACTCGCCCTGCAGCCCGGGCTCGCCGCTGACGTACAGCCCGCAGATCCTGATGGAGCCGATGGTGCCCAAGACCGAGGACCTGTGCCCGCCCAGGCCGGGGGGCGCGCCGGAGTTCCACGGCATGGCCGGGTACCCCGCACAGCCCAAGCTGGTGCCGACGATGATAGTGTGTGAGTGGGCGATCTCTTGAGTCCCACGTTCTGTTTCAAAATGGTGCATCACATTTGAGACCGCAGGTGCAACCCCTTTTCCCGGCCACCCCACCCCGCCCCACCCCACCGGCACTTTCGTTCCAGTCTGAAGATACGTGGGCCTTCTAGCATTTCCTGAGAATGTGCAAGGCGATTTAGAGCCTGAGATTCGTGCGATGGTAAATCGCTTGAAAATCTTGGCATGAACTCAAGAAAGAAATCTTCGGGTGTCAGGAGGGGGTGGCGGATGTGCGTGATTGCTGCTGTTATGCTTGATCTGATTGGCAAGGCCCAATGCCTACGCTTCAGGCTAGCAAATCTTTGAAGATTTTCACAGCCTCGATATGCCTGAATGGTGGAGTAGCGTCCAGCTGAAACAAAGAAAAGGAAAAACAGGAGGAAATCTAGGAAAGACGTCTGCCGCGCTGTTAAGATGGCTGGATTTTGCCACAGGTTGCTCTGATTACCGTTTCTAACTGCAAGCATGAGCACAATGTGAAGCCCATTGCGCAACCAAGTTCTTTGTGCTACCTGGCTCTCATGGCTGGCTGAAATGTTCCGATGACAACAAATTGTGTGCATGAATGGTGGCGGCCTGGTGGCAATAAGCATGGTAACTTGCTGAACCATTGTACTTGACTGCCGTGTGGAATGCGTTAGCCCTTTCCCTGCCAAGATGAGTTTCCTGTCCTGGAGTTCTAAACACTTATAGAATGCTGCATATTTGTGTTCACGGTGCCCTCCCCAATCTGCGAATGAAACGGCACAAGCAGCACGGAGTATCATGGAGCCACTGCAGCACATACACTACTGGTGCCCATGGATGCCCAGCACATGCTTGCAGTTACATGGATTACAACATGCTTTGCAGCATTTAATACAATATGTTGAAAGCACACTTACCACTATTAGTGGGATTGCAACCGACAAGTGAAGGGGAATAAAAGCCCTTACACCTTGCGGATGTTGATGGATGTGGAAACATGCAAACGGTGTTTGTTTCCCACTTTACGCATTTGCATTTGTTCGGACGACTGAAAAGATATGGTCTGATTTTGACACATATTGCATGGTTTGAATGGGCAAATATCCAAAGGTATCGACTGGAGTCTGTATGCCCAAACAGCAGAAATGGAATACCAGACAAGTACAGTAGATATGTGTGCTATGTTGAGCAGTTTTATCTTGATCACCAAAGATGAATAGGCAGGGTGTGCCTCATGCCACTGCATGCTTGAGCTTCGGTTTGCAGCAGCATCTTTGGAAGCCTGTTCAGTATGCCACTGATTGTGTTCTAAGGATGGGATGGATGCATACTGGAGCACCATCACAGCTGAAGTGAGGATTTACCGCCTGCTTGGTTATGTTCAAATTAGGTTTAGCCTGCTCCTGTTTGGTGGTATCTTAGTAAGGTTGTTTGCCATTGTGTGTGCAGGGAGTCATGGTGGTAGTGAAGTTGCGGTGGAGGGCTCTTTCGACAACTGGACCAACAGACAAACCTTGCAACAGTCTGGCAAGAACTTCACTGTTGTCAAACTGCTGCCGCCTGGTGTGTACCAGGTGTGTGCATGAAACATGCCACTGATCGAAATTGTCGATCGAACTCATGTTGAAGCTGAAGTCAGATTGTGTCAAAGCGACTGTCAAAATGCGTGCCAAGCAGTGCCTCTGTGCCTGTTGGGCAAGCCAGATGCTGTGTTCATCCAGAAATTCTGTCCTGTGTGTTCGTTTGTCTCTGATGGGGTAAAAGGCCTGTTGAAATTTCATTGACAATCGGCGCTGACGGCATGCAGAGAGGTGAAGAGTCAGGAGGAACAGACTTCACAGTTTGTTCTGCACTTTATCTATCCAAAACGTGGCAAAACTGCTGTTTCTGTTGTATTGGCGCACTGCAGGAGTTGGGATCTGCAATGTGCTGTTCGCAAATTGTTTTCCATATAATTTGCCACACGCCGGAAGCGAACAGCACCGACCTGCATATCCACAAGTTGCTGTCCATATAATTCACCACACACTGGAAGCGAACAGCGCCGACCTGCATATCCACAAAGCAACTGGCAGCGCATTGTTCAATATCCATGGATAGAACTGCACCAAGAGGGCAATACATGCACCAGTGACAGGCTGCTGTTTGACGCATTGACTATCATGTTATTGCAGTACAAGTTCATCGTTGACGGCGAGTGGAAGTACGACCCCAATCAGGCGGCCATGTACGATGAAATTGGAAATGTGAACAACGTTCTGGAGGTGCACGAGTTTGTGCCAGAGAACATTGGCGGTGTCTCTGGGTTCGACCCTCCCCCTTCCCCACCCTCCAGGTGAGGAGCTGTTGCTGGGCATCATCGATTTCCCAACCGTTGAGCTGATCCACCAGGAGGACATCCTGATCCGAAGGAATTTCCATACCAACATCGTGTAAGCACGATGGGCCAGGTTCTCTAGCTGGCCATTGAGCGTGCCTTGGAGAGGGCACATGACAGCTATGTATGCAAATGTGATTTAGGTGTCTATGGGATGGGCATTCCCCATCAGTGATGTGAATGTGCAGTGTTGTCAGGGTATGCAACAGACTGTGGCAAAACAAAATAAGGATAATGCATTGGCGCACAGACATTGTGGAATTGTTGATAGGAGTGAACTGGTCGGCTTGTTGGGCAAAGCATGCCTTGTCACACAGTGCTGCGGTCCAAAGGACAGGAAGCACTGTGGTATGGAAGGAACCCAGCCCAAGTGATTCAGAAAGGTGTGGGGTAGTTTTGTTGCCCAGTCTCAATGTGCATACAATACAAGAAGTCTATAGTCCTTTTGTGAAATTGTGGGCTTTGGTGTTTTGGATTCGCAGCTCAGTACTGTTAACCCATGAAGAGGGTACCATTTCAGCAAAAGTTTACTACAGGAACTGGATAAACTCTGAACACAGTCACATATTCATGCTGAAGATACCCCTAACTGGAGCATGTATCTGTACTGCGAACTCAGAGGCCTTCAATTTACAAGCGCTGTGCATTGCTGTGTATTTAATGTTGTGGCTCCATCAGCCTCGATTGGTGATCGAGCGGGGGTGCAGCAGTCAACAGGTTTTAGAATCACTTGGAAAATGGGGCATTTGGCAAGGTCACTCTTCAAAGATAGTGTGGTCGTTTGTGTATGTTCGTGGACTAGTCTAAGCCTAGTGGAGCACCTTGTTACACTGTGCTGAACTGTACAAATCTTCCACAACAACAAGCTATTGTCTGCATATATGTAATTTCGCTGGTGCGAAGGTGTTGGCTGATTATCATTGTATCATTGCCTACACACTGCACTTATGCTTACAATGCCTGCTGACTGGTGTTTGTGCCCATTGGTTGCCCAGCTACAACAACCTTGAGCCTTGCAGTGAGGACTACTCCAAGGAACCGCCTCAGATGCCTCCGCATCTGCAACTTGCTCTGTTGAATGTTCCACAGCCCATTGACACGCAACAGGCGCTGCCCAGGCCGTGGCACGTAATCCTGAACCACATGTACGTCCAGAAGGGTTCACCGGTGAGTTTCATTTCGCAGCTTGTTGCTTGTGAGCATCGTTACAACTGCTGGCAGCACTTTCTCAGGGCACAGGAAGACGGTGAACTGGTGTACATTTTTGTGCTGATTGTATAGTTTCTGATGATCTGGTCCCTGGACTGCTCTTAGCCTCTCTTTTCCGTTAACCTGTCCTGGATCCCAGAGATGCTTGGCCAGCAGCCTGGCATGCTCGATTTCAACAGACACTGCTGGGGCTGCTGACAAGCCTGGGACATGTGCACAGCATGTCCTAGTTGCTCCCCGACCTGGATGTGCCACCAGTGCACTTTTGCTCCCAGATGCACACTTTTTGTTGCATGGGGTTCCTGACACAGTTGAAGAGTTCTGCATCACTATTCCCAACGAAAGTCTCAAGCACAATTCTTCCTCCCCATTGCATGGCAGTTTTCCAGTCCTGCCAGAATAGACAACCTTTGTTTGAGTGCCACGATTGCTTTATTCCTTCCCACACCACCATCTCAAATTAGGGGGCTTCGTGGCTTCAGTCAGCATACTACTGTATAGGTAAAAAAGCTCGCGTGGAAAAAAATTCGGTGCTGGCCGATGGCTACCGGCGCGAGCGATCTGGTGGCCAGCTCAGGACTCCCCCGGGGCAGTCGCTGCTCGTCAGAAGACCGCCGCACGGGGCAGTCGTCGTTGTGCAAGGCCAACGGGCCAAAGCGCGGGAAGTGCTCGACCCGTTTCGGAGGAGGCCAAAAAGTTCGCGGGCGAAAAAAGTTCGCGGGGGCAAAATGTTCGCACGGAAAAAAGTTCGCGCAGTTGCCCGAGCGCGAAATGCGCGAACTTTATTCCCGCGCGAACATTTTTACTGATACAGCTCTCTGGAATTTTGAGTGCCAGCATTGACATGAGAGTATTTTCAGTGTCCACTTCTGTATGCTTCAGTGGCTTGCTTTGAATGCTCAAAAAGCGTGCTGCATATGAAGCAAAGCATTCAACCAGAATCTCCCCGTAACAGGGTTCATTCACAAATGTGGACGGTGCAGTAAACATCATTGCAACTCACTCACATTGGTGTGAAATGCAGCGTCTCCAATCACGACCCATTTCAATATTGACTGGGAATTAGAAATGCTTGTGGATTTGATCATTGCCCTGCATCACCCAATAGAGGCAAGATCGCAGCTTGGCCAAATAGCACCAAAAGTGATCAAAGTGGTTTTCCAAATGGCAAACAAGGCAGTATCTGATTCATGCAAGCCAGGCAACATCACAACCGGTACAAGACTAGGGCAAGAGCATTCATAGTGGACATGACTGCAGTTCGCTGGCTTTAATACTAAGGTACTGATCAAGTGTGATAATACTTATGTTGATTGAATTCTGGACTGCCTTGCTTAAGTATTGGCAGACTCATCTTTGCCGACGTACTGGACCAGCGAAACATGGGACGAAAGAGGCGTTGAGCTATTGCAGCATTTCTGCACCGACGCATGGTTGCGACACGAATAGAAACAGTGCTGCCTGCCATTGCATATAGACAATCTGCACACTGTGTCCATGGCCATGTTCTTATTCAGATGCTGGGTGTTGTGTTGTGCAGAACGTGAATGCGCTCGTCCTGGGCACGACTCACAGATATAAGTCCAAATACATCACCACTCTACTGTATAAACCCAAGAGGACCTCCCCTCAGGAGCAGGAGCAGTTGGACGAAATGTAACTCAGCAACCTGATGCGTTCTGGGCGCAGCAGGGCAGAGCTACACATGGGTTGGTAGGGAAACTTCACTGAACTACCAAGTGGGAATGTGTTGCTGCAGTGCAAAGTCCTCTGAATGGCTTGGAACTGCAGCCACCTGTGGCAAAGATGCAGTCCAGCAATGCAGTGCAGCCCCAGCGTGATCTGTGGCCAAAGGAAGGACATGAAATGAGCACATACTATCCATGTCCAGTGCACCTGGATTGACCACAGGGGGTCCACAGAGCAACCATGGAGGTTCCATGGAGTACCCACACCGCTTCCATGGGTTATTCTTGGAATGGCTATCCCGGATTCAAAGCATGAAAGCTTCAAGGGTGTAGCCTGCACACATGCGGTGCTAGTGGTGAGGCAGCTGGGCAGTGTTGAGCTGTGTCATTTTACGAAGTTCGTGCAGAGCCTGCTGTGTTGCACTGGGGAGGTTCTGTTCCCTATCCAGGTCTGCCACAGGGCGACCTAGCGTCATTCTGCGAACTGATTGCTGCACTGCGAGTTCCACGCATATGAAGCAAGCTTGCTTCCAGTGGCAGTTGCCAGCAGTATTCTTTCGATCCATGTAGAACAGGAGACACAGGACAAGTTTGGATGTTTTGAGGGGCATGTGCAGGGAGTTATAGTTTTGGTCCGATGAGCGTTGTAGAGACAGGCATTCTTTTACCCATTTGCGGTATCTATGTCACTGATGCTCCTGGCAGAACTGCCATTTGGCCGAGTCTGCTGTCTGCTGTAGCCTTGGGTTACCAGGGAATGCGATGGATCTGTCTGAAGCTGCCAGCAGAATCTGGTGCCCACTCACAGTGTGTTCTCTCTGCAGAGGCACAATTCCTCAACGAAATGGCATCGTATTGCCTCCAGACAGGGCTTCGTTTGTTGTTTCAACAGTTGGTTGATCAATTAGCAAATAACTTAAAATTTTGCATGTTATTCTATACCCCTCCGTGTCAACTTTCCACCCATATGAAATTGGAATCCTGCACATATACCAGAGGGGCCAGGACTTCCCTGTCTGCCTATGCGTCCACCTCAACCAAATCTTGCTCATATCATTGATATAGTGGTCGCCTTTCAACTGTGGTTCATCAGTGCAAGCCCAACGGGCAGACGCACTGTAAGGCTGTCAGTGTTGCAACAGGCGATTGTGAATGATTGAAGCCACTCCACATGACAATGCATGATACAAGCTTGGCCAGGTCTGCACAAAAATCGCATCTGCCTGCCACAATTAAATCAGGGGCAGTACTTTGTATATTGTAAAGTACAGTGTACTGTGATGTGCATATAGTCTACACAGTGTCGGCAGTTCTATTAATCATCTGCTGCCCCTCCTCTGCACCTTCTCCTTTCTGGAGCACAGTCTGTCAGGTGGTCCATAGTTACTTGCTGTATGCCCATTCCAATCTTCAGGGCAGCCAACTCATCCTGTTGTGTGTGGTGTTCCCTCACACACCCTCTACTGCTCGTATGTCAAACTGCCTGTCCCACACCTACTCCTGCGACGAGATTCACCACCCGCATGCTGCCCTTGAGTCTCTGTGTCCTATCCTTCGCACATCCCAAAATAGTGCCTGCCCCTGCCTGTCTGTTACTCACACAGCGCTGATGTGCTCCTATTCTGTGCTACCTGCACATTTCTATATCAATTCTCTGACACGACAGAAGAGTACTTCACATTTTGCACGCTCATCTACTGCAATTTCTCTCAATTTAGCACCTACCTTGGCCCTTCCCTTTGTCATTCGGGGCAAAGATCACCAGTCCGGGAACCTTGCCAGCTGAACCTTCACCTCTCCCAGGTCTTTCTGCACCTTCTTCCTCCTGTAGAAGATCGGGCAGTCCCTGCTGGTGCACAGCACATCCTGGTGCAGGCTGCCCTGGCACGCCTGGCACTGCGTCCACAGCCTCCCAAAGTGCGACTCGAGGTCGTTGACCTGCGCCAGTAGCGATGTCAAGATCTGAGCCTCCCTTGGCTGGCAGTGCCCACACAGGGGCGACACGGAGTCCTTAACCAGGGGCGTCTTGCACCCAAGGCATGTGGCGGTCTTCTTAGCAAACCGCATGATGCCACCGGAGGCTGCTGACGGCGTTGAGACGCTGATGGAGCGTGTGTGCGAACCTGGTCAATACAGCAACGTTTGCTTTAATGCAACATTTCATTGGAGACACATCTCGTAGCTGGTGACAACTGCACAAAACAGCTGTTCTTTGTTGTTTTCTTTTCTTCGTTTTGGGAGGGGGTGGGGGTGGAGAGCTTTGACAAGGAAAAAGGTGCTTGCGCCCAAAAGCCCTCCTCCATTCATGGTAGGCCACCAGGGTCCTTTGACAACTGTTTCCCCCTCAAAATTGTGATGGCTCAGGACGCTGCACATGCTGGGCTGTGCTTCTTGTGCTGCGTTCAGACAATTTTGCATCAGCTGCTCCAACTGCTGGATGAGGCCTTAAACACTATTTTCCAGGATGGGTGCCAGCTGGACGACCAAGGAGGCGATGGGCATCAGATTGCATGGCACTGGTTGGCAATACACTAAGGCAAGTTTCAGCATTTTTACTTGTGTTCATCCTCCATCCCAGCTGAAAGACAATTGAGAACTGGGGTCCCGGAAACCAGTGACGAAACATCTCCGATTCTCCCTAAATCTGCCCAGTGCTCTAATGAGTGCGAGTGTGTAATGCGACTTGCAGAAGCTTGATGATGGCAAACCAGCAGCTGTGGTTCGACCTCACCTTGAAGAAGCTCCTTCGCATTGTTGCCGAGGATGGGCTCAAACAGCCTGGTCAGGGGCTGTGCCAAATGATGGTCCAAGTAATGTTGGTAATCAATGGGCAGGTTGTTAGTGAGGGCATAGATCGGGTCTTCTGCTTTTTCATAAGCCCTGGCACCCTTTGCTGCCTTGATGATGACGTACGCCACTCTGTCTCCTACCCCAGGCGCAGTTGCGGGGTCTCGCTTGCGCATCTTCTTGGCCAGTTCGACATGTGCGGCCTTGTTTTCATACGTTTCAGCGTTCTGGGTTAGGCCCTGGAAAGAAACAAAAGATCAATCAAATCGTGAAGCACAGTTTGAATAGATGATGGCAGTCCTACGTGATAAGCAAACAAAGGCAATGCCTCGTTGTGTGTCAACTGATGTTATGGCAGAATGCAGAATGAATCAATTCTCTTAGAATTACAAAGTTAGTTCATCAAAATGGCAAGGAACCTGGCAGCTTGGCGCTAGAAGCCTCCTAAAGTAGTCTGGAATTTTGCAGGATCACACAAGGCCACTGTTCACGTGATGTGCGTGTGTCCAAGGCTGTGAGCCATGCATTCCCAAGTGCTGTGAAAACCATAACTTTGTGCCGGCAACTCTTTGAAGTCAGTTAAAGCCCTTCCGAAGTGTGCAAGTGCCTGGTAATGTGCCAGGTGGCGACATTCAGTGCACATTCCAACAGTGCTTGAGGAATCCATTGCCTGCTGGCATCTGCTCGACGCTGAGACAGCATGTGTCCTAGGGCTTCCCGCTCATGTGATAGAAGCTTTGAATAATTTCTCCCAAAACCTCAGTAAAATTCCCCTACGTGTGAGTGCAGCTTAGCAGTGCAAAACTGTGAGGGGTGGGAATGCTGCACAAACAGTCATGCCACAGGCATCTCTGGTTTGCAGCAGGCAGTGTCTGTGCATTTGCCCAAGTCCTCCCCAATCATTGACCCATGGCCACCGCTTGCAAGTTTCGTTGGCCACAGGCTGTTAACGAGGTCCCCTGAATGAGGAACTCACCTTGCTGACCACCAACAAGCTCAGATCCAACCTGTTCATGAGGAGGTCAGAGATCGTGTTCTTGACGTACTCCACTGCCCCAGCCACATTGCGCTGCATGAGGATCATCTCCAGGCAAGTCGTCACCACTTGCCTGACCAGCAGGCAGTTGTCTCGGCGCACGGACTCGATACCCTGCCAGTTGCAAAATCTGAACTTGTGCTGCTCCAAGTGTAATGCATGCCACTTCAGCTGACTATCAGTGTGTGAAGCTGTGAGGGTGAAGCTTTGATGTGGAAAGGAATCTGTTATCCGATTTCAAGCTCAAGTCACACGTTGCCTAAGGCGCATAAGTTGCCAGCACCACAAAATATGCATGCAAGCATTTCAGAACCCCGAACTTTTGTCAGCTTTCCAGTGGCTTGTGAATGGCACAAGGTTCAGGCATTTAACAATGGCTGCATATGCTGGGCAGGATTTCCACCTTGCAAGCACACTGAAGTTGCACTGTTGTAGGACGGAGAAGATATTCTATTTAAGTTCAGGACTTTGTTCAAGGGGTAAAAGCTATACACCAAGCTGATGTTGACTACCCCACACAGTCTGCTTGACAGCAACAGCAGTGCACACCGGCGGAGGGCACCTTGCCAGTCAATCAGGGTTACTTCTTGACCGCGAGTCACAAAATATTGCCATCGCAGCACACACAAACCTTGGTGTCCATCTTGTCCGCCTCATTGGGGTTCGTCCACAGCAGCCCCGCATATCTCTTTTTGCTCATCAGCAGATAGGGATAGTACACCTGGTAGGGAAAAAACACAGGGGCCCTTTTCACGGCATTCCAGGGGGCCCAAGTGATCCAGGATCAAGCAAACGGTTAAGCTGAGAACCGTGGTCAATGGCACATAAACAGTGGTAGCATTTGTGCCACACTGGGTGGGAGTTTGTGGAGCACAAACAAGACAAGTCGACTGATGCAACGCCCATTTGCACCATTGGGCAAAGAAGACCAAGTATTTGCAGGTGTAAGCACATGCCCCGTCAGGTGACCTAATAGGCCCGCCAGGCTGCCCAAGCACCTTTTCGAATTCGAGCTTCACTGGCTTCGGAAAAGTCTGAGAGATGTATTCAGCCGCCTCTTTGCCCAAGTCCATTGCGCGTTTCACGTCTTTAACCTGGACACATAATCGCAAGCATGGATCTTACAACTTCATTTGTTGACAATCTGACAGCACATTCATATCTTTGGCAAATGAGATCATGATACAAATCCAGCTGGCTGAACTGATGAAGTATCGATCAGCCGAGGGTAATTTTGGTGATTTCCCTTCAAGGAGGCTCATGGACTATTATTACTATGGAATATTGTGATCATTTTGCTGTTAGATTTTGACAGTGTATTATTCTCTTTGCTATTTGCTTCCTATTTTGATGTTTGCGATCAGCAGTCCATAGCAACGTTTGCCATGATACCAACCATTGCTTGTAATTCCTGTGCTTTCATTATGCTGCCCCACGTGGCGCTTTGTATTGTTTGTTCTCCCACAGTACTGAGACGCCTGCATTCACTTTCACAGCATAGGACTCTTGCCCATGTCTTTGCTCAGTATTGGGTGGCCCATCGTGTGACAAGGTTTCTTGTATCTCAAGCAACGAATCTTTTGTTTACATTTTCCCATCGTGGAGAATATTAACTTGTTCAGGGCTTTGAACTTCTGCCACTTGGTAATCACAAGGCCATACTAAGCACTCCTCGTCAATGACCATATGGGTCGTCCTCTGGCAGAATGACTGCACTCCGCTGCAGTGGCTGCCCCTGGCCCCTTGAACCCGAAACTCTCTTTCATACTGCAGATGATGGTGCAAAAACCCCAAGTGCAACAAGAACAGCATGCAGCACAGAGACATGCAAGCAGCAGAAACAGAGCAGAGTCCCATATCACATATACCATGAACCTGACTGGCCCACTCGCCCATCAAACAGACATTCTCAAGCAAACCCTGCTGATGAAATCACTCTGGAGATCGCCTTGCGTATGGAAGGGGAGCCAAGACCAATCTTGGAAAGTGTGTTCCACTGATCAATAACTGGATAGCGCATATATTGGAATAAAATGGATTGCCACCTGCCCACCTTAAAGTTCACCATCACGGAGTCAGTGTCACCATAGATAACGTCACAGTCCTGCTCTAACCCGTTGCTTCTGTTGTACTTCTTGGTTACCATCTCCTGCGTCTGGAGGATCATTTGCCGACCATAGGCTGTGACTGTGGAAGAGATCTCCAGACAGGGCAACTTCCCCACGGTGGCACCCGTGAAGCCATAGACGCTGTTGGCGCTGACCTTCAGGGCCAGCTGGCGACCGTTCATCACAGCCTTGACGAAAGGGTCAGTGGCGATTTTCAGGTCAGCCTTCGCCCTGATCCAGTGGGCACATCCGCTTTGGCTGCATCCAAAATTGTCTGATTCCGTACATAGCAGGTTTGGCAAGAACGCATGGAACAAAGGCACTGTCTTTGTCAGAACATGCTTATCAGAATATGTTTCACTTCTCTTCTGACACAATGGTTGATCACAAGCACTACCCAAGCAGGGGTAGTAGTTCAGGTGGGGGCAGTGGTGACAATGGGAAATGGGACGTGATGGGGCGCAGCATACTTTGTACTCTGGTGATGATTACCTCTTGCGAGCTGCCAAGAGCTCCTCCAATATATCAGGCAGGAGGCCCTTCTGCCTGCTGGTGCGGACAAAGGTGTCGCCGCTAGGAGACGTCTCGACATCGCCCGGGGGAAGTTCGTTCACCCTGCAGCAGATTTACACAATAGAAAGTGACCAGAGTGAAGTTGTTCGGATAGTCATCCATTGATTCTCCTGAAGCCGGTATGCGGCACAGGTAACTTGGCCACGGGTCAGCACAGCATGGAACAAAGACAAATTGAAGCATGATGTTGTAAATCGTGGCTGTTGCATTTGCCCACACACGGTGCAAACTGTGTGTGCACCAATCAGAGAATATAGGGCATTGTGCACTACATTTTGAGGTAGACATTATCGATATGAGGAAAACCTGTGGTAGACACATGTACAGCACCACCACTTGTGGTAGAACATGTGATAACACATACCAGGAAAGAACATTTCCAGGAGGCATTAGAATGCCACACAATCAGTGCGGGAACACGAAACTCACAAACTGCTCACTCCTTTCCCTTGTATGTTAGATTGTGCGAAATATAACTGGACAGCATCAACAAAACAAATGAAGTAAACTCAACCACACTAAAAGATCGGCTCTGCTGCCCTCACCTGTGCTTGGGCACGAGAGTAGTGTAGCACAGATTGTGTGCCATCATTATCGATGGATACAAGGAAGCAAAATCTAGGGTGGCCACGGGGTTCTCGTAGAAGCCCTGCTTAGCTTCCAGGACCGTCGCGCCCTCATATGCCACACCGTCTGTTTGGCCCATTTTCTGCCACAAGCAGGAGTTGATGGTCAATCTACTTGCAGTCACCAAAATGGCAGAGCGCTGCCCTTGTGCCTTTCAAACACTCTGGAGCACAGAGTTTTCACCAGATGTTCTTTCACATCCTGTTGCTCAGAAAGGCAAATCCAGTGAACTGATTTCAACTGATTGTCCTCGAGATCGCCATGATCAACACAAATACTCCTAAAGCACGATGCAACATTATGATACTTCCTTGCTCGGAATCAAATGAATACGTTTATTTGGGATGCCACAACTGTGCTGATTGCTTGTTACTTTTCCTTCAAAGTCAAGCCAGGGTATCTGTTACAACTCCATTCTATGCTGTCAAAATCTTAGTGAAAGAATAAGCACACCAGATGTGGCAGGAATTCAGACCCACACATGCGAATCCGAAAAGTCGAAATTCTCTCCCTTGTGCTGACCCATTCAAAATGGTGTCTCCAATATTACACCACTCCCGTGCGGGCCTCCTTCCTGTGGAAACCCAAATTCCAAAAGAGTGGAGCTGCCAGTGCCTTGCACGTTTTAACCTTACGATCAGCACCCATCTAGACAAAAAATCGCCACAAGTGGATTGCCAGGATGACGGAGTTTTTATAAGTCGGCGCTGGTGTCGATCGTTAGATTAAAAAGTGCATGACATTGGTGGCTCCATCTTTATGGTGTTTGGTTTTGCACTAGGAGGATGTACCAGATATGAACCGCAAAGATTGGGGTGAGACGGAGGTGAGATAGAGACGAAGACCCTGTACGCATGTACCCTGAACCCCTAACGCCCTACCGCCCAATTCTGACATGTCTTCATCTCAATCACTATCTTTCATGTTCTCTGTCTCCGTCTCATCTTTGTCTGTGTGATCCGTATCAGGAACAGTGTGCAAGAAGGGGCCCCATACAGAGTGGCTCCATATTAGTATTAGTGACACCATTTTGGATGGGATCGGCAAAAAGCAAGGGAATGTCGACTTTTAGGCTTTGCATGTGTGAATTGAATGCCTGTCGCATCTGGTGTACTTATTTGTTTACTAGGGTTTTGGCAGCATAGAATGAAGTTGTAGCAGATACCCTGCCTCGATTTTCAGGGAAAAACAACTCAACACAAATGGAGATTCTACGTGAATGAGCGAATATCCAATGCTTTGGAATTTAGTTCCAGTCCAGTCAATGCTTGTGAAGGTCCAGTTCTATTTCTTTGTTATCCCAATCATTTGTAGTTGTTGTATTTTATTCTGGGGAGTACAAAGAACATTGAAACAAGGTGGCGCCACATATCACATTGGTCCCAAGTAATTCAACTATGGATGCATTCGGTTTGCACCATTGCTATTTCATACTGTGAATAGGATCTAACAATCGTATCCTCACTAGTTGAAGTGTAGTTCAGTCTGATAAATTGTTACATGCACTGCTATTTCAACACTACGTTACTAAGGCTATACTCACAGCAAATCAAAATTGTGCAATAGGCTGTTGTATTGGGGGACTTGTACGTTATCTCTCTGCACTCAAGAAAAACACAACACATTCTTGCCCAGAAGGCAAGAACCACAACCAAATCTACCTTTGTCCTATGGTCATCGGCACTTGCTCAAAACATTCGACAATGGGGAATTCGAGGGCCAGCAATGCCAGGCGGCCCACTTCTCTGCTGCACCAAAACGTGTGGTGGAGTGCACACTCTGAATCGCCAAGTGAACAGAACTTGGACCGCATATCTGTTGCCCTAGAAATGAGTCCCATACCTTGAGGTTGGGAACCAAGAAATTTCTCGACCTGGCTTTTCGCAAAATTTGTGAAAACACCTTGATGCTCTGGCCCCTTGGGATGCACAGCAACACCAAGTCAAGAATTCACGGGCAGCAACCGCACTGACAAGGCAAGGTGAGAACGCAGTTGCCTGAACTCAGTGAAGAGCACACTGTGCTGTCCCAGACGAGAAATATGAGTTAGCCACACATACCAGCGTGGTCACACAGGTATCTGGACTTGAGTTGCAACCTGTTTACAATGCACGTATTTAGGTAGGCATGTTGTGTTGAGATTCAGATGGACATTTTGCCAACAGATATTGCCATGCATCCATAACAGTACATGCGCTTGCAGGTGGTCATGCATGATTTTTTGTTCCCATCCTGGCAATTGCATAGGAATACAATCAATTGCTTTATTATAACTACAATGCGCAATGCAAGAACAATACAACGTACCGGAATCATGTGCTGGCCCCCTAGCCAACCTCAGAACAGTGCCAACCTATACTTTGCATGAACTGACCGAAGTGTTCGCGTCTGTAGGGACACAGTGCAAGGGCCAGGACAGCACCAAGGCTCCTAAGTGCGATGCAGTCTTGCAAGAAACAAGGGCAATAGATGTGTAGTGGGATGGCCCGAGCAGCCATCGAAGATTGCTCTACAACGTGTGTGAGGAGGTCAAACGTGTGGGCAGCACCTTGTGAGGAGGTAACTCATGGGCACCCCAGTCACGCGCGCCATTTCAACATAGTTGTACATGTACATCAACTTGTCCACAAGTCGCTGAGGCAGGTAAGCATCCTGCACCGCCGACAAGGAAATCAGTGGCAACATCCAAACCCACTGCCTGACCACATGCTCAAATGGTCAAGATAGAAAAACGCCATTTTCAAGGCTTGCATCGCCAGTGCAAAACCATCCGATGTGGGTGACGGCTACTCAGCCATGTGCTCTATTGCTCAAGGCTGCCCCTTGGGCAAAAAATATGCATTTCGATGTGAGTGATGATGAGAGTGTGATGTGTGCATTTGTGAAAAACTTCGGAAGCATCCCCAAGGAGTACCCAAATCCTCAAATGGCAATCTCCACAAACACCATCTCAACAACACCATCAGTCAAATAGTATGTGAGCTGGGCATTGTGTGATAGCTGCTGTTGTTGAAGACAAAAGGTAAAACATATGGTGCTGCAGAGCTGTGGACATGAGAATTAGGCTCGAAATTCGCTCCAGAAGGCAGATGCCTGGTTCGATAATTCATTGGGAACCTGTACATTCCAGGAACAAACATTTAGAAATGGGGACAGGACAAACATATGAAACATTTGCTCAGGTTCTCCTATTGATTTGGAATTAACACTGGATATCTGCATGCAAAAATTCAGATGGAAGTCATACTACATTATGAAATGTGCTGCCCACTGCAATAAATTGTTAACATAACCTCCAATTCCAACAGCTTCTGCAAACAAGATCTGCTGGAATAGAAAACAAACGCCCGCCCACCTTCAGGCAGTACACTGCCAGCCGTCTGCGCGTTTCTGCATTGCCGTTCTGCAGGTCTGTTATGATGGAGTGGTGCACGTCCTCCTTCTGTTCCCCCAGGAAGTGGGCGGACACTGAGTTGAGAGAGTAGGATGACAATTTGTGGTCACGCTGGATTGCCAGCAGCATATCCAGCTGTATGCGCCCGTCGATGGTGATCTCCTTATACTCATGCGTGCCATAAGCCTTGGAGCTGAACTTCGAGTCCCGCATGCGTATGCGGCTGCACCACAGACAGAGAATTTCTCCCGATGGAGTGGCACAAGTAGCAAGATAAGAACACCACGATGGACAACAACTGCAAGTGGGAACCCCCGCTGTGAAGGTTGGATGCAATCCTCCACCAATTGCTCCATCGTTTAGGGACTTTCAAAGGTGAGAGGCTTGAACTTTGAGGCCTTGAAATTTGTTGAGATGTAGCACAATACCTGAAAGGCTTCTGCCGTGGCTGCAACCAAGGTCTTCACGGCATGCAATGAAGGGTTTCGCACTGGGTGTGTGACATGATTTGGGTTCTCACTGTGGACATGGTTGCCGCTAATATTGGCCCTGACTGGATGTAGCTTGTCATTGTCCCCAATTTTCACACTAGTAAAGTTGCATTGCTGCTCTTCCTGTCTTTGCAACTTTGACAACTTCTGTTGCTTTCTCAAGGAAATGTGACCAAAGGGATCCCACCTCTGCTTCTGCCTGCCCCAGTATTCAAACTCCCGATCGATCCTCAGCGTGCGGCCACGCTCAAGCAGATAAGGCAGGTCGAAATTGCAAATGTTGTAGCCTATGATGACGTCTGGATCGGCGATGAGCATGAGGTCCCTCCACCGCAACAGCAGCTCTCGCTCTGTGGAGAACGATTCCACCACCGCGCCCACGATGGGGGCACAAGAATTCAGAGTCAGCACATTCTTCACGATTGCATCGTTTTGCCCCTGTACCGTGATGTAGCTTGCGATTTGGATGACAGAGTCCAGCTTGGGGTCTGGAAACTGACCCTGAAAGAGACAGCAACAATGTTTGAAACAACTTCAGCTGCTGGCACGTCTGTGGGTCAGTCAGCAAGTTGGATGTCTTTGACAAATGCCTATGACAATTTTCAAGATTCATATGCATTCCTTTTGATATTGCATCATTATTCATCGTGTCGCTACACATCCATGCGGTTGCCAAGCCACCAAGGGCACAAATCCCAAGCAGCTGTGGCACTTGTTGTGACACTGTTTCTTCATAAGATTGTTCTTTTACTATGGACCGTGCGGCAATGAGGTCGCTGAAACTCTGGGGGCCCGCCACATCCACTTCTGCAAACAATACAAGGAACCTGAAAATATTGCCTAGTCCCAAGAAAAATTGTGACAATGAAAATCCATGTTGACTGCAGCTCCTGAATTATGACACATCACAGTACATGGAGCTATTAGGCGACATCCAGCATTGGCCACAAGCACCAAAAACTTGTTCCCATGATCTGTGGCATCCACATTACAGGGCAAGGAGTGTTCGACTCTGAAACAGAGGTGGCTTCAACTCATCTGCGTGCAGACTCCAGGGGGTCACGTTTTGGTAGCAGCTTCCATGACACCCACACAGCACTTATTTGGCATTGTTGCCCAAAAGTTTGTGAAAGACAGTTGCAACAAATGAACAAGCAGATGGGGTCCTCACCTTCCTCCCAGCGCATTCGATGTCCACACTCAGTATGCGAAGAGGAGCCAGCATCGAGTATCTCCCTGACCAGCAGTCCAGCATGGGCTCACCGATATCACCAGGTCATCGCCACCATGGGGAAAGGTGTGGATTGTATAAAAATAGATCCACATCCACAACACTGGAAACACAGAATGCAACGACGGTCCAAGACAGGCTCTTCGACTCCAGGGGAGCGCAAATGCTCTTATACAATAAGCTTGCCTGAAGAATGGCAACCGTTGCCTTGCAGGAGCAAGGGCAGTGAATGTCATGGGGATTCAAATCCACTCCAACAGATCGTCACCAGAAGGCCGTCCAAAGGGAAAAAAGGTGTCATAATGCTACACAATTTGGATATTTCAATACTATGCAACGTTAGTTGGAACAGCAGAGCAGACAAGAACCTGCTACAGACCACAAGACCACCAGCCCCACCTATGGCCAGAGCCAATATTATTGAATTCATCCACCAAGGACCCAACAAAGCTGATGGCTGAATGTGCCCAAGCAAAAATTGCTATTCCATACAATGACTTGTCTAATACTGGCAATGTATGACTGACTTTGTGTTGCTACAGGCCATATAAAAGGAACACTCAAGTTGGGTTCGGCCCATAGAGAATACAGCACTAGTTTCAGGCACCTTTTCTGGCACTCATGCCTCAGCGCTTTGGCTTAATTGTAAGCTCGTTAGTAATATGAATTCAGGTTTAGGACACTCTGGCTGCAAAAGAAACTGTGAATTTTTGCTAGTTTTGTTCATATCTCGTACTTGTTTATTTTTGTGCTGGAAGCCCCCACCACTGACCAAATGGCCGTTCACACCTTCTGGGGGGTGGTTGATGATAGAGTCATACCGAACCTTGGCCTCCAGCTGACAGGTGGTCTGGTGGCTGCCCTCAGGCACAAGGCTGTAGGTGCCGGCGGGCAGCTCCACCCAACTGGCCCCAGGCATGCCACTGTCGATCATGAAGCGCAAGGCATACAGCACGCTGCTCTCATAAGTGGTCAAGTTTTCCAGGACGATGCCATTGGCCACAACCCCACCACCTTCAAGAACACCTGCGGGGCGTGCATCAATGAGGTGCCCCTTAGTGTCCAAACAATTTGCATTGCAACCCAATCAACAAAGCTATCTTCATCACTTGGGAACTCAGAATAACAGTGATTGTGAGGCCTTCGGCACACATGCAACCCCTCAAAAGTGAACTACTTTGGAAAGGGCACACAGGACGTGTGCACACAACTGCCTCTCCGGCATCAGCGATCACGCAGCTTCCTGCATTGTCGTCGAAAAGTGCTGTTCAGGGGCTGAGAGCAACACCCACAGCAGCTTCGTCGCTCAAGGCCAGTGCATGTTTATAAGCTCATGTGCACCAATTTCTACTAAACGACGCCCAGCAGTGCGCACCTCTGAATTTTGTGACAGCTTGGGGTATGTTGACAACAATCTTCAGAAAGGGGCTGAGTTGTCCAAACTGGTATGTCCACACATTGGACTTCATCTCTTGTTCGATACGAACAACGTTGAAGCCAGCTGCCACAGGATGTGCCTGCACCACAAGAAGGCAGTCTGCAGAAAGGAAGCTGACGAGTTGGTCAACTGTGGCCTCAACCCATAATACTTGATTCACATGTACAGCAGAATTGGTGTGTGGTATTGCACTGGGCTATCGCACTGTTCAGTATGTTAGCAGCCTCAATCCATCTACTGTGGGGCAGCAGGTTCATTCAGCTTACATGATGTTAGTACTCTCTAGGACTTTAGTAGGTGTGGTGGTTTAAAATGGTTCAAGTTTTTGATAATCCGTAACTGATTTTAACGATACAGTGCAGGTTCAACTGGCAGTGCTATCGGTGTGTTGGGGTCTGCCAACGTACAGAAAGGTGTGACCCACTCAGAAGCTAAAGGTGACTGAGAAAGCAAGTCGTCCACAGCTTGAGATTGAAGGCATTTGAAAGGCAAGCTGTTAAGGGGCATCGCCAACTTGTGTTGGCTTCCAAGGCCTATACTGCAGCCCTTATTGTGTGGGCCACCCCAATCCAACAGAAGATGGAGGGATTTCTCTACCTCACTGGATGATTAAATGCATCACATGCACTAATGTGCACTGCTCACAAGTGACAGACTCCAAGAAAACAGTGGAGCACAAACATGCAGCCATTGCTGACACCAATGGTTGCACCTTAAACTGAAGCTGTTTTCTTGCATTGGCAAAGGCCATGCCTCTGCTCAAAAAAAAAGCACTTCCAGAAAAGTGAAACAAGCAAGCATAGTTCTTGCTGCACATGAGGTGTCATGAGAATTCCTTGCTATGCCAAGTTTTGTGATTGCCATGCCCAGCATGTCGACAGGACACATAATCTGCCACAGCCATCGCCCAACGTCTTGGGAAGATGATGCTCCGCAAGCAAAACAACACCTACATTCAGCGCAGCTTGGAGTGCATCAATGTCATCTTGGCTGAAGCCCATGGGCGCCTTGATGTAGAAGTACGCCTCAAAATCATGAACAAATGTGCAGACACTGTTGCCTGAGGATAAAATCTGCTTTCAGCACATTGTTGATCACACGATAAAAATTTCCCCTCAACATCGCAAGAGAGTACAAGCGCTTTGTGCATCCAGTGTTGGTATTTCATTTTCCTTTTCAACTTCCTCATACAACCAATAGCCAAAGAGTGCTGAACAGAAACGTGGTGAAAGGACAGAACTGCTGTGGCCAATACACACGACCTAAGATCATATTGTTTATCACATGGCTGACACATGAGCATATCAAACAAACCGATTTTTTGTGCAGGAACTCTTTTGTGCAGGCTTGTTCAGGCCCTGAATAGACTGCAGGTGTCTGGGTGAATTTGGAAGAAACGCAGTTGCTTGGAGATGCCACCCTTCCTTGAGGGCTGCATGTGGGTCAGGTAGGTGCCCCACAGACACCCTTGTTGCCATAGACGGCCCGTGGAGCTCACCCATGTTTTCATCCTGGAATGGGCAGATATTCCTGGACAGGGCAGATTCGAATGGCACCTTTGCACTCTATTGTTCGCATGCTGCACCAATTGTATTGTCAGAACATGGCCAGGCACTTCCCCACATCCAGTGGCCAATGTCCAATTATTCTGTTCTGAAACACCATGATGTAATATTGGTTACTATTGGTGTAATCTTTGGAACATGAGAAGCATACAGATGCAACAAGACAACAGTTGGCAAGCGACAACTTCAAATATGGGTGTCATATACTTCATGGATACTTCATGAATGGGTGTAACTTCTTTGCTCCCCCAATGGGCTTGGTACAAACCGGGGAATCATCCAGCTTTTATAGTGCTTCCGGTTTTGCAATTTCCTGATGACTCTATTTCTGCGATGCCAATGCAGTAACCTGACTCTTGCATGTGGCACAATCACTGGAAGACAAGGGCACTGCCCCAAGTTCGCCGGTGGCGGTACCACAAACACAAGTACTCACCTTCCTCGGTCACTCCATACATCCGTACAACTGCCTTCCTGCCTTCATTCGTGTAGTCGACCTCCAGCTGCTGGAACACTGAACCACATGCAGGGGGGGTGCGGGGGAAGGCAACGGTCAAAGAAAGCACGAAAAGCACAGACAGTCGAGACCAGCGGGATCAAACATCCCAAGGGCAACAGCAGCCAATGGGCGCCGACGGTGCATACACGCTTCGCGCGTGTTCGCTCTCTTCTCCACAGTCGTTCATTCCTTGGATTGCGTGTGCCCTTCAACCTCGAGGGCGACGACGTGAGCGAATTTCTACTTCCCAATACCAGCTCGCGCACCCTCATCTCCGGACGAACACACCAATCTACTCACGCCCGCGCCCGCAACAAACACATCACCCCTCAATCTGATTCCTTGCGGGCTCGCCACCCGTCGCGAATGTCCAACCTCCCACTTCCCACAGAGTGAGCAGAGTCACAAGAAAGGGCCCTCCATCCCCGCCGCCCGTCGCCACTCACCCAGCGGGTCCCTCGCGGGGTCAAATTCCCGCAGCGGCGGCCTGGGCCACGACCTGCCCGCCTCCCCGACGTCGACCTCCATGTCGTCGGGCGGCGGCCCCGCCGCCTCCTCCTCCATCTCCTCCTCCATGTCCAGCAAGTCATCCACCATGGCATCCATCTCGTTCCGCGCCCCAGCGCCGGAGCCCCCCCGGCCCGAGTTCATCCCCCCTCCCCTCCCCGATGAGATCCACCGGGTCGCGACGGGATCCGCTCCCCGGCCTCTCGAGATCCAGCCGCCCGACCGGCGCGGATCCGGGTCGCGTACTTGTCCGACACGGCAGCGAGCCTCGCACCGACACCCTCCTGTGGCCCCGCCTGGCTTCTTTCCCCGGAGGAATCTCCCGCTCTCAGAGCGCCGGAGAACGCGCGGCGCCCAGCTTTCCCGCCAATGGCAACAATTCACGGGGTGCCAACTACACCCAGGGATTACTCATCCCCGGCTAGGTCCCCGCCCAGCCCGTTTTTAATGCGCCCTGGCGGCGAAGGTGCCAAGTTGGCGTTTCGGCCGGGACCGGGCGACACGCGCACACGAGAGAGCATGCCGGCGGGCGGGTCCGCGCGCGGCGGGCGGCACCGCGCCTCCAGGCGCGAGCCCCCGCAGGCCGAGGTGAGCCGCACTGCGCCGCCGCCCACCCGCCGGGGGGGGCAAATCATCCCCCGGGCGGCGGGCCGGCCGGCTGCCGATAGGGCGGTGAGCGCGGGAGAGCGATTCTGGCGGGGCGCGGCCAGAACTGCATTGTCGGACGGCCCGCGCGGCAACGTTGGAGCCGCTGGCGGGAATCATTTTCGGGTTGGGGTTTGGGCTCTGCGCGCGGCACGCCGCCGTGGGCGCGCCCCCGTGCCGTGCGGGCCACGGCCAGCGGCGAGGGCAGTACAGGGGTTCTCGACCTTTTCGGGGGGGGGAGGGGGGCGGCCGCAGCGCCCCCCGGCCTGGCCGGGCACCTATCGTCGGCGCGCGTCGCCGGGGCCTCGAGAGTTGTCGTCGGGCATTGACGGAGGTCGGCGACGGGGATTGCTGGCTGGCTGGGGCGCGGGGGCGGTTGTCGGGACGTCGCTGCGGGCGGGACGGCTTGCCGTTGTGTGTCAACGGATGGGATTGAGATGGGCTGAAAGCGCGGCGGGTGTTGGGGAGGAGGATTTGGGCCGCGCACCGTGGCAGCGCGGAGATTCGCGCGTCGCCTAATTGTCCCCCGTTTGGGATTGTGTGGGTGCCGCGCGGATGGGCTCTTTCGGGAGTGCAGTGCGCGGCGCTAGCTTTTCGCGCGGGCGGCGAGCTCTGAGTCAACGGGGAAGGGAATCGCGGTCGACGTCTGGGCTTGTGACGACTGTGAAACGGCCGGGTCTATTTCCCTGAGAGCGCGACGCTGGCTGAACGGCGGGCTCCCTGCACGGGCAGCCGTGACGCCCGCTTTTCCCTTCCAAATTGGGAAGCGGGCTGGATTGTTGCCGTTTCAGAAATGTGTCTGGTGATTAGGTTCTGGGGTTGACTCCCACGGTCTTTCTTCAGTCTGGGAATCTGAGATCTGTGGCATTGTCATACTGTTTGGAAATTTTGGCATTTTGGCGTTTTGGATGTGTAGCCCATGGCATCAGATTGATGAGTAGCCTTTCGTGGTTTCGTTGCTTTTTGGCTTGCACATTTGCAGGCAAGCATATCTGTGTTGAGTAAGATTTGTTACCAGGAGAGAAAGAAACATGTCATACAAAGGGCAACCCTCCCCAAGCAAGCATTGGGTGTGCACTGGGCAACGTCACATTTCGGTTAGAAATTGCACTACCTGCGTGCATGGAGGTGTGAGAGAGCAGCCCTTTCCACATGGTGGGCGATGTTCAATAGTGTCCACATCAATAATTGATAGGTCCAGCAGTTTGTTTAGTTGTCACTCGCTGCTGCTGGCCATTAGAGTGTTGAGCTGCCGATGTATGCGAACTGTACAGGCTGTCCAGAATGAGCCCAGGGAAACAACGACACCATCATTGAATCAGGGGCAGGCAACAAAGCTGAGTCCTTCAGGCGACCTGTCACTGGCCATGGCCTCACCGCTGAGCCCCACACATCGAGATCCGATATTCCGGCCAGGTGCCATGGCGGGTGGTTTCATTTCACAGCGACGTTACAAGGACCGATGCGTGAGGGCCACAGAGAAAGAAGTCACAAGGTGACAATCTTGTGTGGTGCTGAGAACCCTGGGGGCCCCAAGAACAGAGGTGTTTGGATGCCACATGGAGATCCAGCCTTGGAGGCATCCTGCACCACCATGTCTCACTGTTGTGTGCCCTCTCATGGGCCTTCACTGCTTTGCGGATTGCCGATCACCACTCGTGGAATGGTCAGATGTCTGATGGATAATGGGATGCCCCCCATTGTATTGGACTGGTTGGTAATCATGGCACCTTGTGCCCATATGTGTGTGCACTCTGCATCGGCAAACTGAGGATTGCGGCATGTTGCAAGTGCCCATCGTGTGGTCATTCCTTGGCCAATAATTCCAAAGAACAGAGATATGAGATGGGAAATAGTCTGCAGATCGTGTATGCAGCTTGTTTGTGGCAAGACGTTGGCTTTGTGCCTGCACACAATGTCAAGGAAGTGAATTCACAGTGTGGGCCTTTGAGCTTGAAGAAGCTGTCGCACTACATAAATGCTTTGCTGGCTCTTACCTTGTGAGAAGTCTGGACCATACGATATATTCTACAGGCAAATAATAAATATGCATTGGTCAAAAGCACCCCACATATTAAAAGACAGCAATCATGTCAACATGCAGAATCGCATTAATACCCATTTTCTTTTGCCTGATGGGGTCAGTGTTTTCCCTGCAGCCTCACTACATCTGCAGACTTTCAGGACTGGCTCCAGATGAAGATACGCATCGCAGGGAGGGGCGCGCGATGGGGTGTAGCTGGCTTTGCATTGATGTTCTTCGTTGCCACCATTGTGGCTCTGGAGCGCAACACAAAGCTGCAGCTCGTTGAACAGCAGATGCAATCCACAGGAGGTGTGGCATACCCAGGGCCAGCAGCCGACCAGGCAGCAGCAACAAGCTGCAAGCAGCGCATGGCCGATCTGGAAAGGAAGCAAACGAAGTTGCAGAAGGAGTTTTCAGACCTGGGTGATAGGGAGGCGATCCTCAGGAAGGAAAAAAAGAAGCTGGAACAAGAAAAGGCAGGTTGGGAGAAAGAGGCCACCGCGAAAGGAAAAGAAGCCAAGGCTGCACACCAGCAGGTGGAAGCTGAACAAAAGTGGAGGAACGCCCTTGAGGAGGAACTGAAGGAGGAACGCGCACAATGGCTCAAGGACAAGGCTTCAATTCAAAAGGAAGTGTGGGTGGCGAAGGAACACCTTGCCAGCGCCAAGAGCCAGTTTGAGGAAGAAAAGGACAAATGGAGGAGGGCCTCCGAGGCACAGGATGCCGAGCTGCTGGCAGCAGAGCAGAAGTTTAACAAGGCCAGTGGGGGAGACAACCAACTGATGGCCCAGCTGAAGGAGGAAATGTCTGCACTGAAGCAAGAGGCGGACGTGGTCAGGGCAAGGGATGCTGAGCTGAAGAAGCAGCAGAGCCAACTGTTGGCTAGTGAGAAGCGAGTGCGGGCAGTGGAAGAGCGCCTTGCCAAGGAGAGAGCCCAATTGGAGCAGGTGTGCATCGCTGGGCCCTGGCGATGGGAGGCTGGCTGTGGCAGCATGCTGAGGGCTCTGTGGATGGGGACGCCCTCCAATCTGCGGGGCTGGCCAGAATGAATGACTAAAAATGAACGCAACTATCCAAACAGCCACGTTTTTCCAGTTATGCACCACAGAAATAGGCCGAATTTATCTGCTACTATGCCCTGCAGTATGGTGTCACTCCAACGAAACCGTAAAAGCTGGACTGCCTTCAGCATTGTTTGATGTGCAATATGTTGCTACAATTTCTGTCTTGTGCCTGTGGCCATGGGCGTTGTACTCACGATCCTGTTGATATGTGACATGGGCTAACCTCTCAGATGCCAGTCATGTGGAGTTTGAACAAGACTGCTGCTTTCAAGTGTGGCAGCCAATCTGTCTCTTGGTTTTAGGCATCTGCATCAAGATTACTGTGGTGTTATGTGGGTTTGTTGTCAGTGCAGACAGACTTGTACACTGTGAAGTATGGAAAACAGTTGTTGGCTGAATACCGTAGAAACAGCCACGCTGAACGATCGATGGATTGGGTGGCAGTTGAGAGGGTGGACCAGGGGCTCGACGCCTGGTAGATGACTTGACATTGTTCAAACCGTAGTGTGTGAAATTTGTACCCGCTCGCATGACAGGCCAAGGAAGCGGGAAGCGGAGCAGTGGGCTCAGCTGAGTGTGCGGCTGAGGTGGCGGCTGGCCTCCAGAGGGAGAAGACTCTCATGGCTCTGTGTGCCATGAGCTTAGTTCTGTTCTTTGGCCTGCTGGCATGGCGCTGGCGCTGGCCCAGAGCTCGCTATTCCAAGGGAAAAAAGGTAAAGGCCCGGGCACTCAACCTGGAAGAAGCTTTTGCTGACCCTCCAGTGAGCGGAGACGAGTCAGAAGACATAAGGGGGGATGCTGAGAGGGAGATCAGGGACAAGGGCAAGCGCCTGAAAGTTAAGACAGATGCAAAAGAAGAGCTCGAAGAAGAAAACAGCAAGCTGGAGAAAATCACAAGGGAGGTCGATCAGTTGCGGCGCAGGAATCGGGATCTCAAGTTGGTTGCGGCTGAGGTTGACAAGCTTGAGAAGGAGGTCAAGATGCTTGAGCCTGCAAAACAGAGGCGAGACGAGCTGGTGGCGATGGTGGGGGAAATGGAGCAGAGCGCCAAGGAAGCTGAGGTGCTGGAGGATAAGGTGGCTGGTTACGAGGATGCTCGGCAGAGGTGCCTTGACTTGAAAGCTCGATGCAAGGAGCTTGAGCAGTTGTCCAAGAGTGTTCCTGGCCTGGAGGACAAGCTGTCCAATCTGGAGAAGATAGAGGCCGATCGCTCAAAGGTAGTATGCGTTTGTGGCTCATGTTTTGCGCATCATCACACCTTTCAGTCCTTGTGTCTGTATGCAAATTTCCGGCTGAGCGAGAACTCTTTTGCACACGATGCCCAAGAGCATTGAATGCATTTAAGTCATTGTTTTCTACTGGGGCCCCAGGGATTGATTGATTGCAAAAAGGGGTTGGCTGATGGCCATTTGCAGACAAGATGCGCCCTTGTGCTGCCTTGTGAAAGCTGATTCGCTGCTGCCCAAATGCAAGATAACTGAGCAATAGATGTGCAGGTTTTGATGCATTATCCATGGCGATCACGATTTGATGGCGTGGCCTTACATACCATACTCACCGATTCATGTGATGACGTCTGTAGACCTTGAAAGACGTGGAACAGAAGGAAGCAAAGGTTGCACGGCTGGAGGCTGAGATCAAAGAGAAGAAAGAAGTCGCGGGCCGACTGCCAGACATGGAGCGGGAGATGAGCCTTGTGCTCCAAAGGGCAGCGGAGGCTCAGGCTCTGGAAAAGAACTCTGCTGATGTGGAAGCCATTGCTAATACCCTGGATGCTGTCAGAACTCGAAACATGGAACTGCACCATAAGGCAAGCCGGGCAGCACGATTTGTTTTGTGCTCCTTGGTGCTACGAGTTTGTTGCTGGTTGCGATGCTGGATGGACCTATTGCTGTCACTGGGCCAAACATTCTGCTGAATCCAGAGAAGGTCGATTGCAAATTCATGGGCGTTGATTGACACTGTTCCGCCCACATCACTGTGTGCTACCTTATCCACTTGTTGTGTGCATGAAGCCATCACCGACAGCCAGGAAAGCGCCTCCAGAATTGTTGCCAGTAATGATGGAGGAGGGGAATATACGACTCGTCGTCATTCATTTTACCAACCCATCAAGGCAAACTGTGTTCATTCATGGAAGTGTGCCTGGCCAGCATCCGGACGCCTTGTGTGCTCTAGTTGAGCACATTCTGATGTCCACTAAGCACACACCTCTTTGATTGCATCCTGTGCCTCAAGCCAGGTTCCCAGCTAAGGTAAACACTGTCCATTGCCCATCGCAGGCTTCAGAGGTGAACTCGCTGTTGGAGGAATGTGCAGAACTGGAGGAAGTTGCCAGCCAACTGGATGAGGCCAGGGAAAGGAGTGACGAGCTCAGGGAACAGGCATGTGTTCTAATACCCGTGAATTCTGGCATAGCATCCATCATTTTCCTTGCATTGCGATCAAAACAGTGCTGTCCTTGCCCAACGCGCCCAGGGACATGTGAGTGCTACCTTTCAGTGTAGACAGGTGTTTGAAAGCATGGTGTTGGTGAGAGATATGCAGATTGTCTGACGTGCCTTCCTGACTATAAAAATGTTACTGGACATCAGCATGGTGACATGCTGTATGACCTAATGTTACCTGCTGCTTCCATCAAGGGGACGTTGCTTGTGCTGCAGTTGCACATAGTGGCCTTTGTGTTGAGGCAGCTGTGTTAGGATCTGCCTTGACCATTCCCCGGCCATTGCTTGGTACCATTCCATGATTATTTGTGATTGGGACAGCAGGCATTATTGTTGGGACTATTGTTTGTCATTGGGACAGCGCACAATATTTGTGCAGTCAATACAGAGTGCATACCAATTTCCGTATGACCATTAGCGATTGGGCCATAACATTGTGTCTAGGGTATAATGTGTTCAATGCAAACAGGCAGAGGAGACCCAGAGAATCCAAAAGGATAACAGGGAGCGCATCCAAGCCTTGAAGGACGCTCAAGAGGAGATTGAGAGGCTGAAAAAAGAAGTAAAGAATTTGCCAAAGGCTCGCAGGGAGCGAGATCAACTGAGGAAGGCTGTCGGTGAAATGAGCACGATTGAAGAGGAGTCAGAGGCTCTGCAGGAGCTGGCCAAGGGAATTGACTCTGCCAGGGATGAACATGCAAAGCTCAAGGCAGAGGTGGGTTTGTGTGCAGTGTGACGTGTTGCTGAAACAGGAATGAACATCACAATGAAGCATTTCGTTGCCCTTGGTGAACTCACGATTTTTAGATTTGCAGTCATGAATGTTTTGTGTTGTATCCAGTTATCTGGCACTGGATGGTCAGGAGGGCAGGCTACTGCAGTGCAGGAAAAATGGGAGATCTTACCATTGTCAATAATAACCTGGAATATTTAGACACAACATTGTACCACGCATAAATATTCGGGCATTCTGTTTGAACAGTATGTTTAACTTGTCAGCTTTCTGAATCTTATTATCTGCTGTTTGTTGTTGTTGATTTCAGATGGATTCAAGAAATGAACCTGTTGCCTGCACATTCCCAGCATAAGTCGTTGAATAGGGACAGTACAAAATGTGGAAAATGTGCTTTCTTGGGCAGATTTGCACTGCAGAATATAGTTTTCCTCACCACCCACCATCAGCATCCCTGATATCCCCAGCACCCAGTTGAGCTGTTCAGGGAGCAAGGGTAAGCCCAACCTGAAGGTACACTATTGTGCCATGTGTACTGCCCAAACTCCCTGGAATAGTGAAGGGTTTGCTTCATCGTGTTGTAACTATTTGAGAAGGATGTGGAAAAACAAAGTAAAAAAGACAAATTTTGGAGGAAAGGAAAAAAAACTCAGCATTCATGGCGAAGGAATGGAAAAGAAAGGACTCAACAACTACTGCTAAAATTGTGGGATCATAAGTGATAAGCCCTTTGCGCTTGTCAGGCAGTGCTGCAGAGCACCTGCAGAATGCACTGATCGTCCTCCTCGACACTGTTGATGCTATCTGCTGATCCTGCGACATGCATGGTTGTACTCAGGTGGAAAGGAAGAGAGCTGCACATGACGACTTTGAAAAGCTGAAGAGAGGCCTGGAGGATGAGATTGCAAGGCTCAGTGTGGAGGCTGGAGACCTTGGCGACCTTAGGAAGACGCACGACGACTTGAAGGCCAAAGCAGGGGAGGCCCTGTTCTTGAAAGACGAATCGAAAAAACTTGCAGGGGCACCAGATGACTGGGCAATGGCACGGAGAGAGCACGAAAGACTGCAGGAGCAGGTTGGCAAAGCCTTATGTGTTCGTTTGCAGAAAAAATGACAATATACCATTTGGCACCTGCATGGTGGTGATTGGCACACAAGTCTGGCCTTTCAAATCAAAGTGCAGAACTCTGTCTATTTGAAGGCTGCTCAGTTTCATTTCTCGCTAAGCCAGCTTGCAACAAGACGTGCTCTGAAGATCTGAAACATCCTTTTCTACTTTGCTCACTTGACAGTGCAGCAAGCACATCGGCTGTTGTTGTCAAGAGCAGCCAATTAGTTGTTGTGTGGACTTTCTGGCTGAAAAAATGCAGTGGCAAAGGGGCCCAGAATCCACAAAGTGCATGGTTAGCATTGAAGGCAGGAATGCCACATCCCAGTGGGCTGGCAGCGGCATGCACTGTAGGCTGAATTTTTCTGCGGTTTTGCTTCCAGTCACGAAATGCCCAGGCACTCCGGGACCAGAATGCCAAGCTTGCTGAAGAACTGAAGGCAATGGAGCAAGAGTCGGCCAATCTGAAGGACGCTGCAGGGCGCTTAGCGGCAGCCACAAAGGAGTATGATGACCTGAAGTCAAAGGCCACCCAGGCTAAGGAACTTGAGGACGAGTGCAGCAGGCTTCGTCAGGCTGCTGTGTCGCTGGGACCCTCCCAAGAGAAGAAGGCTGCATTGGCTAAGCAGGTGTGCCCTTATTGCATTTCTGTTGTGCTGAACACTAAAAGTTTGCAAACTGCAGTGCAATTTTTTGCTTCCCACTTGTTGAATGTGCAGGAAGGAATTGATTGCGTGCTGACCCTTATTTTGGTTTTCCAACACCATCACCTATCACTGCTCAACACCTCCAAAATCGAGCGCAAAATGTTATATTGAAAGTTTGGGGTTTCACCATATTGGCGTTGCCATTCCATTGCACACCGGTCAAATGCTCTTGGTAGTGTCTATCGACGTTACTGCACCAATTGCTGGTGACAGCATTCATCGACACTGATTTGCCAAACTCGGGCACATTCAAGGCCATCAAGGGCACTGTGTGCAGCCACAATGTATTGCTCCTAATGACTCACGCAAAACTAGCCAAAAGTTCCACAGCCTGGTGCATTTCCTGTTGTGCAAATGGCACATCCACTTTTTGAACTACATATTTAAACACCCCTCATCACCTGCAAGCTGCAAGGGCTTCACTTTGGTTAGTGAATACAAATGTGCCAAGAGGAATTCAGCAGCTGCAGATGCCTCTGTGAATGACATCAATGGCTGTGCTGCATATGTTGCTCCAGGTTGAGGAAGCCGAGGCTGTTGAAGAGGAGAGCAAACGCCTGGCTGCAGAGCTGAAAAGCAAGCAAGACGCCATCACACAGCTGGAAGCTCTTACTGAACAGCTCCCTGGTGCCAGGAAGAGGCATGAGGAGCTCCAGCAGCAGGCAAACGAGCTGCGAGCCCTTGAAGAAGAAAACGAAAAGCTGTCTGCTGCTGTGGCGGCAGCCCCCGCACCAGGCAGCATTGATTCTGCCAGGGGCAGAGGACAGGTGGCCTCCCAATGCCCTTGCTGCTTTTTCCAGTGCGATCATGACCCAATGCAAATATCTGCATTGAATTCATTTGGCAGAGTATGACAAATTGCTCTGTTGCTCCTGCCAGTCGATTTTGAGCACAATCGCTTCACTTTCTGGATGGTACATTGTATCAGAGGAGTCGAACTGTATCGGAGCATATGCAGTAGCACAGTGCAAGTGACTGCAGCTTGAACTGATTGAACGGTTGTCTCCTTGCAAATGGTGTGCCACAACACAAATGGCCTTGCCATGCGCTGTACTCCGAGCTCAACATATGCTGTAGGATCCTTGCCTCATGTTTGGCCCAAGCTTCTTGTTCATAAAACATGGCAGTGAGTGTGCGGTTCAATCTTTTGCTGTGAACCTGCCTGTCAGCCTGAGTTTGCATCCTTTGGCGGCAGGTGGGGGATGTTAAGACTCGTGATGCATCATGGGATCACATAAGACAAGCCCAGGCACGCCCATCACAAGACCTGGAGGGCTTCTCAGATGCAGGTGGGGCTGTGCCTAGATGACCGTTCTCCCTCTGAATATTTCCAGACTTATTGTACATGCTCTTTTGCAAAATTTGTGCTGTTCGTGAATGGCCACGTGGTGCACCAATATTGCTAGCCTGGCTGTGGCTGGCCTCAGCCACAGCACAAGAGCACTTGTCAAGAACCTGTTCCTGGCTGCAGAATGGATTGAGCAGTTGGGGCTGTTTGTTCGATTACTTGTTGTTCCGCTGATTGTGGTTGTCAAAAAAGTGCAACCATTGCTCTTGCCCTTTCAAAGCGATGATAAGCATTGAGTAGCCGATTTTGATGCGCGGTGTGTGCACAATTGGCCCCGCTCTGTATGAATATCAATAGGATGCAACAGGTGGACGTGTTGGATAGGACCACATGAATAGGACAGGTGGATGGTCAGTGTTGCGTTAATTCTGGAGGACCAACTACGTGCCCATGCCATCAGTTGAGCTTATCCGCCTGAATGAAATGTTCCTCATCAGGGCCAAACACACGGCAATACTGGCAAAGCCTTTGGTGGGCGATGATCATAACCAACTTTGTACCAATTATTTTCCTTTGCAGAAATCCTATGGTATTGTATTCAGTGCTTCTGCACTGAGGACTACTGTGCTTTTGTAAGAGGGTTTGCTTCTTTTTCACATTTTGCCCAATTAGCGTAGCCCAGAATCTTTCACTCTGCATCGCCGCAAACGGTCACAAGAGCAGAAGGGGTTGCGATTCCTTTGGGAGCAGCACACAGTTGAAAAGCAACACTGCTGGCGGACGGGATCAGCTAGCAATGGGCGCTGGGGTGCTCATTGCAAAGGGACCAAAGGGCAAACGGAATGTGTGCTCTGTGTCCACCACAGAGGCAAGCAGCACACAGTGTCCTTGTTTATAGCACTACAAGGTTGGTGCTGGGGAATGGCGAGTTGCAACACGAATGCATGCGATTCCAATGCACGAAGGCAAGATCGTTGCAGAGCTCTAGTCCACTCCACAGGGTCACAGGCTCCGTGGCCTTTGGGAACGATGCAAGGCATGTCTGTTACCCCTGTTTCCTTGATGGCAGTGCTGATGTATTAAGTATGGCAATTATAGTTGACAGTATATACATTGTATTATTGCATATATGATGGCTACGGTGTTTGCAACAAACTGGTAATTATTAAAATGTCCTTGCCTATTGTACTCCAAGTCAGCACATAAATGCAGCATTCAGCAATGGGCAGCAGATGGCACAAGTCAGAGGGCTTGTTGGCATTGCTTTGTTACTCGTTCCTTTTTTTCCTCTTTTCTGTAGAGGTGCATCGCTTCTCAGTTGCCACCGCTCTGCACAAAGGGCGAAACGTAGGGCAGTTGTGCTGAAGCACACAGTATATGGCATAGTAGTCTGTTTAGCAGTTTGGGAGTTTTGGAGTACATTGACTATAATAGATTACTGTTTGAGCCGAACGCAGCAGCTGTAATTGAATGCCATTGGCAGCTGACAGCTGTGGCATGTGCCATGCGATCAGGTGACTCCATCGCTGAAAGCACAGAATCGGAAGCTCGCAGTGGCAGGAAGAGAATGACAGTGAAATACAAGTCGAAGCTTGCTGTAGACAACCTGGCGCAGCCGAAGAGGGGATGGCAACACAAAGAAGGGCCTAAGTCAGCCAGGAGCGATGTCAGCACTAGCAGCATACCCCAGGCGAGGAAGGGATCAACATCGAAGGAGGGCTCTGGATCGGTCAGCCAACCACGATGGAAGTAGTTATTACGGCGGCTTCACAGCTCCACACAGCTAGTTTGGTGCCTGCACAAATGCGCTGCATCTTAGTGTAAGTGGGAATCATGTTGCTAATACAACGCTGGTGTCCTGCCAAAATGAACTCAGCAACAGGGAGATATTAATACAGGGGTAGAAAGGCGCCATTTCACCTGCTATGGTTAGCATTATGTTCATCATCGTTGATCAGTGCCTTGGGATCAATTACTGCCACTGTTCTTCTACCTGTTTGTAGTGATTTTGTCTGCAACATGAGGGGGTGGGTGTGTATGATAGGGTGAAGCGAGGGGCTCCCCATCTAGGCCTTACCGCAAACAACCTTCCGACGAGTTCAGCTTTCTTGACCCCTTCTTGCTGTACATGGCGGACGGTTTCGAAGAGGAACAGGACAGGGGTAGATACGGGACTGACGGTTCCACCAAGGAAAAGGGAAGGGATTGAGCAGTGTGCTCTCAACGATTGGGTGACGTTTGGCATGTGGGATAGGTCGCTCATGTGATGGTGGTTGACTCTCCGATTCACTCGGCCAGAGAGGGAAGCTTAAAGCGGGTGTGAGGGTAGACCAGCTGCAGGCAAAGAACAATTTACGCTGGTGCTAGTATCCATCGATGGCTGGCAATGGACAAGTGAACTGGTTGGTGGCTCCCACGCAAACTGCAGGCAACCGCTGTGCCAGGAGTCTGCCGAGGCTTCTGGTGCCACACTTGGTCACTGGCAAGTAATGCTTGGCGTGACGAAGCCTACGACACATGAGGTCGGCAGGCAACAGGCCTGGCCGTTGCCGCAGTATCGCACCCCTGACTATTCAGACATTGTGACCAGGCATGCAGACGTTGTTCCATGGTTGATCATCTGCAATCACATCGAGGAAGGGTTGGTAGGCATTATTCTTTGGTTGGGTGGGCAAGACCGGGGTTTGATGGGGTGTAGCAGGGTGGTTGTGCGCTTTGCCGCTGGGCTGTGGGAGAGTGAGCAGCGAGTTGAGGAATTGATTATGTATGTTCCAGTTGTAACTTGATTGCAAATTAACGGCATGTGGACCATGAACTCTTTCAGGGCTGGTGACGGTGAGTTTTGAAGACATAACGATGTCAGGCAGTGTTCACTCCGCTGACCATACCTCAGTCCCGATCCCACGCAATAGATATCCAATTCACAATATATTGTTGAACGCTGCTGCGCCAACACTTTGATCAAGGTGCAAGGGCCTGGACTTGCCGTGTGTGCTAGGGAACCGTGATCAACGAAGAACTTCGTTCGGATACCGCACCGCGACTGGTTAGCTGTCGTTGACGGTGCTTTGAGTGGTCCGACATTGGGGCGCTTTACGCATCTCAGCGTCTCGGAAATGGCCGTAATTTTGGTTGTGGCATTTGTGGACGTCGGACCCAGGATATTCTGTGTGAGGTAGCGACTTGCCATCGCGTGCTGCGCACTTGCGGAGACCAGTGAGAGAAAAGGTGCCATTATCCTTTTATCCTTCAATGAGCAAATGGATGTAATGTCCATGCAGCGTTCTTTTGTACGCCCACAGTGTGCAATGCCTGTGTGTTGTCACTTTTCGACAACGTCACCAAATTGGCACCACGCCTGTTCCACCCGGCATTAAAACAGTCGTTCGTCTTTTCCGTGAAAATCCCTTCTTGTTTCGACACCCAAACCCTAAGCAACTGACCCTCGTTGGCCTTGTCAGCGGAAGAAGAAGAGATCTTCACGGAAAAGACAATGGAGGCTAATATATTCTCGATCCCCCCCCACCACCGCCGCCGTAGCCGCACCAGTATGAAGGGGGGCGGGACGCCACGTGTGTAATTCCACCCGTCCCGAGGGCGTAGGTTGGAGGTTTAGGGGAATGCGCGGGGCGCCGTATACCCGTCCCGAGACGAGAAATTCCGCACCGTACACCGTGCACCGCGCACCGTACACGCATACATATCGCACCGTACATACATACATGCATACGACCGTCGGGGCGCATCCAAACAGAACACCGCCAACGCAAATTGCACAGCGCCAAAGACGGGCGAGCGCTTCAAGGTCGCGCGGCGAGCTGCACGGAGTCATGCCCAAAGGTGCCGCTTCCGCAAGCGATGCGGAGGAGCGCAGCGGCGAAGACTGCGAGGCGGGACGGGCGCTGCGGCCGTCGTGCTCCGGCGGTGAGGAGGATGTCGAGGACGGGGCCCCGAAGGCCAGGTTCTCTCGGAAGAAGCTGCGCCTGATGCACGACGACTACGACAGGAGAGGTGCGGGGCGGGTGTGGTGTGGTGGTGATTTTGGTGTGGAGAGGGGTGTGGGGGAGCGTCGCCTCGCCGGGGAGGCGCTGTGGAGTCCCGGCGCCTGTCGGCGTGGATGGGTGTTTCGTGCGCCCTGCCTACCCCGGCTGGGGCGTCCTTAGGTCTCAGGACATGTTTTGGTGCTTGCGGTCGTCTTGGAGTGGGTTTCCGTGGTGAAGGGGCTGAGATTCCTTGTGGCCAGGGTTGTGAATGGAGAGGGGCGCTGGGATTGGGGTCCGGGCCGGAAACCCTCCATTCTTCCCTGATGGGCAGAGGATTGTTCTGGGGGCACACTTTGACATAAAAAAAGACTGTATCCGTCTCAGTTGGACTTCAGCATGGCAGTTTAGCAGTTTGACATTAAGGCAGGCTGATAGGCATTCAGATGGACTGGTGTTGAGGAAAACCAAGTCAAAAACTCTCAACAACACCTCACAACAAAGAATCTTGACCATGGCCTGCGATGTTTTCTGAAGCACACATGTCGCTAATCAATCTCTTGTCAGTGGCACAGTTGAGCACCTTGCAAGCCGAACATCAGCAACTCAATCTGCTGTGCTGTCCCACATGGGATGGACAAGGGCCTTCTCTTGGAACTAACTCCAGGAACTTGCTACCGTGCTGGAAGATTGAGACCTTGAAGTCGTCCAGTCCTCCTCTTCCCTGAAGCACTTACCTTCAGATTTTGAGACAGAGCATTGGCTCATATGAACTTAATTGGATAATATATGATTGAATAATTGCTCCCATCTCCACATGGTGAATGGGCAACACATTGTGTCTATGAGGGCGAAAGGGAACATTGCGGCGATGAAAGCAATATAGGGTTCGTGCTTCAGGGTCTCCAATGACAAGCTCAGCACCCAAATGCCTTGGCATAGGCTGTTTCAGTGAATCTCAGTTCTCCTGTTCTGACAGGGATTGTGTACATCAACTATATACCTCCCAAACTGGTATGTATCCATACGAAGCCTCAACACATCGATAGGAACCAGGGATAACAGTTCAGCTGGGACCTTCTTTGTCATTGATGGGCAGTGCTTGGCCATGAAAGAAGGCTCTCTTGCCTGTATTTCTGCCTGTTCCTCGCATTCTTTCCGATGGCAATGCCCACCATCTGATACAAAGTTGTGGGACTTTAAGTACGCCTGTCATCGCTTGTCCATGCACAGATGATGCCTTGCACTCGACGAAAATTATCGAATCAGCATTTTGTCCATGGCCGAACTTGCTGTTGGTCCACTCTCCAATTGTGGGCAAATAACGTTTCAAAACTGTGGTACGCTGCTGTGGGCACTGCTGATGGCTTTGTGCAACATTGAAAGTCGCTGTGCTGTCTGGATGGACTCGATAAATAGTGTGCAGAACAGCTGATGTCATTCTCTTTGAGCATTGATTCGTCTTTAATGTTTTTTACTCCTGTCCTTGGACATGACCGTATGGCGCATATGAGTTGGCACTGAAGGTTATCTGAAAATTATTAGCAAACTTGCCAAGAGGTGGACAAATATGATCTCTTGTGTGTGAGGGCCACCATTCAGCTGTTGTGTAGTCAAGACTTGCTGTGGCCAGTGCGCTTGGAGACATTCTTTTGCAATGTTCACAGTCATTACGTCCGTTCATCTTGACAGCCTGTGTTCGCAACATTTGCTACCCAGTTTCCTGAAGAAAGTCCCAATCGGTGTGCGTTTATTGCCTGCTTTTTCTGCTGTGCACATAAGCCCCACAAAGGAGCAAAACTAAAACTGAGCATGCGAAAAACGATTGTAAGCGCCGCTGCCCAGAAGGGAAATGCGAACACACCAAAACGGATTTTTGTAGTATGGGCTGTGAATGCAAAACGGACCGTGACAAACGGGATGGAGATACACAGTAAAAGGGGGCCAAAACCACATATTTTCGACTAGCTAAGACAGGATCCCATGGTGACAGCTTGCTTTGCAATTGAAGAATCCCTGCGAAAGGGTGTTATATCAGTGCCTTGGGCAGTATTGCCTGTGGACTGTATTGTTCTGCAGAAAAGCATGGATGGTGCTTCTTTATCGAATGATAAAGACAAACAAGACAGATGTCCACAAAACTGTCATTATTAGCAATGTTAGCCGAATTCGAAATAACCATTCATCAGCAGGGCGATGCAGTACTAAAGGCTGTGAAAAGGAAGCTGTCGTTCGGAATTCATGATTGCAACATCCCCCTTGTATGATGGGCATGGTTGCCGCTAGATTGGTGTGCACGCCTGTGCACAGCAAACATTGGATTCCTCTCCATGAAGATTTTGGGTGGCTGGCTTGCAGAAACCATTCAAGTTGAAGACAATGCTCTCTGAGTACGGCGATCTAGGCAGATTATATTTGGCACCTGAAGGTAAGGCTGCACATGCATTCCAATTACTTCCCATTGCAGTTGTAGTTCCTTCAGTCCCCTTGTCTTAGATGTTGATAGATTCTGTGCCAGCATTGCGATTGTTAACTATTGTTTGTGTCGTATTTCCCTGTCTTCTGCTGTCTGCCACCTCTGTGATGGCGCGATGCTCAGGGCTGTGGTGGTGTTCATCGCACTGCTGCTGGTGGTACGTGTTTGAAACATGAATTGTACAGTTGGCACTTTTGCCTGTGAGGGGATGGCGGAAGCTCTTCACAATCGTGGGTGTGTTATCTACAATACGTTGGGTTCCCATTCCCCACCAGGCCCAGCGAATAACAGCCAGGGCATGGTGCCCAGATGAGTCATCCTTTTGCTGCTGTAAGTGCACAAAGCGCACATCGAACATGTGGAGCGGCAGTGCAGTTTGGAGGATGCCTAGATGCAGCCGCATTGGTTCATGTGCTTTGCAGATTCTAGACCCCACCGAAACAAGAAGCATGGGAAGAGAGGGAAATCCAAAGGGTTTCGTGAGGGTTGGGTAGAATTCATGGACAAGAAGGTGGCCAAGAGAGTGGCAAGAATACTCAACGGTGAACCAATGGGTAAGGGCTCAATTCTCTCTGTGGCATTGGTCATCGACACCAAGCATCACCCCTGCTGATGTCCGCATCACACCCGCTAGTCGCCACACCCCAGTGCAGTCAATAATATCAGCCTGTGTTAGGTTCATTATCGAGTTTGAATGAAACTGGCCCTTGTCACCTCAGTTTAAACGTAGTTTTAAGATATGGTGTGCCTCTTGTAACAACGTGTTAGCTTCGTGCTGAAAGGACGACCTTACCTCTGCGAAACAGCACATGACGATGCAACGCTGTGCTGTGCAAGCGACCATAGGCGTGGTGGGACACCTGCATCCCATCCTCACATGTTGACGATGCGCCCCTTTTTTTCCCAGAATATGCCACTGATGGACGAACTGACGGGTGACTGCACTGCTGCTTGCTTGCTGAATCACTGCAGCAGCGGCACAGTGGGTCAGATGCCTGAAAACGTGCCAATTCTCCAACGCATCTGCCCCAAAAGGCTACATTGGCAGTGGCACCAGCGCATTGAGCCGGGGTCCGAGAAAAAGATGCTTCATTGAGGGACTGCCATGTGCTGTGCAAAGATGCATTCATGAAACTGAGCATTGCGGCCACGAGATGCTAAGTTGTCGTTCTTCAGATCCCACCCAACATTTGTTGAATGGTTGGCTTCGATTATTCACAGTGGCTGGAAACTAGGGCCAAAACCACTGAAAGCACTCAGCATCCTCTTGTGAAAAGCGAGCACGCGTCTGTGCGCTTGGTAAGTGGCCTGATGGCCACTTTTCATGGAAGGCACCCAAACACTTGTTGCTTGCCCTTGGATATGTTCCAGGCGTCTCCAAACCCGACGCCAGAGATGCCCTCATACTCAAACCCTGAACCACCGTTTGCCTTGCTGAGCGAGATCCGTGCGGACTGCAATATGGCTGCGAAGGCCGCCCTGTTTCCATTTCAACTGGAACAGGGTACGATATCTGGCTCATGAAACACCAAGCGCGTGGGGGTCAGTATCGTGCTGCGAACTTTGACGTGGCTCATGCCAATGTGCGTCTGCTGTGACTCTTTCTGCGTGCAACTGTGTGTGGCTCCTCAGTCACCTGTTGTGCCATGGAAACGGAGCAGTAGACAGCAACAATGTCAGCACCCATGCCAGTATCTGAGCCAGTAAACGCCAGAGGATGATAGCATCCATCCCAGCATTCCAAGTCTAGTGTTCGTACAAAAGCTTGTATCCACACATTTAGTATTAATGATAGAGTATACTGATAAGGTATTGCTAATCAAGGCTGTGCCAAGGCGGTGCTTTCGCAAGGCTTATGCGGAGGTTGGCGGTGTGACAGGCGGGAAGCGGCGCTCCCCGTTTTACTCGTGCCTGTGGAGCATGAAGTATCTGCACAAGTTCAAGTGGGATTACCTTCGGGAGGAGATTGCGTACCAAAAGGCGACCTACGAACAGAGGCTGTCCCAGGAGCTGCGAGATGCAAAGCGCGAGAGGGAATTTTACCTGTCGCAGGTGGATCGCGCCAAGCTGGAAGAAAGGAAAAGGCGGCGGGAGGTGGGTGGCATCTGGTCTGGCAGCCTGTTGGCTGAATGTGATCAAATGCGCGTTGTGTGTGTGGAACGTGTTTGTGAGCATCGCTGCTGCTCTCGAAAACCTGTGCTGCCCACTGAATTGCCATACCTCTGATAGACCATCATGGGCAACCATGATGCCCGTGCACGTGTGTCATGCCCACTAGGGGGCCAAATATCACCTGTGGATGTGTGTGTGTGTGTGTGTGTGTGTGCTGTGGATGCGCACGGAAATTCTGGGTCTGCGAAACAGGCCTGATATCGAACAGCGGCTGATAAGACAGCGATTTTTCATCTTTTGATGAATGTGTCCATGGTAATGTGCGCTTATCGTTGAATGCATGGGCCACGCATGACACACCCGACTGTTGTATCAAAGCCTTTGCAGAATTGACGGTGTGACGAATGGACTGCTGGCTGTGGCCAACAGAAACCAATTATATATAATCCCCCATGTTGCTACAGACGCTGTGGCATTGCGTGAGGGCACTCCGTGCTGTGTGGCCCAAAGTGACATTATGAAGGCCGGATTTGAAACTCTCTTTTCTGTCTTGGCGACTGCTGCAGGTGGAGGAAGGGGCGGAAGGGACGGAAGGGGCGGAAGGGACGGAAGGGGCGGAAGGGGCGGAAGGGGGGCCGCATGAGGCCAAGCCGCCGGATGCGGGCGCTGAGGGAGACGATGTCAAGAGGTTGCGATATTTCCGCCAGAGGGAGGCCAAAGCAGATGCCTTGGTTGATAAACACGCACCTGAGATAGCCAACGACGTCCTCATGATGCTGGCTGGCTCGTTCTCGGGGCAGTTGGAGGGGCAATAGAAGCTTGGGGGTGGGGGTGGGGACTTGCATCAGTTTCGATGCTGGTAGAAGCGTTGCGAAGAACGCCGCAGGCATCAGCTGCCCCACAATATTGCTTACGCCGTGAATTTTGATGCTGAAGCTTCATGCAGTCCCAACCAGATTTGATTGATAGGCTGATCCACCGAGGGAACGCAAGTCTGTGTCGTCTTCTGCCTGACTTCCAGCGCGGCAGCATAGCATCTTCCGTCGCTCATGGCATCACACTTTTGTTAACTATATGCCATCACATATTTATCACATATATTGCGGATCAGGCGTTGTCTGTTCTTTGTCATACACACACTCCACACGTTGATACACAGCCCGGGCATCGCATGGCACATTTGCTCGGGCTTTGCAGCGCAGAATCAAAACCGCTGTTACACCGCCAGTGGAGAGCGACGAGGCGCCCGCACAGGACCGCAGCTCACGCGCACCCGATCTCCTGTGCCACGCCTCGCCCATCATGCAAGGAAAAAAAGAAAAAATTTCGGAGCGGCTCCCCTCTTCCCGACACGACCTTGACGATCTCATTGCCAAGGATGCCGCCCACGATGGCGCACACGGCCGCCAGCTCCCCCGCCCCCTCAACGAACAGCGACAGCAGCCGCTCGCTGTAGAGGCGCTCGCTCAGGCCGCCGTCCGCGGCCATGCGCCTCGCCAGAGACTTCACGTCCTCGATGTCAGCGGCAGCTGGGGGACGGGACAGCCGCCGTTGGAACTCCGCGCACACTGTGCCCACGCAAGCCACAGCACATTTGCCAACGGCGAGCCAGACGATTTTGTCCAACAGGGGACCGAGAAATTCTGGCAAAGGCAGTGCACAAAAGGCCACACTACATGGGCCAGGTCCCAAAGACGCCAACGCACAGTGGAGAGTGTGCCTCACACGGGTTTCACAAAAAGCTCCAAGCGGGACGGGAAAGTCCCCCACATTCTCTGCACTATACATTCAAGAATGTTAGATATACAGGCGACGAGGCAGCCGTCACCTCCACATTTTGCCCGAGAAAGCAGTGTTCATGACAGGTTCACTGAAAACCAAGATACGGAAATCAGGCGGCACAGTAGTTTGGGGATAGGGCCCAGGGGCACAGTCCACTAAGTCAGTGATTTGGCTCACACCCTTCAGCAAGGAGCTTACAACGCTGCCTGTGCAGCGATGTAGGATGAGTGTACAGGAACACATGTACGAACATGCGAACGCTGGCAACTATGGAAAACGCAGTGGTGCCGAAAGTCTGACAGATCAAACCTTGCAAAATGAAGTAGAGGCAGTGCGTCTTGTTGGGAAGGTTTTTCTGTGGAACACACAGCGCTGCTGAGAGGCGAGGGTAAGTCTTTGTGCGCTCCACGCACATGTCCGACGCCTCTTTGCCCTTGTCCTCCTGTCATGTAGTTGAAACAACAGACAGGAAATTACCAGCGAAATGGTACATAGCATAATGCACATTGGCACAGGTGCGCATGCATCATGCCCCAAACCATTCAGTGTCAATGGCACAGTAGAATTTGGCAGGCGCAACCGTTAAAAGGCCACTTCTGTTATTGCCTTCCCAAGCCTTGTTTTGACTACGAGAAGACATATGCCCTTTTTCTTCAATATCAGCACCTCTATAAGAACATTCCCAACGCACCTGCCAATATTGGGCGTAAGAGATTGGGCTATTTCAATGTAATGAACGCAACTTCTTCTCAGAAACCAACCGCGAAAGTAGATGGAGTGTGCATGTCAAACCATGGTTGCATGTGAGGTGTCCATGACCACAAAGCCACAATGTTGATCACACGCAGAAGCGCTGATTCACGAAAACGTTGCCTTCATTGTCAAGCAGCTTTGGCACACGGGTACAGTTCCTGCTCCAATTCATGTTGCACAGTCCCTGACGTTGCCAAACAGTTGACAAGGTTGTGATTTTTCATGGTTCAATGAAGGGAAAAAACCGATTTGCTACAGGTCAAAGATCTGTGCCATAGTTCAATCCAGCCAATGTGGAAAACTGCTACCACAGAACACCCATCCCGGTGTTGGCATTCCAGCGTCAACGTTCGTTGCCCAACCTTGAGTGTGAAGGTATGGGACTGCAGGTTGGCGAACAAGTAGCCAACCGTCCCATGGACACTCGCAGTGAAGAATTTAATGCCATTTTCGCTGCACCATTCATCGAGCTGCTGTCTCTCTGCCAGGTTGCCCCCGGATTGGACGATGACATCATATTCCCTGAAGCCCTCTGCCAGCTCTGAGCTCCAGCCCAACCCTGGGCAGGCCCTCACATTCACAAGTGGGTTCATTTCTTGAAGTGTAACCACACTGGCAGATGCCACGCTGACAGACAGGATGGCAAACCAAGATCAGCAACTGCAGTAGCCGTTCTTCTGCACGCGACAATGTGCAGGATGACAAGTATTGGATCACAATGGTTTCTTTCTTTCTTTCAAGCCATGGAGCTTTTTTTCACGTGGTGAACTGGAGTTTCTGTTGTTCCTATGCGCAATGCTTTAAGCCTGGGCAGAGGCAAGTGGGTCACAGAGACAAAGCATACTCATGCTTCAGTCACTTGCTTGCAGCCTTTGCACATCACCACGCAGGTAATGGGGCAAAGCCTTGTCCAACGGACACAGAAGTCGCTCAGGTGTGATCACGACGAGTTGATGGTTTGGTCTGTTGGAACAACAGGGCCCAAGACGCCCAAGACAGCTCAGGATGTTGCCATGTTCAGCAGGGATCACAACCAAATTTCATCGATATCTACAGCCGTCAAAAAGCTACATTCTGTGCAACTGGAGCGAAACAAAATGACCATCATGCATACCTCATGGAACCATCAACATTCGCAGGGATCAGGAAGTTCCCCAAGGCACCAGAAGAGCACGGTGTGTCATCCATCAACGAAAGGGAGCCAACCCCAGCCAGGACTATGTTTTTGGCGACCTAGCACCAATGAACATAGTTCATCAGGAGGGCAGAGGAAATTCGATGTTGGCATCTGCCATAAGAGAAAAAGCACAGCCCTTGCAAGCAAGAGGGTCTGCTTACAACCCCCTGGCCAAACGCAGCAATGGGAGGGGAAAGGGGAAAACACTGCAACTTCAGCTGAAGCACTGTAATATGCTGCCCCTCCAAACCACCAACATGTGCAAAGTGGATTACAGGAAAATTGCTGGGTAGACAAGAGCATGGCAGTATGTGCTTTCCTGACAAGTGCAATGCACTCACCGCGACCAAGTAAATGGCAGCCAAACATTTGACACAAACCGAGCCCGATTTATGTACGCACTCTAGCCTTAGGCACACACCTCCCACTTCCCCTTTTTGCCATTTCCCTGTTCACCAATAAATCGCTTGCCAACATGTCCATCTCCCACACCTTCTCCAACAAAATTAGACCACCATTTTCTGTATTGTGGCTGTTATTTTGTCAAAAACATGACGCAGCACTGCACACAAAGTGAGACTTCGAGCACTTCGAAGTTCCGTGCGAGGTGCGATGACGAAATTTTGGGCGCAGCTGGGACACTACAATATGGCAACAAGAGGTCGCAACATTCAAGTGCCATGGATTCGCTGTGGATCTAAGTTCAAGAGGCAAGAACAATCATTTGTGGGATGCTGCTGTATCCTCCAGATATGAGGGATTGGATTTTTCTGGTGCTGTTGTTTCTTACATCAATATCCATACGGCGTTCGCACCTCGGCAGCCAGGCCACTGCAGCCGATTAAGAGGACCTTAGATGCTTGCAACCTGCAGAAGAATCTCTGTCATCGCTTCATCAACGGGAGCACAGCACTGGAAAGGCCTGCTAACAACTGACCAAGTGTCGAATTCAAAATGGACCCCAGTGGGCTCAGTGCCTGAAACAACGCTACACCGTTCACGAGGGTCGATCGACATCCAGACGCGGAAATATGCTGCCAGCTACGAATTCAGCAGCCACCCACGACGTGCCCCGGCTCTCCCCGACAATACGACAAGCCGACGCCGACGTACTGGAACTTGCACTGACAGCGAATCTCGACGACGTAGGGCGGGGTGCACGAGGCACACCCTGTAAAAGCAGGACTCGCCTCTTTTGGACCTCCACTCCCCACACGCGGATCTGCCGGTCGTACACCGCGGCCTCCGCCTCGCTGAGTTTCGCCATCGGAGCGGGTTTAGGAGCTGCAGGGCTACGGCCGAGCGGGGTGGCAGGGGGTGTGCCCGGCGCTGCCAGGTATGGCCGCGCGTGAGCAAGGTGTCGAAAGATTCTACGATGCTGCTTTCGATATCGTATATCATGCCCACAAGTTGGTGCTATGCAAAAAGACAGTCAGGCACAACTGGTCCAGAGCGAACACATTGAAATGCTAGCACTGAACACAAATGCTGAGTTATGAATGCACATACTGTAGTATATTCAAACCCTTCCCCATTTTTGAATTTCAGAGTTGCAAATTTTGCTCCGCATATTCTTGACAGAATTTTGGGGCGCAGGACGCCCATACGGCGTCCCGCGCATTCCCCTAAACCCCCAACCTACGCCCGCGCAACGGGTGGAATCGCAGACGTGGCGTCCCGCGCCCCTTTCTTCCACTTCAGACAGTTACTTGGGGGGGGCTCGGCATCTTGGTCACAACCAGAATGGCGACTTCGCGCAGTCCGCATGGCCTCAAATGCCGGTTTTCCGCCACAAGGACCCATGCATCCGGGGCCATTAGACGCCATGAGCATTCCAGAGCCCCTCGCGTCTCGGCTGGGGCTGCTCCACACTTTCTTGGTACCGTTGCATTTTTATTGTGATGATATGCGCAGATGTTCTGTATGGTATGATGATATGATATGACATTACGTACGAGTGTGCGGATAGACGACACGTTATGTACAGGCGTGAATGTGTGGCCAAAATGGACAGAATCACTGTATATCCACGGATAACCCGTCGTGAGATTGTAACCTTGCGTTGCCATCTGTGCACGGCAGCACATTGTTATTGCTCTGCGTGAAAATGCCAGGGCTGCGTTGCAATGCGGAAGGGTATAATATATTGCGGTATGTTCTGGCAACCCAGTCTTTGTGCTCAATGCTAGCGTTTAATTGCTCGCAATCCAAGAGATGAATCTATTTCTTTCTAGTTGCTGTGGTGCAGCCCCGGTCGGTCTTTTTCTTGGGCATAGGAACAGCTGACATATGTTCTTACACAACACGACCGTTTGCTCCTCGATCGCCTACAGAAAAACTTGGTTGCGTTTTATCGCCCTCCTCTTGCCCTTTCCCATTCAGTCTTGACAATGTCATGCTTTAGGTTGTAAGTAATTTGTACAAGATTTTGGCAAGAATATGGCGCCTTGCTTTGGCAAATCCAAAGAGAGGAAAGGAAAAAAATACAGCTAAATGTGGAGGGCACCCAAAACTGCATGTGCAGTTTTAGTGCACTAGCGCTGACATTAGGACAATACGTAGAAATAAAGAGCCGCCTTTTCTTGATTACTGACACGTCGCTCGCATTTCCGCTCACACTCACACACAGTGGCTCCCAGGCATGGGAAGCAAGCCGCAACCAGATGTTGTTACAGAATGATTGTTCCAGTCATGTAGTGTTCGTTGCAAGTGTGTCAAGCTCATGCCCCTCCCCATCGTTCCCCATTTCGCCATACTCAACACCATATTTAATTCGCCATAAAAAGCTCCATCCTCCATGCAATCACTTATGCATCTTTCTTGTCTTCACAATTACTATAGATGGATCGACAATATTCAGCCGTGTGAATCAGTACTGCTAACTAGGTGACGTGGCTCGAGCACCGTGACTTCGATGCTCAATGCACACAACATTTATAGCGTGAGCACACTCTCCCAGCAGAACGCGGAATGTGACGCATGGCCATAACCCCTGTAGGACGGCGTGGGTGGACACTTGGAGCCCTCTCGACCACGCGCTGCTGTTCCTCAAGCAATCCACACGAGATCTATCCGCGGAATGTTCATGGATCGATACCGAATCAATGGATGCCGACAACATGGTCGACTTGGGGTGCACGCAAAAGATTGGCGTTGATGCCATGAGCATCGTGCCAGTGAGATCGATCGTGCATGCGGAGCGCAACTTGGGAAACATTGGTAATCATGCAGAAAAGTTCTTTGTGGCTCAGGGGATGGTCCAATCTGTGCCGATTCCCGAAGAATGACGTGGCGTGGGCGACGCATGCTTGAAAATCGATCATCGATGCCAGATTTGGATACCCCCATATGGTATGCAACATGTGGAAAGCTTCAAACCGCCCAATAGCCGAGAACAACCACTTTTGGCTTTATTAAGGCTCTCTGTCTAATTGCTTGCGACATTTCTTGAGTTGTATTTACCTCGGAGGCAGACACGGTCAATGAGAGTGAAAGCACTGAGAGCCAGGAATGTGGGCTGCACGTTGCTGCTGGCTCGGGTTGATGGAATCCGCCGGGATGTGCTTCATGAAATCAATACTGCTGGCCAACGTTTCTGGCTCTCTAAAAATGCACTTCCCCAAAGGCTGCGTTTGAGCAATGGGAAAACAAGCGGTCGCAGCTGTGACATCGGCGGTTGTAGTCCATTATGGTACTATGGATAAGAACAGGCAGACATGCGGCTGTGAATGGAAAGAATTGTTCTGGTGTCGCACCGCTGTCGACGAGGAAATTCGTGATCGAATTTGGGCTTGGACGAATGGCCAACATCGCTCGACAAGATCGCACTGGGACCCGCTGCACATCCACCATGAGTGAATGCGCAGCCGTGAAGGGCGTGATATCACATCCTTCATGGCCATGCACAGGAAGCGATTTTCAACATGGAAATGAATCTACCGCGCGCGAGGCCGTGTTGCGCTCTCGATGTGACCTGGGGCCCATAACTGCCGGTCGCACCCGAACCTGGTCTCACCCCACGCGACGGAAGCGCCACCCCGCGCCTGCTCCCAACCCACCCTAATCTGCCAAAGCCTACCTACAGCGAGCGAATCTAGGACGGCTCCATGTACGCCCCTCCACCGTGCTTGACGCCCGCCAGCCCCTTGGTCTAGCCCATGTTGGCCCGCACGCCACGGCTGCCGCCCCCGCCCGCCGCAAGGCCCCGATCCGAGGCCTGCCCGCGGCTTCTTTCTCCAGTGGAGCCTCTCTAACAGCATCCCCCTCCACAAGGTGCGGTTGTAAAGGTCCGTCGGGATCTTCGGGATCGGCCTGCCGGTGATCGTCGTCAAAGCCCCTGTGGGCTGCAATTGCCGGGGAAGGCGGTGGGGCGGGCATCCTTCTCACGGCACCGGCCGGCCGCGCCCGCAGATGTGATCGTCCCCGATCGATCGCGCACGAACGTGGGCAAAACGTTGGAGAGCGCGGTGTCCGCGTTGGGGGCAGCGGGCGGTTCGGGGGGTCATCGGGAGCGGGGCGGTCCGATGGGCGGCCCAGCGGCGCCCGGGGGGGCCCCGGCCGAGCCCTGCCGGTTGCCGAGCCCAGAAGGTGCGGAGATTCCTCTGCGTTGGATTCGCAAGGGCGGGAGATGGCTCGCGGCTGCTCCGCGCACGACTGCTTACTCCCCGCCTGGCCGGAAGATTTCGGCCGAAGGTCTCTGTGGTCGGCGGCGCCGCGGTCTGGGATGCTCGGGGCCGTCGCCCCTGCGGCATGCGCCCGGTGGAGGCCCGCTGCGCGACCTCAGACCCCGGCGCCCACCGCGGGGGGGTCGTTTTGGCGCGGGGCGCCAGTTTCTGGAGAGCGCGACAGGGGCGCGGGAGAAGCTGGCGCCCCGGGTACGCGGCCGTTGGCACGCCGGCCGCCCTCGAAAACTGCCGCACCCCGCGGGGGTAGGGGCGCGTCTGTTGGGCATCGCGCCGGTGTGCGAATCGGCCAGCACGCCGCGCTCCGATCTCGCCGCGAAAGGTGGGCGCAAGGAGGGCACACATCTCGCCGGCCCTTCAACAGCCGCGAACGACGGTTGCGTCACGGCCGTGGCAAGTGGCTGCTTGGCGTGTCGGCGCCCGTGCCTGTGTCCACCGTGTTGTGGGTCTTGACGCCGGCGCGGGCGGCAGGCGCCTGGGCGCGGGGACTGTGGCTTACGATACGGCAATACCTCGGCCCCCCGCTTTTTTCTATTTTTTTCTGACGGGAAAAATACGGGAAGGCCGCGGAGCCGTCACGCGGGGCCAACAACTTGCCTGCACGGCCGCTGTAGCCGTGTGTGGCACACGGGCTGTGAGGTAGCCTTCCTGTTGGGGTTGGGAGCCCTGCATCAGTTCTTTCATGGGAAAATTGAGCTCTCTCATTGGTGTGCTGGAAAGGCACCCAGGTTCCTGTGGAGCCTGTCACCGTGCTGGAAGCTGTCTCAGTGCCCAAATAGATCTTTGTGTCGATTTTGGTGTACTGCAGCAGCTACTCTCAACTCACGCTGTGTATGAGTGTCGGCAGCCTGTCAACAGAATTTGGAATTCATGGGTCAAATTTAAAAATCATCAGTGCTTGGGCTGGAAGAAAAACCTCAATACAATTTGATCTTCCCTGGCAAGGAATCACCATTTGCGAAAGCATGCTTCTCGAGCCATTGCACCCAGGGACCCTCACAGTCAGGAACAGACACTGTTGGTAGAATGGTACACAAGTTTTGGCAGCCAGGCAGGCTGAGTTATCACTTTTGTTTGTGCTTTTCTCTTCTGGTGCGTAGAACCTGCTATGTTGGGGTGCTCCACCGGGGCAAGGAGGGCCTCGGGTGGTTTTGCAATTGCTGGAGGCGTTGACGAGTTCCAGTACATCAGCGCCCGCAGTGGACACTGGGCAGGAGGCATAGCTCCGAGCACCCAGCAGTCATTTCCAGGCGCTGCTGTGCGCAACGCCATGTGGCCCTGCCGCACGCTGGGCAGCCAGCAAGGTACCAGTTCTGTGCAAGGGCTGCAGGGAGGCAGAGGCGTGCCTTCCATAGCTATACCTGTGGCACAGGGTGTGGAGGTGTGTGGAATGGCTGAGAGCGCGGCCATGGCTGCCATGACAATTCCCGTGGCACAAGGGGTGGTAGTCTGTGGGCAGCCAGAGATCAGGGCTGTGACTTCTGTGGCTGTCCCAGTGGCCCAAGGTGTGCAGATGCACAGGCCACCTGACAACATAGATGTGCGTGCATTGGCCATGCGTGTGGCACAAGGTGGCCAGGTGCATGGGTTGCCAGAGACCACGGCCGCAGCATCCATGGTTGTTCCTGTGGCCCAGGGCGTGGAGGTTAAGCAGTCCATGGATGAGGATGCAGCCCTTCCCAGTACCCAGTACCCCCTTCACCACACCTTGACAGGCACAGATGCTAAGCAAGCAGGCTGGAGGAACTACTTGTCAGTTTATGGGTCTGCTGCTGCTGCTGCTGCTACAAGCCATTGTACCATGTCTGGCGAACAGCAAGGTGCCGCAGGGCTGGTGGGTGCTGCTGTGCAAGATGACCTGCTGCCTCCATCGCTGGAGGGCCTCCGTGTCATAGACTTGGCGAACCTTTCTCAACCTGCACTTGTGGCCACCGCTAGCCAGTCACACCAGGGAAAGGACAACCCAGTCGGCTCAGTTCTGAGTGGAATTGTGGGTGGCATGGATGAGCGCGCAGTTGGCAAGACTGCAGCTGCTTTCAGTATGGGAGGCTTTCCTGAAAACGACTACGAGCTCGATTACGAGGGGGCTTGGCGAAACATCTTGCGAGGACACAAAACTGTGCCTATTCAAGAGTTCGACGCACGGACCCCACGGAAATTTCAGGTGTGCTGAAGATGCACGTGTTTTGGCGCCTTTCAAATATCCACATTCCCTGGAGGACAGTGCAAGATACATTTTTATGTATTGTTTTGACCTGTGGCAGGATGTTGGTGACTGCACCTCATATCATGGCCATTCTCAAATTCCCACAAGCAAAGGTACAAAAGAAATATCCCAGTATGGACCATGGCAAGGGATTCATTGATGTCCTGACATTGGAGGGACATGCTGGGCAGTGTTTCGACTCTTCTACTGAGGAACTCGTTTCCAATGCTGTGTGAGTTGTTTGTCTGTGTTGAGAGTGTTTGGTTTTAAAAACCTGCTTGATGGACCCAATTGAGTTGGAAGAATGTGACAAGCACTGCACTTGCAGTTACAAGGCGATGGCAGGCATTGTTCCAACTGCACAGTTTATCCCAAAGTACTTATTCAACCCTTGACATAAGAAGCATTTGATTGCACACTTTAGCGTGTAGCGAAACTCTTCCCTTTCACCTGCAAGATGTTGACATCCATTGAGGGTAAACGATTTTGTGTGCATATCTGCTGCAGGGTCGTTGGGATCCGCACAAAGTGACATACGTTGACCTGGAACACCTGCCCGACAACCAAAAGTGGTTTGTGACAGCCCTCGAAAGATTTCTGGAGCGCCCTGTGAAGATACCCATCTTGGCAGATGTGCCCAAACCCTTGGACATTCAGCGCCTTTTTGTAGAGGTGCGCATATACTCCTGAGTGGTAGCTACCAACCCCCACATGCCCTCGATGGTCAAGCTGGTTTTAGAACTGTGAGCAATACCTCAACTGTGGAATTTGTGCTGCTACTGGTCGCCGTAAAAGATATCAGAAGCCTGCTTTGCCACAAACAAACTGCAGAAGGTGTTACAGAGTGTGACAAGGTGGGCAGCAGTGAATGAAATGAGAATTGCTATCTGTTGATTGAGCAATGAACAAATAAGGCTTATGTCTATCCACACAGAACAAACACTTTGCTTGCACCTTATTGGCACTGACAAGTGTAGTCCCCCCCCAACCACTGTTCCGAATACTCACCTGTGCCAAGACATATTGCGAACCGGCCCCTGAGAATTTGAAAGAATGTACCACACAGCAACAGGAAACCTAACCTATCAAGGAATGATCTCCAAACGGACAAATGCCTGCAAAGCAGAGGTAATTGCGTGCTCCATAAAGTCCAGGTCAGATGACAACCAGGAAAAAGAAACATTGCTCAAGAGCCACAACTGCTTAGGGTGTAGGAACCACAGCCATGTGAAACCCACAGCATACCACTCGCTTATGAGGCACATACACTTTTTACCTGCAGGAAGAATCCATCTTGGGTTCCCAAGCGCATCAGTGGCTTCTGTTGTTTCCAGTCTACCTCAGAGTGCACACAGCATTAAGCAACGTTGTGAATAGACAAACATGCCTGCCAGTATGTGGGATAGTGATAGAAAATGCGATCCTGGTCCTTGAGTGACAAGTAGCAGAATTGGTGGGTCTGTCAACACAACATAACTTCTCTCAAAGTTTGACCATTTGACTTCTCTGTCAAGCAGCGCTGGAAGGGCATAACCTAACAAGAATTGGCATGTAAAGGCGATCACCATTTGAGTGTAAGAGCATGTCCAGCAACTGAGGTGGCAAACTACCAATAAAGAGGAATTAGGGTTGATAATGGAGTGCATAGAAGGGATTGCTGTGTATGATAATGGCCACTATGCTTATTGCAGACAGCGTTGTGGGTGTAAAGAGGCTTTGATCACGACTCCCAAAGCATGAAGTCAATGCTCTCTGGGGCGTGACAAAATTTTGGACTCTGTGCACAGTGCAGCACTTTGTTCAGTTGGGCAGCAGGGTTGGGTTCTGTGTGAACACACCACCCATTTGTTCACAGCCAGCAATTTCTTGACTCTGTTTGGCCACCACTGCTCACCTGTGGATGGCATTGTGGCCACCATCACCTTGCAGGTGCATGGGTCATGTCGTAGTGTCATGTTCAGCTGGATGATTCACAGATGGATTGGTGGCCATCCCACCCCCACACCATGAACTCTCCTGCGGTCGAACAAGCCACCGCCCTAGTACTTGAGCAGCATAGGCAACAGCACATTTGCTAAGTGCATTGTTCACGCCATGTGTTTTGTTACCCAGGTGATGTCTCAAGGGGGAAGGGGCGCAGTTTCCAGGGCTGGGGGCTGGTCTCACCTGAGCTTCGTCCTGCAAGGCAATTCCACGCTTGGCACCTGCCTTGAACAGGTTTACAACTACTACTTGGGCCCCCTGGAGGACCGCCTGCCCAGCAGCGTGCGCCCTGCACGCGCACGGCAGTGGATGGAGCAGCATGCCCAGCACCTGGCAGACCACTTCCCTGCAGGGAAAAGGTTCAAAGTGGATGAGATCGTTGGCAATGCAAGGAAGCGTCTGAGGGCACTGGCCTCCAACAAAAGTGGGAAAGAAGAAGAAAAAGAGGAAGAAAAGCTGGAAGAAAAAGGAAAAGTGGAAGGAAAAGGAAAAGAGGAAGAGAAGGTGGAGGGCAAAGGAAATGGTGACGAAAGGGACAAAGAAAAAGGTGCAGAGGCTGGCTCTAATGCGGTGGAGGAAAGGGGTAGGGAGCTGCTGAAGCTGCTTGCATTAGACGTGCAGTTGGTGCAGGTGCCGAATTTTGTTGTGGAGGGCTTTAGGGACACTGTGGATGGCATTTCGGGCTTCGACGAGAAGAATTCGGAGATCGCCAGGCAGCCCGGTGCTGGCAGCAAGAAGAGGGATGAACAACCCAAAGTTGGGCAAGAGCCCGTGGTGGGTAGCATCTAGACAGTGCCATGACCAAGTTTCAAACTCTTTGCATTTATTTACGGACACAAAACCTACTCTGTGCATTAAAATGTGATGATAGGGAAGATGATAGATGATGGACAATTTGCTGCGTTCTTTCGCTGAAACACCTGCTCTTATGCACATATCCTTAATGTATTCATGAATACCTGTATGACTGTGTGAATCCATATCTGAATCCACATAGAAAAATATGCATACATTGCCGTTTAGACATTCATTTTCACAAACAATGTTTTCAGTGCAATATTGAAATACCAGTCGTGTTTGCAACCTTTTGGCGTCTGAACAATCTGATCGACTCAATGCAGCTTAGTGCGTTGCCCAGTAGCAGTAAACTATGTTTTCGTTGCTGTTCCTTAGCAGAACGGGATCTCAGGGCTGTATCCCTGTCCGGATACCCAGTATGTCTTCTCTTTTCTTATAATTCCTATTGCTGTTCCTTTTGGCTCATTTGATTTTGACAGCATCGTCCACTCATCGTTGACTGTTTGGTGCTTCAGGATGGCGCTGCGTGGGCGTTGCTGTGCTCCTTCAGGGCCGTGCAGGAGGGCGCCCCTGGTGCAGGCTTGGAACCGCCTGTCTACAAACCTCCAGCACCGCCCTACTCTAGATCCCATCTGGAGCGCGCCTCAATAGCGAAGCCGATGAAGCAGAGAAGGTTTGCAGTCCCTGGGCCCAGCAGCAGTGACGGGAGGCTGGGTTCAGGGTCAAGGGGAGGGAGGCGAATGCGAAGAAGCGTTGGGAGGACACCGAAGTGTGGTGCATGCAAGACTTGCATGCACCCGTCGATGAAGAAGGCGTGCCTGACGAATCGGGAGAGAATCGAGCAGGGTTTGGAGCCGCTGTTCGTGCAAGAAGCCCCCACTCTGCATTGAACCATGGCTTTGCCGCGCATGCCTGGTGCTTCGTATGTAACACTAGTTCCTTTATTTATACTCTATGTTTGGCTTGTTCGGCTTGCAGCGTGTGTAGTTTTGTTGGCAGAAAGCATCCAGCCATTGTGCGCTGCAGGCCACGCAAGCAAAGTTCCTGGCCAGTGACACAAGACGGCATGGGCGCCGCGTTGCTGATTTAGGGGCTGAATTTTATTGCGGCAGGTTCTGTATTAAGCAACCAACTTCCTTGTAAACATGTTGAATTTGCCGCTCCTGAGACGCCTCTCTGCAGCCACAGCCGTACTAATGGCACTGTGCTGATTCAGCACTGCCGAACATCTTTGGGCTGCAACCTGATGCACCTTTCAGCTGCAATGCAAGGCAATTCTGGCGCCCTTCCCAGCTGCTGCTTGAGTGTATGCGCGTCACGGGTCTACGTCGCGTCGCGACCCCATTAAAGTCATTTAATGAGCGCCGTGGAAGGAGGTTGGCACATCACCATTGGGCGGGGGATTAGGGGGCGCCGCAACCCTGCGACGCGGCGGTTCCGCCCACGCGAGGGGTTCCGACGGGCCGACAGCATTGGCTGAAGCCATTTCCCCGGCGTGTGGGCACGTCAACCTTGCGACACCGGCGCCGGGACCGCGAGCGCGAGCGCGAGCCCGAATTTTGCACATGGGTGTGTGCGCCGGCGTGCCCGCGCTTGTGAGGCTGCCGTGACAGATGGCGCAGGTCCAGTTGCACCGGTGTGGGCAGTGCCGCACAACATCTGTCTTCTGACCCGCATGCCATGGATGGCCTTGAGCACAGCGAAGGACGCCACCATTATGAGGACCAACATGACCCAAAGGAAGGGCCGCAGCTTTGAGCAGAGGCAGAGAAGATGGTGGAGGAAGTTTCATGAGGTACGCCCTTGAGAGGCATCTCTATCAAATGTCACGATTTCACTTGTGCTGTGTGCTTTTGCAAGGTCAGCAAGGCGTGGAACAAACCTGCTGCATTGAAATCTTGGTGGCATCAGTGCTTTCAAATGGTGCTGGATTCCTGGGTGGCTGCATTTGGAAACACATGGTTGTGTGGGTTGGTTCGCGCTTGTGATGGGATATGCCGTGGAGTGGGGAGCACTTGAGGCTGGCTTGTTCAAGCATGGTGGATAATCGGCCTGTGGCAATGATGGGGCCTTGAGCGCCTTTGACCACCAGATGGAGCTTGGGCATTGTAGCAATCTATCCAGTGCATCATGTTGTGTCTGTGTGTTTTGCAACGCATTGTGCATTGCTTGACAGAGGTCGCACAGCTGGCAGTGTCAATCCTCATGGACTGCCTTTGCACTCGTCAAGTGATGGCAGACGCTGTTCACACAAGAAACAAGGTCAACAGCCCTCAATAACCTTTTTGTTCCCATTAGCATCCCCAGCAGCCCAGACTATTGCCAAATGCCGCGATAGGGATTGTAGACTCCTACATACTGAATTCCTCCTTGTAGAGTACAGCAATAAATTGAAGAGGTACCAGCAGGAAAGAATTCTTGAGTAGGTGCCAGTTTCCTACACCTCCTTAGCCCATTGCTGAATTCTGTTGTTGATGGTGGACCAGGTGATGAGGTGCTTGCACATGGGGGCGATGATGTTGACACAGATGACGACCATGGGATGGACGACATCCAGGACACCCTTTGTGAAGATGACAATGGTCTCAGTGGCGAGGATGTTGACGAAGATGACCACGACGACGGTGAGGAATTGGACGATGAGGCTGTAGATGAGGTGACACGCGCTGTGGTTGTGCGGTGCTTTTTGGGTTGAACAATTGAATGTGTTTGCTGCTGGCACAACCCCATGTCACACGCTTTTCCAAGCTTGAGCATGGAGGTATTGGCATATGGGCAAATGTACCCCCATGTTCAAGCAGGGACATACAGAATGGGGTTGCCACCATCTCAAGGAAAACCAAGAACATTGGGAAGGAGATCACTGCGCAGAGCAGCAGGGTATCGGACAGTTCATCTTGAGCGTGACGTGAACATGGCCAACCCATGACAGCATAAATGTGGGGACCCCCTTTGCTCTTTCCGATGGACCAGTTCCAGCCCCAGTCACCAGATGATATTCGATGTTCTGGAGAAACCTGGTGATGTTGTAGTACTTGTGGGAGATGCAACGTTTGCTAGTGGTGAATCACCACTGCTGATATTGCAAGTAATCTGGTCCGCAATGTAAGCAAACGAAGGCTCCTGCTGGCCAACACAACAAGTAGGAGGGCTGGTTGTAGAATGTCTTCCTTGCCTCCTGCAACCAGTATTGACAATTTGTTGTCCCAAATGTTGTGCTGTTTGGTCAACTGTCCACAGTGTCTGCCTTCCGGACATTGCTCCAACATTCTGCGTGACAAGGCAACTTGAGGGGAATGTGGTAGTCAAAACTACGAGTCGTGCACGGCACACACACAAACAGTTGTACTTGCATCTCAAGAAATTGTCAAGAGACTGCTTCATGCGCACAACAGGGAAAGGCACTCTTGCTGCCTAAAGAGGGTTATGGGCACACAGGAATAGGATAACAGCATGCTGCAGAGGCAAATGGGACAAGCAACAGTAACATGGGTAACGGCAGTACAATGCATTGCTGCCTCGGTACTAGACCTTGAAAACTGGGGGTTGGGTACGTCGATTCCTTTCAAAATTCCACAAAATGCTCAACTGGCCCTTTGCACGGGCAATTTCCCAAGCGAAATTGACCAACTGGAGGGATTCCCCACGCATCGATGATGCAATGGTGGCGTCCAGCAATTCAAACAATTCCCCGATAGCACTCACTACTCTCACCGTATGTGTTGGTTTCAGAAGTACTAAGTTTGGGAAGGTTGCGACCATGAAACCACAGAGGACAGCTTTCCAGAGACGAAACAACTGTTTGATATTGACAAAGATTCCTATCCACTTTTCCACTAGATTATCGGTGTCCTTGACGCTACCCAATGATACTAAAATGTCATCAGCATACACCGTGACATCCACATTGGACGCTTATATCAGTTGTACTGGTTGAACAGTTAATCCTTGATAACCTGTTCTGTCTGACCTTGCCAAATTTTCCTCAGTTACCATGCCTGGTCACTTGTCAAAGAAGGCAGCTGATTCTTGTGTGTGCCTGCGGGCAGGTCCACCTTACTCGGGGCAGGAGGACAGTCACTCAACGTTCTTGTAGTGATGGGGGTCAAGATTTCCCTTTGCTTTCTGAAGTCTTGCATCCTGACCGGATCCTGTCTGGCTCATGCCAGGAAGGGATTGACGGGACAGGGACGTCAGTTGTATATGGGAATAATGTGTGACGCACCTTTAATTATGTTTAAGTAAGGTTACCGGACTGGACTTGGTGTCAAAAGATGGGTCTCGGACAGGACTCGATGTCCAATGAAGAATGCCTGTTAGGAATCAAGGAACCTCTGTCATCATGACCTCCCACAGCTCCTTACGCTCTTATTTCTTGTATGAACTACACTAATACACACTTCAGCACTTTCCCAGTAAAAACCAGAGTGTTCTCGAGACCCAGGGGCTTCCAAGCTGGACGAACAGTCTCAGCACCTGGAGCCCTACAGGAATTCCTAATAAGCAGATCGACAACGTGTGTCGAAACGCGATGAGTGCCCAGTCAGAGGCGCCGGACGCCTTGGAAGGGGGGGGAGGGGGGGGGGTGGAGCGCCTTCCGGTTCAGCATGGAGCTGGCGGACGCCAAGGCCTGCGGCCCGATGGTTACTGCGCCTCGGGTAGGGTGTTGCACATTCCAAATAGGTCACTCAGCGAAGCTTTTGTACGTGTTCAATAGTTTACACTCTGTCAGCACTTGCTCAGTATTTTATAGGACAACCAGCAATATTCACAATTGATCAGCAACAATTCATTTTATCGCAGAACGACACATTTCTTCACCAGTCAGGGGCCCAAATTACTGCAATCCATGTTGTTGTTTGGTTCCCCGGGTGGTCCGAGTCCACCGCTTGGTGCTGCAACTTAGTGGTGTACCATGGTACTTCATCATCAAAACATATCGAATTCTTCAACGTAATTGATGGACATGGATAGCCACCTGTCCACAAGGCCTGGTCGCTCCCAGCACTTGTTAATCATCATCACTACGGGTCATGTCCATGGACAGATCAGGAATGCGCCTTCTAGACAGCCCTGGGGTGGAATGTGTGTGTGTGTGTGTGTGTGTGTGTGAATTGGCCGTTGTCCCCGTCGGATCTTTGCCGCGTCGGGAAGTGGGGCCGGAGTGGGTGGATGGAAGGGTGGGGGCCGCACGCAACTTTCAAGCGATGAGGTGACCTATGTGAGGCCTGTGCCGTAGATGGCCTTGGAGTTGATTCAGGCGATTGTAATCTGGCTGACTGCATTGTGGCAGAGCATGACAAACAGTGCAGTCGCATCTGCAAGAGAACGACGTGCAGCTCCATGACAGCATTCTAGCACGTTTGTTCATGCCCATGCAAGTCAGCAATCCGGTGTTCGAGTTTCAGACAACTCAGTTCTTGCTGCATCTTGTCATGGTTGTGCTTAGCCCATTTCTACTGTGAATTGCGCTATAGGCAGTCTTACTCCCACAGCTCCTGGGGTCAGTCCTTGTCCAGTACCCACCTTGCCGGAAGCGACTGGGGTGGCCACCCAGGGTGCTGTATCGATGATCGCAGGGCTCACACATGTCCCACTGCCAGAGTTGATGACAGCAAGGACATGCTGATGTGAGTGTCAATATTGGAGCACCACTGGATATGTGGGTATGTTGCGGCACTCTGTACAACACTATTGTTGTCCATGCTTTGAGCCTCTATGCTCCTTGGATCAAGCATGGATGCCAAACGCACCCCTTGGATGGAGCCCTCTTGGAAGGACAACTCCATTGGTAGCGCCTTGTGCTGGCATTGCCTACTGTGGGCTGAAGCTCAAGAGCCATGCTGAGCTCAACATTCCTGTTGGAATGCTTTTATCAGCGTGTGGCAAG